CTGATCATTTTTGTGATTTAAAGTGTTTATTTATCTATTATAATTTAAATCATATAAGGCATAACAGAAAAAAACATGTTTCTCTCTAAATATCATAGTTAACATGATAATAGTAAAAAATGAAAAAAAAAAAAATGGTAAAATTTGTCATTTATGGGCAATAACTCCTATATGAATTTGTCTAACAGTTTTGACGTATATGGACAATTGGTAGAGCTCAAAATTCTGAACATTTTTTGCTCCTTTCAGATTTTTTCTATTTATAACGGTTCAAAAAATAATAGACAAAACTTGGTTGGCAGGCGGGGTCATCGGACACATTTTTTAAACTACATACCCTAATGATGATTGTGGCCAAGTTTGCTTAAATTTGTCTCAGTAGTTTCAGAGGATTACTTAAATAACTACAAAAATTTACAAAAAATGATTAAACATTGACTATAAAGGGCAATAACTCCTTAAGGGGTCAATTGACCATTTTGGTTATGTTGACTTATTTATAGATCTTACTTTGCTGAACATTAATGCTGTTTTCAGTTTATCTCTATCTATAATAATATTCAAGATAATAACCAACAACTGCAAAATTTCCTTAAAATTACCAATTCAGGGGCAGCAACCCAACTAATGGTTGTCTGATTTGTCTGAAAATATCAGGGCAGATAGATCTTAACCCGATAAACATTTTTATCCATGTCAGATTTGCTCTAAATGCTTTAGTTTCATGAAAATCAACCAAAATCTGCATTTTACCCCAAGTTCTATTTTTAGCCATGTCGGCCATCTTGGTTGGCGGGCCGGGTCATCTGACACATTTTTTAAACTAGATACCCCAATGATGATTGTGGTCAAGTTTGGTTAAATTTGGCCCAGTAGTTTCAGAGGAGAAGATTTTTGTAAAAGTTAACGACGACGAACGACAAGAGATGAGAAAACCTTACTTGGCCCTGTGGGCCAGGTGAGATAAAAAGGGATGTTTAAGGTTTGAAATTTGGACTGATATGAAAATAAGGAGATGTGGTATAATTGCCAATGGTTTAAATTACTGTCGAAAGATGTGAACAGTTGCAAGTCATCGTATGACCTTCAACAATAATAAAAAAAAAGCAAAAACCCCGGCATATCGTACAGAAATTTGAAATACAAAAAGCTTTAGTATGACAAAATGTTTAATATTTAAAAAGAACATTAGAAAAAATGATATTATGTTAAATACCATGGAGACAGAAGAAATTGACTTGCAACAGGGGAAATATATTAATCAGAAATTGAAAATACGCATGAGCGATTGTTTAAAAGAGAGGCAAAGGACACCAAAGGAACATTCAAACTTGTGAGTCGAAAATAAACTGACAACGTCATCGCTAAAAAAGAAAAAGACAAACAGACAAACAACAGTACACAAAACACAACATAGAAAACCAAAGACTGAGCAATACGAACCCCACCAAAAACTGGGGTTGATCTCAGGTGCGTTGGAAGGGTAAGCAGATCCTGCTCCATAGCTGCAAATGTGAGCCTAGCGTTAAGCTAGTATAAACTGTCGATTCTGCAAGTGTGTGGAGTCATAATTTTGATACAAATAAGATTCTTTATACAAATTGGCATAATCGTATTCCTCATTTTTCGCATAAATTCGAATAAAAGACATCTAAAGTCTTTAAGAACAATAAAACATACAATGATGTTTTGCACCAAAAGAAAGACATGTACAGAAAAAGCGGTAGGTGTTTGAAATTTGGACTGATAAAAAAATTTGGAGATTTGGTATGATTTCCAATGATATAACTATATCCATAGGCCAAGGAACAATTATAAATATCAATAAGGTTGTAGTTATAGAAAATAAATAAATATAAACCTGTTCACGTTTATAGATTCTTGTACATAATACATCATTGGCCTTCAAAATTTTGGGTTTGGATGTTCCTGGTTGAGGTTAGAAAACACAGAAAAGCGCTTCGGACGCACAAAGATGTAACGTGTTATCATCTATATAAGAAAAAAAAAGGAAAAGAAACTGCATGAATTTTCCCCCTGAAATGAGCTCATACAGATACATGTATTTTGATATAAGACATTATTTTAGAAAAAAAAATAATAATAAATGGAGAATGTGTCCATGGGACATAGATGATGCTCCCGCTGACATATAACGTTACAAAAGGACACGGATCAAGAACGGTAAAAGTGACGCAACCCAAATTCGAATTTGATTTGTTTTGTGGTAATAAGCATTGTGTATAAGATTCATAACATTTGGTTGAGGAAAACTAAAGTTAGAGAACGGAAACCAATTTTGGGACGTACATAAGGACAGACAGACGTACTGACGGACGGACAAGGGTAACACTTAATGTCTCCTCCGCTGCGGCGGGGGCATAAATAACAAAAACAAAAAACAAAAAACAGAAATTAAATATACGTACGTTTGCTTAAAGTTCAAATGATCTATAGTGACAAATATTTTATTCGTATCCAGGAAGAGACCAAATTAAACTATGAATACAAATGATAAGATTCTGCGAAAAAATGTATAGTAGCAATGTTCCAGTTTAAATTGTATTAGTTACCGTACATTTTGAACAGAATACACGGATATAAAAGTAAAATATAAAATAAAATTATGACAATTGAAATTAAATCTTAGCTGTTAAATTCGAATACAAGTTTGAAAGGTACAGAATTAGAAATTGACTTGCAACTATATATAGACTATATAGGGACATTTGTATAGAGGCAATTAATGTTCCGGTTTAAAATTATATAAGTTGCCGTACATTTTGGAACCTAATACACGGATATAAAAATTAAATATACAAATACAAAAAAAACTTTTGAAAATAAATTCCTGTTGAGTTCTGAGAAAAGACATTTAAATTTTTTAAGAACTATAAAATAAACAATAATTTTCGCCAAGAGAAGGACATATGTAGAAAATACGTAAAGTCACGGTACTATGGTGATTCTTCTTATTCTTTTGTGTGTAACTGTATTTCATTAAGATAACACATTATCATTTATTATTTTCCATAAAAAAAGGAGAAAAGATTGCAATTTTTGCTATACATTTTAAAATTTTTGTAAAGGAGATTATGATTGGATTTAATCAAACCAGGTGTCGCACCGGATGCATTGCTTCGTTGCCAATTTTTGAAAAGGCAGTATTTCATGCATTTGCGCCACAGGGTTGTATTTCATTTGCGCCAAAAATAAAAACTGCTTTTGCGCCAATTTACAGGTAAAATATAACGTATCCTGCATACGAGGCTCGAAAAAAATATGTTGTGGAGTATCGCCCCTTTTATGTAAGTAAGTGAGTCGTTATACTCATTTCACATACAAAACTTAGAGTCACTTAGAAGTATAAAAATTATATAGTGTTCACACGCTCGGAGACAAATTTTAAATTTATACAGGAGGAAATTCGTCTGTATTTTTATAAGACCTCACATTTAGGATATCTAATGTATTGAAAAACGGAGACAAATCGTATAGATGTACCCAAAAATTTGCAAAACGCCAGAATCATGGCATAACGGATGTGAACAGCAAAGCCATTATAAAAAAAAGTTGAATGATACCACGGTTTAGACCAGTAAAAAGTACAATCTTAGCATTAAAAAATAATAATCAGTGCTTAATGTTTTATTTTGTATATTGGTGAATTATGATGAATATGTTACATTATGGCATGCTTTCAAAACTACGTTGTAACATTAATATTAAAAGTCGGTTTTCAATATTGATATATTATTATATATACTATTTACGTGCAGTGTATTATTATTGGTGAGATGAAATATGGTTTGTGGCACGAACGAAAGTTTTTTTTTTTGGCAAGGCAAAGCACCGGTCCTGGATTGTACTAAATGATTACTGTAAAAGACTCTTTTATGATAACAAAATCATTTTAATTTACTTCGTTACGAAATAAACTTATAATCAAAACTAAAGTATTGTCTTAATCAAAAAGATAAAGAGAAAAAATGGCCAATTTCCGCTGAATTTATTTCACAATAGTTTCAATTTTTGAAAGTTTTTCAATCTTGAATAAAATTCACAGTACCATAGGTTCATATGCGTGATATATGTACTTAAAGGTTTCAACAAAACTTTAATGTATTCCAAAATTAAACGTTTCAAATTATAAACACCTAAAAATGATTAAAAACTTTAATTTTTTAATCACCCGTGTTTTTTGTGGGGTTTGTGTTGTTAAGTCTGTAGTTTTAATTATATATTGTGTTAAATATGCGTCTGTTGTTTGTCTTTCCGTCGTTTATCGTTTTTTTTTTCGTTTTTTTTTAATATCCCTTTGGTATCTCCCATTTTAACATACTCAAGCTTATATTTTTTTACAATTCAATAACAACTATTAAAGAATTTAAAGAAAATTTACTAGTGTAGTTTACCAAATTTGAATTGTTTGCAGTTGTATCTTATTTTCCTTAAAGTGTGTTCATACATGGAACATATATATTGACGTTAGATATACTATTCCCAGGTTCATACTAATCGAGGATATCAGTCAAAAAGTCAATACAAACAAGAATAAAAGTACAGTTCAGAATCATACCTAGTTTTATTTATAGAAATATCCTGGCTCCTACTTGAAATCATTAGTACAACCCAGAATTCCCTAAGTGCAAACATGGATAAAATATTCCTATTGTTACTAGTAGATATTAGATCTAATGCCGTCTACTGTATCTTACTGAATTCCAGTTTGTCACGATGACTGTAAATGGAAATAATTTATTAAAGTTGAGTTTATATTTACTTAATTACTAATTACTGGAATAACAAATATCTATGAATTTTATTTGTTTTGGTAGCCGGTCAAATGGAAAATTAATTCATAAGAATTTCCAAGGATTTGTATATTGACGATACAAATCCTTGGAATTTCATCTGGCCTTTAATTTTTGCAGAAAAAAAAAACGGTAATGACTTGAAGCGTTCGGAAATTTCTCTTGTGTAAGCCGGGAACGGATAAGTACAGAGTTACTTCCCCTGGATCTATTCATGGCAACATCAAAACAATTAATTTTTTGAATCATTGTAAATATTTATAATATGTCTTCAGGTTGAAAAAACAGGTAATTATTGAACACATTGAAATGTTTAGTAGGCATTCTGTAACAAATGCATTAGATAATCATTATCTATTCATATCGTTTGCTTTCGACGTTTTTTATAGGATATTTTTTGTTTACTATAAGTATAAATGCCGAACCACAAATGTATGAGCTATTATTCACAGCACAGTGAACATGTGGTCAACATTAGTTATATTACCGTCTTTGAAGGCTATGTTTCATTAACTGGGTATATTTGTAAAGAAATCAGATTATATCTGATGTTTTCTTTACAAATGTGGCTTTTCCAATGCACAGTGCTCTGCCTACATTTTACCAATGATTTTCTCTGAATTTGAGCAATTAATCACAGGGTGCCTCACAAGCACATATTTCTATCCATGGGAATGTCGACTATCCATATTTAAAATAATCTGTAAAGTGAAAAACCAAACACATACGTAAAAAAAAAAAAATGAAACATGGCAAAAATGATGATGAAATGAAACGTGGCAATCAAAACTTTTAAAAACAAAGTATGTATGGTGAGAAATGAAACAAAATCTGAACATGTTTTAGAAAATGATGCATAAAAAAGTTTGCTGAAGAAATGTGTCATTTGGAATGACTATTAAAGATTCGAATCCAGGTGTGTTCACCCAAAATCATATGTTAATTAATTCGCTCCCATTCATGTTCACCCCCTTTCACAATCACATGCACCCACACGTTCGATTCCTGAGTCCATTCGTAGCCTTTTTATTGGTTTTGTGTTGAATAAATTGTAATCATGTTTAAGTTAGTGTATTGCTATAAATAATTTTTTCTTATTGTTTCAAAACAAAGTGACATTCTAAAAATCGTAAACAGGTTCCCTTTAGTGTTTTATTGTTTTATTAATTATTTCAAGGATTTGTATACATTAATCCTTGATTATTTTGACAAAATGAATCCTGAATACAAAATTGCCATGAAGATCAAGGCAAAGTTCATTCATCTAAGACTTGTTCAAAGAAAGGTTTTCGAAAGATACTAAATCTTCATTGAGTTTACTCATACCAAGCTATAACTACATGCAGTATTTACATCAAAGCTAGTTATAACAACAATCATGATTTTTAAACACAGAACAATAACTAATACCAAATTTGGCTTTGTAAATAGCAATTAACAGTAATCATACATAATTAGCATAATAATTAATCATCAAATCACCAAAAAAAAATATTTCATTTAAAAATTCATGCATTTTTAAAGAAAATTTAACTATTTTGATAAAAAATATCTAATAAATCAACCAGTATTTGAATAAAAATAGGGTGCAACAACCCTAGGGGCAAACGTGTGGGCTGGGTGCAAACGGACCTGATACCTAAAGTTTCTGCACCACCCAGTAATCTGTTCAGATATTAAAACTAAATATATAGTCAATTGGGCATGGTTGATACATTATACAGACTCTTTAACAGTGAAATTATAAACTAAGCGAATATATACATGTATCATAATCATAAATATTTCTTAGTCCTAGATTGCACTGGTTTTTTTTTAGGGTGTTAAATAAAAATATCTTTTCTCCTGTTTCTTAGAGAGTACAAATCAATTTTATATTTTCTGACATCGTTGTTAATTTGATGTTGTTTTTCTCCTGCAAATTAACAACGAAGTCATTCCTATAAGCACCAATTGCACCCCCTTTAAAAGCAGATTTATTCCTGTATTGTTATCATAACTTATGTTCAAACTCAGTAAAGATCCTTTTAAATAATATTTAATTGATGAATTAAAAAACACTTAATGTCACCTTGATGATATTTTTGTTTTAGATAACCGAGAATTTTCTGCGAAAATTTACCTATTTGAACTTAGTTAGAATAAATCTTACACAGGCAGAAATAATTGTCCTTTTTTTTCACTTTCAGTTTCACACATGAAACTATATTGTGTCTTTTTATGTTGTAATGTTACACTACTGTCTCAGGTTAGGGTAAAGGTTGGCGCCTGTTAAAACGGTTAAACCTGTTGCATTTTTATGCACCTGTCCCGTTTGTTGGTGTGGTTTATAAGTGTTTCTTGTTTTTTATATAGATTAGACGGTTGGTTTTCCTGTTTGAATTGTTTTACACTAGTCATTTTGGGGCCCTTTATAGCTTGCTGTTCTGTGTGAGCCAAGGCTCTGTGTTGAAGGCACCAAAGTGACATAGACCTACGTTGACCTATAATTGTTAACTTTTTATACATTGTGACTTAAATGGAGAGTTGTCTCATTGGCACTCATACCACATCTAAGATAGGTACTAAGATTGATTTTGATTTCGAAAAATTAAACCATAACTAAATATCTGGCTATACATGTATGTACAGTTATGAGTAATCATAATCCAACATGTCCAAAATCCTGCGTAGATACTTTCTTCTTATATTTTAGCATTGTTCAAGGTCATGTGTTTCTCAGACTGTCTATGACGTATTTACACTAAATCTGTTGGATGTAAACTGATTGATTCTTGAGTCTGGAAGAACATGATTTATTCATTAGTTTTAATTTGCTGTGAACTAGCTTTTAGTAACTGTGCAGCATTAAAGATCAGACTCGGCGTGTCTGTCTAGTACAAACAGACTTAATATTCATATGACCTCAACATGCTCTCATCCTGAATACCCATATTAATTTGCACCTGGACATTAAGCAGCTATTCATCATCATCATCAGCAGTAACTGTGCAGAGTACTCTTGTATCAGATCTTTGAGTCTATTAATATTTTTATGTAGGTTTTTTGTGTGCTTTGTACCGAATTATTGAGTTAAGCTATTTGCAGTATACAGTTTGATCTAATGTTGTGCTGTTACTCTGCTGTTCCAGAATCATGAGAATAGAGGAGGGTTGAGCACTCACACAAATGTATAATCTGGTCACATTCTTTATATGCCTGTACCAAGTCTGGAGCCTGTGATTCAGTGGTTGTTGTTGGTTCAAGTCTGTCATACTTGTTTTTCATAAATTGTATTATGATGAATTAGGCTGTTGATTTTCTTGTATGAATTTTTTCACATTTTTCATGTTGGGGCCTTTTATAGCTGACTATAAGGTATATGTTTTTCTTCATTGTTGAAGGCCGCACCGTGACCTATAATTGCGTATACCATATGAACTCTGGTGTATAGTTGTCTCTATGGCAATTATATCTCCTTATTTTTATATGTCACTTTTAAGTTTTATGTTCAGTTATTTTTATTCTTTAATTTTCTCTTTGCTTTTTATTGAAATCAATATGGTTTAAAACAGACCCCTGATATGTCCCTTATTAAATGAAATGTGATGTTAATACTTTTTATGTTTATATTACTATTTGCACAAGCAGAGTAACAGGACTGGTACGAATAAACCATATACGTGTTAATTGTACAATAGTTGGCTGATTGACAGTGATTGTAGGATTAAATCAATAAAAGAATTCATTAAAACATGAGCATGATGAGGCAAAGCTGCAAAAATTGAATAAAAAATTAAAAAAATTATTAAAAAAAAAACAAAAAGAAAACAAAAAAACATGTATTTAACTTTTATTCTGATGGTATTATACTTTGCACCAAACTAATACATGTCATACAGGCTTTATCCTTTTTTTTTTTGTAATTGATCTTCACCTAGAGTATTGAAAAGCTGTTTGTTTTAAGGTTAAACAGCCTACTTACATGTAGGTGGCGTTTCTATAGATTCACTCACTTCAGCAATTTTTACATTGTATTATTCCACTTAATATTTAAAAAGTTTTTTTCATGGACATGTACATGTAATTGATAAATTTTAATTAAGAAAAGATCTAACCAAGAAAATTGTTCATGCCGTTGTAAAAATATATCCAGAATAGCTAGAATTTATAACCAGTGAATCTGAAATATTTTTGGGTATTTACTTTGTATTTGATTTTTACTATATTCTTGGTAGGCAGTTTATTACGAAATTTACCCTAGGCTTCCAAAACATTTCAACATCCAATTTAGATACACAATATACCAGGCTGCTATATGTGAATAAAGAAAGCATGAAAGATTTAACCCTGAACAAAACCGAATACAAAAATAATTCATTTCCTAATACTTATAATAGGAAACTGACTGTTTAAATAATCTCACAACTCGATCTGTATAAAATTTATAAATTATTCAAATCAAGAATCAGCATGTTTTATCACAACTAATTGTAAAGATTTTTTTATGAATATTGAATTATGATTTTAGCTTTTAAATTTCAAGTTGTATGATGTTCTTTCATCCTTTAAAACTTTAAATATATTTATCAAAGACGTTACTAAAAATAGATCAACACAGGTTTGTTGACTTATTGTGTTTTCTGTACAAAAGGGAATTTAATAAGGGCTATTCCATTAAAATGTATGTGGGAGGGTAGGAAGGGAAGTTTAATTATTGAATGTGGGTCATGGGTCTTTTTTCAGTATGCGTCTATTACCATTATGTAAAATTATCTAAAAAATGGTTCTTGGTTGTAGGGATATTTTAAAAGTCCCTTCCTACCCTCCCACATACATTTTAATGGAATAGCCCTAATTAATCTTAAAATTCATAGCCTATTAATCATAATGTTTGTTTCAAGGGGTGCATATATGTGAGTGACATATATGTATTTTATTCATGTGTAATGTCTTTGTTATAACCATTGAAATGATTCTTTTTCCCCTACTTATACAATATGCTACATATAATATCTAGAAGAAAAAGACATTATTTAAAAAACACTTTTAATCCATCCATAATTTTATAAGGTTTAGGAAAATTAAATTTTCAGATCTCAAAACTTATATTTGGATTAAAATAATCTTCTTTGGGCTGAAATTATCCTTTTAGCATCCTTTAAGAATTAGCATGAGTTATCTCCACTTGAACAAACAATAAATAAACTCTATTGTTGCATACTAGTAGTATTTATTATTTATAAGAAAATGATTAATGAACTTAAGAAATTGCATGAAATGTTTCAGCCTATATGAATAACCTAGTAAGGTCCTAGTTTAATGGAAATATAATTTAAATCGGAATCAGGTAGATTATTATATATTTTTGAACTTCTAAATTTAGAAATTTTCTGTTTTTGATATCCTGAATTTTTTTTAAGGAAAACTGGATGATAAAAAAGTTATAAATAACAATAATAATATTTTATAAAGAAGGTTTATAGTAAAGGCTTGTGAATCTAACTTTAATGTATGATATACAGTGTAAGTTAACTAGCTTTTCATGAATGATTTATTTACCAAATATTTGTTAAGATTCTCAGAAAGTAATGCCAATGTTGAATTAGTGAAATCTGTAAAAGTTAGATATTCTCTCTTATGAATATATAGTTGATAAAAATTGCAAAAAAAAACGCTGTGGAGGTGGCTTTTGATCATAGTGCCAATTATGTAAAAAGTATCTGTGAAAAAAAATTTGTTTATGTTATTTAAATAGTTAGTTTTATAATTAACTTTCATGTGATTACATCTAGTATTAAGTGCAAGAAGTCATGATCAGATCAACACACTTTCGAACTCTAGAATTTGGAATTGAGAAATTTAATCATAGATTCTACTGCAAAGACTTCCACATAAGACTTGTGCAATAATTGCTTGACTTGCTTTTTAATATTAATCAAACCTAAAAGAAGGTCTAAATACATGTAGTTCTACAGTGATCAATAGTCTGTCAACACCAATGATGAATGTAGCATTAAACACAAACAATCGATCGATTAGTCAAACCCAAACTCTGCCTGAAGAGTTTACAAAAATTCATATTTATGTGCAGATTCTACATAAAACTAACTCTCTACCAGGTCATTGCAGGTGTTGTTTTTCAAATTGCTCTAGTTTTGTTTTCTATTTTTTTTGCAATAACTCCTGGGTTGGACAAACTGGATTAGCAACTTTTCTAAAATGAGAAACAAAACTGGTAAATGGAAGTTTTATGGAACATGGACTATTATTCATGTTATCATGTGGCTGTCAATATTTTTTTCAGTTTTGAATAATTGGTATGCATTATATGTCTTCCATGATTTTTGTTGAGCCTGCAACTTTTGTCGCAAAAAGCGAGACATAGCGATCCTATATTCTGTCGGCGGCAGCATCCACAAATATTCACTCTGTGGTTAAAGTTTTTGAAATTTTAATAACTTTCTTAAACTATCCTGGATTTGTACCAAACTTGGACAGAAGCTTGTTTATGATCATAAGATAGTATCCAGAAGTAAATTTTGTAAAAAAAAAATCCTGTTTATCTGTATTTTACTTATAAATGGACTTAGTTTTTCTGCCAGTTAACATTACATTCACTCTGTGGTTAAAGTTTTTAAAATTTTAATAACTTTCTTAAACTATCCTGGATTTGTACCAAACTTGGACAGAAGCTTGTTTATGATCAAAAGCTAGTATCTAGAAGGAAATCATGTTTTTCTGTATATTACTTATAAATGAACTTAGTTTTTCTTCCAGTTAATATTACATACAGTCTGCAGTTTTTTATTTCATTAACTGTAAATCTATTATGTGTATTGTTGTCTCGATGACACATTCCCCATTTCCATTCTCAATTTTATTCCCCTATCACACTGAAAACATAGACAACAGCAAAAGTAGGCAAGACACTGGGTTCCGCAGAACCCTTACGCATTTTAGCTCACCTGGCTCAAAGGACCAAGTGAGCTTTTCTCATCACTTGTCGTCCGTCGTCCTGCGTCCTGTGTCTGTAGTCCGTAAACTTTTACAAAAATCTTCTCCTCTGAAACTACTGGGCCAAATTTGACCAAACTTTGCCACAATCATCATTGGGGTATCTTGTTTAAAAAATGTGTCCGGTGACCTGGCCAACCAACCAAGATGGCCGCCATGGCTAAAAATAGAACATAGGGGTAAAATGTAGATTTTGGCTTATATCTGTGAAACCAAAGCATTTAGAGCAAATCTGACATTGGGTAAAATTGTTTATCAGGTCAAGATCTATCTGCCCTGAAATTTTCCGATGAATCTGACAACCCGTTGTTGGGTTGCTGCCCCTGAATTGGTAATTTTAAGGAAATTTTGCCGTTTTTGTCGAGCCTTCGACTTTAGTCGATAAAAGCGAGACATAGCGATCCTACATTCTGTCGTCGTCGGCGTCCACAAATATTCACTCTGTGGTTAAAGTTTTTCAAATTTTAATAACTTTCTTAAACTATCCTGGATTTCTACCAAACTTGGACAGAAGCTTGTTTATGATCATAAGATAGTATCCAGAAGTAAACTTTGTAAAAATAAAATTCCATTTTTTCCGTATTTTACTTATAAATGGACTTAGTTTTTCTGCCGGGAAATATTACATTCACTCTGTGGTTAAAGTTTTTAAAATTTTAATAACTTTCTTAAACTAACCTGGGTTTCTACCAAACTTAGACAGAAGCTTGTTTATGATCATAAGATAGTATCCAGAAGTAAATTTTGTAAAAAAAAAAAATCTATTTTTTCCTTATTTTACTTTTAAATGGACTTAGATTTTCTGCCAGGAAATAACACATTCACTCTGTGGTTAAAGTTTTTAAAATTTTAATAACTTTCTTTTACTATTTTAGATTTGTACCAAACTTGGACAGAAGCTTGTTTATGATCAAAAGCTAGTATCTAGAAGGAAATTTTGTAAAAAAATAAATCCATTTTTTCCGTATTTTACTTTTAATGGACTTAGATTTTCTGCCAGGAAACAACACATTCACTCTGTGGTTAAAGTTTTTAAAATTTTAATAACTTTCTTATACTATTTTGGATTTGTACCAAACTTGGACAGAAGCTTGTTTATGATCAAATGCTAGTATCTAGAAGGAAATTTTGTTTTCTTCAAGTTAACATTACATTCAGTCTGCAGTTAAAGTTTTTAAACATTTATTAGATTCATAAACTATCCTGGATTTTTACCAAACTTGGACAGAAGCTTCTTACAATCAAAAGATAGTATCAAGAGGAATATTTTTATTGATTTACTTCCTCATTTTTGTTGCGCCTGCGATTAACAGAAAAAGTAGGCGAGACACTGGGTTCCGTGGAACCCTTATGAATTTTTGGTTATTATCTTGAATATTATTATAGATAGAGATAAACTGTAAACAGCAATAATGTTCAGCAGAGTAAGATCTACAAATAAGTCAACTTGACCAAAATGGTCAGTTGAACCCTTAAGGAGTTATTGCCCTTTATAGTCAATTTTTAACCATTTTTCGTAAATTTTTGTAATCTTTTACAAAAATCTTCTCCTCTGAAACTACTAAGACAAATTTATCCAAACTTGTCCACAATCATCATTAGGGTATTTAGTTTAAAAAATGTGTCCGATGACCCTGCCTGTGAATCAAGATGGCCGACATGTCTAAAAAATAGTACAAAGAGGAAAATGCAGTTTTTGGCTCATATCTCTGAAACCAAAGCATTTAGAGCAAATCTGACGGGGGATAAAATTGTTCATTAGGTCAAGATCTATCTGCCATGAAATTTTCAGACCAATCAGGCAACCCGTTGTTGGGTTGCTGCCCCTGAATTGGTAATTTTAAGAAAATTTTGCAGCTTTTGGTTATTATCGTGAATATTATTATAGATAGAGATAAACTGTAAACAGCAATAATGTACAGCAAAGTAAGATCTACAAATAAGTCAACATGACCAAAATTGTCAATTGACCCCTTAAGGAGTTTTTGCCCTTTATAGTCAATTTTATACAATTTTCATAAATTTTGTAAATTTTTGTAAATTTTTACAAAATATTTTCCACTGTAACTACTGGGCCAAGTTCATTATAGATAGAGATAATTGTAAGCAGCAAGAATGTTCAGTAAAGTAAGGTCTACAAACACATCACCATCACCAAAACACAATTTTGTCATGAATCCATCTGTGTCCTTTGTTTAATATGCACATAGACCAAGGTGAGCGACACAGGCTCTTTAGAGCCTCTAGTTTAAGATTCTTATCAAATGTTTTTTTTATTTACAGATATTTTCCAAATCTTTTAAGTTATGGATAAAATAAAAAGGAGAGTTACCAATGTGAAAGACAAGATTCATTTAAGTCCAAAACATAAAAGGACAAAAGACGGATTTATGAAACCTAAGGCAAAGCAACCTGTTAAAAATGTGGAAGGGAAAGCCATAACACGTTTTGACAGAGTTTACAGAAATCTTGGACACCTATTAATTCCAGAGTCAAAACGGATTGATATTGTATTGGTTCATCCAAATTCAAAAGCTGATGATGGTTCTTTGAGTTCAAAGGAAAAGAGAAAAATACAAGTTAGAGACAAGCTCAGAGAAATATTTGAAAATAGGTTGAGAAATGAAGGATTTGTTGTGGAAGAATCTGTGCTTAAGGACAAAGTTTACAAGAAAATCCATTGTCCTTTTAAAAGACTATGTATTGAAGCTGAAACAACAAATTTAGAAATGCCATTACTAGGGGTAAGCGATTCTTATTCTTTCTTTTAAAGATATTGTTTTATGTCAGACCTGCCAACTTTTGAAATCCTACATTGGGTTGTTATATTACCTGCTTTCTGAAAAGCAAAATGTGTCGCCTCATATTATGACAGTTAGTTATAAAACTCTCAAGCTATTAGGTATTATTAACAAAGATCAATAGTTTTATTACCAATAAAGACCCATAAAATTAAGACTTAAATCATTGATTTAATTGAGGCACGTGCATATGTTAACATAATACTTCGTGTCATAACAGTTTAATAATTCTAAGGTGAATTTTAATAATAAATGGCTAACACCTCAATATTGTCTTCTCACAAAAAATCTATTTTTTCTATGCTTGAAAATTGGTTCCCACAAGATTGATCATCTAACAGTTATATATTTATACCCCTGCTTTAAAAAAGTGGGTGTATACTGTTTTACCTCTATCTGTCCGTCCATCCGTCAGTCCGTCAGTCCATCTGTCTGTCCTGTCCCATGAATATTTTTCGTCACATCTTTCTCTGGAACTACAGTACAAGGATTTCTGAAATTTGGTTTCAGGGTTTATACGAGTCAGCTATACCGTGTGATGCGTTTTCAGATTCATCACTCAACAACTTCCTGTTTACCTTATCCTTTTAGCGGGCAGGGGTATCATTAGTGAGCAGTAGCTCACAGATTCACTTGTTTTATTTTCTTTTGCAGCTTGTAAATCCGGAGGACAAACCAACCAACTCTTGTGCAAAATTTATTTACGACAAGTTTGTAACAGACAAAGATAGTAAGTTTTTGTAAATTTATCATTAACAAAGATCCATAGATAATTTACTGGGGATCCCCACAAAAAAAATATTGTAAAATAATCTTAAACATATCATATCATATATATAAACAATGTGCTTGCTAAATAGACCTGAAGCAGATACAAAAGTGTCATCATGAAACTGAGAACCCTGGACCTCAAACCTCTGTGCAAACAGGAACATATATATTGACGGGACTTGACACTACCTGATTGTAGTCGATTTTATCGTCGTGCCATAGTTAATAAAGATACGATACAGAAACGGACATGTGTTAAAAACGGACTCGCTATTATCCTAATAATTTCTGATATTATCAATAAAATGTCATTCAAACTAGTTTTATAGTGATGCTAGTGTATTAAACTTGTATTCTGTCACTTCAAATTTGTTAAAATCGCAAGCATTTCATCACAGAATTGTGCAGAATGCAAACCAGGTAATAAAAAAATGGCGGCCATTGCCGCGATGATTTACAAATTCCCAAACTATTATAAAACACTTCACATCAAATAAATCAAACTTATTTTGGTAATTTTATATGACAAAATATATCTACTAAATGATAAAACTTGTATTTATTTACAATTAGAGTTATGTGGTTTATTTGTTGAGCAGTTCTGATAGTTTTTCAGTCAGACGCTACCAAAATCTGTAAATCTCGGGAGGTCTCGGGGAGTCCGAGATTTTATCAATTTTATACTGAAAAGCGTATCAGATTCATTTCCCGTAAGATATACTGTTCCCAGGTGCAAATCAGTAATCATTGGAAACTACTACTTCTATAGGGCTGTTTAATGTATACCAATAAAATACTAGGAAACAGAAAGTTTTTATTTGTTTGTATATAATATTATATTGGAACATAATTCATTTTACAGCAACACCTCTATTTCAAACAGAACATTACCAAAAAATACCATACAATAATTTATTATATTGCGCTACCGCAATGACATCATTATTGACAAAAATATGGTTTAAACTGTTTTTCAAACAACATATTGTGGATTCATTATTGCTCATGGGGCACTTTAATTTTCTTGGATGGTAAACAATGAATTTAAGTATAGAAAGAAGTTCTTATTTCCGATAGATTTGTATACAATATTTATTAAAAGCATGAAATCAAATATCCACAAAATTACAATTTTTCCACAATCCACAAACATCATAAGGTAACCCAAGAATTTAATTATAGGTTAGACAATACTTGGTCATGTTTTATGAATATTTAAAGCCTCTGGCGTAGCCGAGGGTTTTAAATGAATCCACAGTATACTTAAGAAATAATTCATGCAAGCCATAGATTTGTTGGAAATTTTTCCCATGGCCCAGGCCATGTGAAAATGATAACAAATCTATGGCTTGCATGAATTATTTGGATTCTAATAGGACAAATACGGTAATTTAAAACTGAAGCGAAGGTAAGATTACCGTGTGTATGGCTGTTCTATTTTACCCCCTGTAAGATAAATGCTACAAATTTCAAATACCCGGTAAATCTAAGTCTTGCATGAATTATTTCTTAAATAACCACTAGAAAAAATGTGTTCAATCCTTATAATTCTTAACCCAAGCAATTGTTTTGTTGGCTACTATTTACTGTCAAATCCACAGTTGACATGTCGTAACTAAGGAGTGGGCCGCCATGTTGACTTGCTGAAATCCACAAATGTGCGAATAATGCAATAGAATAGAAAATGAAGCAACACCTACCTCAAAACTCCATTTTAATGCGATATTATCTGAACTTAGGGCGTACACTGTCACAGAAGAGAATAACCTTCAGCTTGAGAGTTTTCATTTGTATGACGTTAATGTGCCAAGATCATTCACGGAATTTTATTTTATTTTATTTTATACATTTTTTAAGCTCTTGTCGTTTATTCTTTTTGTTATGCATTAGAATAGGAATAATGGTTCTGTAGTTTCTTTTTCAATTTCAATTTGAACACAACGAAATTGACATAGTGTTTGCACACAGGTTACGATACATGTGGATTAACGTGGGAGGTAAATAGTAACAGCCATTGATATGTTTATCTCTGAATCTTCTCTAAGTATAGATATATAGAGAATTTTATCACGTTGTTGTTTACAAAGCGAAAGAAGCACGTCATAAACTATGATAGAATCACAATTATTCATGTAGTTACCGCATATTATCACATACGTAAATGAAATCAAGCATTTAGATACTCCTAGCCATGACTCAGCAGAAACATGGTGCAGGTTCTTTAAGGATTTTCGATACTCTTCTTTTTGATTTTTTGTCAGATATTCAGAATCCTCTAGTTTTATCCATGTAGTGTCAATAACTTTTTTGCCCACTAACCCCTACTTTTCTTTTCATAATTTATTCCATATAGTTTAAAAAGCCATTTTTGAAAATCTTATAAACTCTTTGTTGTTTGTCATTGTTTTTGAAAAAAAAGGGGCCATTGTAATATGTATGAAAAATCTAGATAGAATCATTTCCCGCCAAATTTTCAATTGATTATTTCTCAAAAACAAGGACATGGACTTATCATTTTTTATTTTAAAACGGAGGAGCAAACATCTTTAACTCAACATCAGGTGGAAACTGCTGTACTGTAATTAAAATGTTTTGATAAAAAATGAATGTGTTATATTCACCTTAAAAGATATGAAATACTATGTATACATTATGCATTCCAAATGTGAAAAATTTCTTAAACGTTTCCTTATTTTATTTTTTTCAACAGAAGATGGTAAGAAGGTGTCTATTCTGGATGAATATTTGTTTATACAGATTTTCTTTGTTGTGTTAATTCAGTCATTTTCAGAATTGTAAAATATGAAAGGAATTCTTTTTATTGGTCCTAATTTAAAGAACCTTCTCAAATTATTCTTTCATGTATAAGCATGATAAGATGACAATATTTTTTTACCATAAAATAATTTTTTTCCAGATGAGAAATTTGCTATCATGTTTTCAGGGACATTAACTAGATTCAGTTTTACAGACATTTCAGCCATTGTTTTATTTTTTCACTTTTTTTAATCTTAATAATCAATGATAATTTGAATAATGATCCAACTGTTCATGCCAGAGGCAGATTTAGAGGAGGGGCTTTATGAAGCTACATATATGGTTAATGCATAGAAATTTTACAAGTAACACTCCTAACATTGTCTTGCCCGGGAGGGGGATGGGGCTTACTTGATATATGTTATAAAAATTTATGAGCAAAATATTTCCTTTTTATTACAACAGGTTATAAATAAGCCACATCTGCCTTAATCATGTTAATATGATTAGCTTTTAAAATTAGGTTGGGTTTGGTTACCTTTAATTATTAAATTGAATTGTACAAGATTGAATTGACACAAGCATATATACTTCTCGTATTATTTCTCTCTCTCACTCTCTCTCTCTAATACATTAATATGTTACAAATGTTTATCATCTAAGTTGAATTATTTGTTATGTAACCATGATAACCAACACACAGTTTTTAACCTTTAGATGGATAAAACAAATATCTAGAATTGTTTTAGTTGATTTAACACATGTTACCATTAAAATATATATTGGACTACAAGTGTATCGAATAAAGCATGACATATCATAAGTTTGACCTTGAGGACAAGTTGAGGTAAATTAAATGTCAAATGGTAAGCAACACATTATCTTGAGGTAATTTCTCAAATAATAAAAACCTTTGTCAAAAAGATAGAAAAGTTATGGTCAGGACATGATCATGTCACTTAAAGAAGTTGACTCTGAGGTCAAAGGTCAGCATCCAAAGGTTTGTAACACAATTTGTCTTGAGTTGATATACCCACATCACAAATATCAAACTCCTTTGTAAAAAAGAAAGGAAAAAAAAGTAATGGCCAGGATACAAGTATTTCACTTAAAAAATCATTAAGTTGACCTTGAGCATGTTGAGGACAAAGGTCCAGCAAAATGGCATTTAAAGTATTTTTAGTCAAAACAAAATGAAATAAATCTGATTTATATATCAAATTCAATTTTCCTTGTAATGAAATAATGAATTCTAGACTCAGCTCATGGAATCTTGATACAGCTTGGGACAGTCTAATTTTCATTTATCCAGGACTCATGGACTCATCTTAGTGTGATCCCTAAATAAGTTGACATTGAAATCAAGGGTCACACACAATAGTTAGTGACATATCATCTTTATGTGATGCCCCATATGCCAAATATCCAAAGCCTATCTCTAAAGATTAAAAAGTTACGACTCGAACACCACTTCTCAAGAATTCAGTAGAAGGGGAGAAATAACTATATACATAATATTATACTCAGGAGCTTTACTTTATATGAGAACATTTTATAACTAATTCATAAATGGTATTTTAAGTCAATGTCTTACAGTGACGGTGAGGTGGATTCAATAATTATTAATGATAAATGATATATTTACTGAGGCTAATGGCTGAGGTATATATGGATATTTTTTGTTATTTAAATATCATTTTAATTTTTATTTTCTGAATTTTAAACATTATCAATTATTTTAGATAATAACATCACCATATTACTGAATGTTGCATGACAAAGCTTTGAGTTTTACACATTTTTTGGTTTATGGTTGATTCACTGCCTGAGTGTTTGTGTAATCTCATATTAAGGTCAAGGAACAGTAAATGGGCTATGTCTCAGATTTTGGTAAAATTCGGCATACAACTTTAGCTCGTTGAACTATAACTGAAAATCAAAAAAATTATGCATTTATTGTCGAGCCTGCGACATAGGGATAGTGATCCGTTGGCGGCGGCGGCGTTAGCTTACTTCTTAAAAGCTTTATATTTTAGAAGCTAGAAGACCTGGATGCTTCATACTTTGTATATAGATGCCTTATGTTACGAAGTTTCTGTCTATCATATGTCCATTGTCCTTGACCTCATTTTCATGGTTCAGTCACTACTTGAAAAAAAAGTCAACATTTTTTGTAATGTTAATTTCTTTTTTAATTATGAGTAGTAGGATAACTATATTTAGTATGTGCGTACCTCGCAAGATCCTCATGCCTGTCAGACATTTTTCATTTGACCTCGACCTCATTTCATGGATCAGTGAACAATGTTAAGTTTTGGTGGTCAAGTCCATATATCAGATACTATAAGCAGTAGGTCTTCTATATTTGGTATATGGAATGATTGTAAGGTGTACATGTCCAACTGGTAGGTGTCATCTGACCTTGACCTCATTTTCATGGTTCAGTGGTCAAAGTTAAGTTTTTGAGTTTTGGTCTTTTTTTCTAATACTATATGCAATAGGTCAACTATATTTGGTGTATGGAAATATTTTATGATGTACATGTCAGTCTCGCAAGTTTTATTTGACCTTGACCTCATATTCACGGTTCATTTCTCAGTGTTAAGTTTTTGTGTTTTGGTCTGTTTTTCTTCAACTATAAGCAATAGATCAACTATATTTGTTGTATAGAAGGATTGTAAGGTGTATATGTCTGTCTGGCAGGTATCATCTGACCTTAACCTCATTTTCATGGTTCATTGGTCAATGTTAAGTTTTCATGGTTAAGTTTGTTTCTTAGATACTATAAGCAATAGGTCAACTATATTTAATGCATAAATTGATTGTAAGGTGTCCATGTCTGTCTGGCAGGGTTCATCTGACCTTGACCTCATTTTCATGGTTTATTGGTCAATGTTAAGTTTTCTTGGTTAAGACTGTTTCTTAGAAACTATAAGCAATAGGTCAACTATGTTTGGTTTATTGAATGATTGTAAGGTGTACATGTATTTCTCGTTGTATAGAAGGATTGTAAGGTGTATATGTCTGTCTGGCAGGTATCATCTGACCGTGACCTCATTTTCTTGGATCATGTTAAGTTTATGTGTTACTTGTAGTAAAGCTTTATATTTAGGACTTTCAACATAAAATCAATGGTTAGTAAAGAAGGCGAGACATTTCAGCGTGTGCACTCTTGTTTCTTTAAGTATCTGAAATATTATTGATTGAATTCTTTGAAAATAGGTGAACATTTGTATAGACAGCACATAAAATTGGCGAAAAACGTTCTTAAATTTGTATTGAAATCATCAATCTTCATTTCAAATTTAAAAATGATATTTTGTTTATATATATACATTTCCGTATTATCCATATAAGTATTGTTTGTTCAAGATGTATTTATATGGAAGTCACCCAGTTGTATAATTATTTACCAATTAAATACATGTAGTATCATTTTGGCATATGTATCATTTTTCTATTAATTTTGCACAATTTTCCTTTATTTAACCTCAATTTTCTTGGCAACAAGGTCTGTTATATATATATTTATATTTGTTTGGCAATTCCCGTCAACATTAATAGAATTCTTGACAAAATCTCCTTACTTCTTATTTTAGCCAGATAATCATGAATGAAGGAATTGTATGACCTTATATATGGCCTTAATATATAGATTGGGAATCAGGGTTATATTATATTTTTGTATATATATCTGATAACACTATAGCTACCTATCTTTATGCTTATAGCTGTGGACTATATATCGGCCAGATTTATGGTAGAGAGAATACATCTATTTGACAACCACCATGATCCATCTAAGTTCTTCAGACCAGCTGTCAGAACATTACTGGTATGAACTGAATAGTTAGGAAACACTTTCAACAATGTTCAAAGTCATTTGTGTATTATTTGGGGAAAAAAAAAATTTTAGCTTTTATTTTCAGGCAGACTTAGTTATCTTAAATGTTGCTCTTTTGTAGAAATCATTACATTGTTGTTGATATTATTCATTGTGAGAGTGCCGATTGAGTAAAAATTACCCTGTCTTTTTCAAAATCTGGAGGAAACACTAAGACATCTGACAAAGACTTATATCAATTGCCTGACAATCTCACTTAAAAAAAGATATAATACAAACATTTAGACAACCAAATATGTTAGATAACTTGGCTTGTAAATGTGAATTAAAAGGGCAAATAATTCAAATTGACTGCAGTTTTGTTAAGCTGAGTAAATCTGTGGATTCAATATTATCTTACATCCTATACATTTCTAGGAATGTGATTGGTTAAAAGCAACCGTGTGGAGACCGTGTATATTTCATATGGGTTTAGTTTGCGTGGTTTATTTCAATACACGGTTAGTAGTGGTGTTACGTCCCTTTGTAAAAATAACATGGTTTTGAGGAAAATCTGAAAGGTTTCAACAGATGAAGAAATTGATGACGAATGATTGAAATAAATGCAGAAAACACATTAAAAGCTAGCAAGTTGTTATTGTTGGCATTTGTTTTTGTATAGACCAATTGAAGTAGGTTCTTAATATTGAAGACTTGATCACTTTCATTTGATAGGCCACTAGTATAAATGCTAAGATAGTCCGTAAGAAAAATTCGTTACACAGCTGTGCTAGTGACCTAATACGATGTATATGGGGTCAGTAAATTCCATATGTGGTTCGAACTTCGTTCACTCTCTCCTAATGGAATTTACTGACCCCATATATATCGTATTAGGTCACTAGCACACTATGTAACTAATATTATTAGTAGGATACCATTTTTTGTGTATTTCTTGGGTATAGGTATTTAACAACAAATTTAAAGGTTTAAAAGGTACAAAGTGTTCTTTACACTTGTATGTAGACTTGTCAATACCAGGAAATAAAATATGAAATTGCAATTTAAATTCAATACATGAAAATTGGTAACAATAAAATAAATGAATTTTATTAAAAGTTTTGATAAAATAAAAAAAAGCTTGGAATGAGATTGATGCTTTTACTACTTGATGTTTCAGTAAATATTGAATTTGACTTTGAAATTTCATTATATACAGTTGTTATTTCTTGGTCCTAAATAAACATGAAATATTTTCGAGTGGACGTGATGCAGACAAAAATCAATGTTTTTTTTCCATATTGACAGGTTGATCATATCCTTATCAATATGAATATTAGAGAAGATGTCCAGAAAGACGACATTATGTTATTGGATGATGATGTTGATGAGGATGATTGGAAGACAAGGACCAAAAAGAAAACAGGTTTGATTGTTTTTTGCATCATTTAATTGGGGCCATTTTGAATTTAGCATTCCTGCAAGTGTTAGTTTTAGACATGATTGAACAAATCTATTTCACATCACTTAAAAACTTGTTTAAGGTGGTACCAAACACCTTGACTAAAATTAATTTGGCTCGTATAATGTTCATAAAATTTTGACAAAATATTATTTTGACCCTTTGACAAAAATATAAAAATTTCAAAAACTTGAACCACACACTTTATCGGAAAAATTTCATTGGATATATAGCAGTTTGACAATCACTAATTTTGATCATTGAGAAGCTTAATATTTCCTTAACAATAGAATGTGATTAAAACGTTCAACTGATTTTTACAGAGTAATCTCCCTGTAGTGTTATGTAAATAAGAATAAAAGGAGATGTTGGGCATAAGTCAATCATGGTTTTTGCGACAGCAACCTGTCTTCACAAAGAAGCAGAAGACATTTAAAGGTCAACATATGATGGTCTTCATAGAAAAGTTGTGAATAACATTTTACAAAGACTATCATTACAATCTGCCACCAATATAAATAAGAAGATGTGGTATGAGTGCCAATGAGACAATTCTCCATTCAAGTCACAATGTGTAAAAAGTAAACAATTATAGGTCAAAGTACGGCCTTCAACACGGAGCCTTGGCTTACACAGAACAGCAAGCTATAAAGGGCCCCAAAATGACTAGTGTAAAATAATTCAAATGGAAAACCAATGGTCTAATCTATATAAAAAACAAGAAACACTTATGAACCACACCAACAAAGGACAACCACTGAACAAAAGGCTCCTAACTTAGGACAGGTGCATAAAAACACCCTGTCAAGTTTTTAGCTCACCTGGGCCGAAGGGCCAAGTGAGCTTTTCTCATCACTTGGCGTCTGTCGTCAGTCGTCGTTGTCCGTCGTCGTTAGCTTTTACAAAAATCTTCTCCTCTGAAACCACTATTCCAAATTTAACCAAACTTGGCCACAATCATCATTAGGGTATCTAGTTTAAAAAATGTGTAGGATGACCCCGCCAACCAACCAAGATGGCCACCATGGCTAAAAAATAGAACATAAAATGTAGTTTTTGGCTTATATCTCTGAAACCAAAGCATTTAGAGTAAATCTGACAAAGGGTAAAATTGATTATCAGGTCAAGATCTATCTGCCCTGAAATTTTTAGACAAATCTGACAACCTGTTATTGGTAATTTTAAGGAAATTTTGCAGTTTTTGGTTATTATCTTGAATATTATTATAGATAGAGATAAACTGTAAACAGCAATAATGATCATCAAAGTAGGATCTACAAATAAGTCGACATGACCAAAATTGTCAGTCGACCCCTTTAGGAGTTATTGCCCTTTATAGTCAATTTTTAACAATTTTTCGTAAACTTTTGTAATCTTTTACAAAAATCTTCTTCTCTGAAACTACTGAGACAAATTTAACCATACTTGGCCTTAATCATTATTAGGGTATCTAGTTTAAAAATTTGTCCGATGACCCCGCCTTCCAACCATCATGGCCGACATGGTTAAAAATTGAACATAGGGGTAAAATGCAGATTTTGGTTTATATCTCTGAAACTAAAGCATTTAGAGCAAATCTGACATGTGGCAAAAATGTACATCAGATTTAGATTTATCTGCCCTGAAATTTTCAGACGAATTTGACAACCCGTTATTGGGTTGCTGTCCCTGAGTTAGTAATTTTACAGAAATTTTGCAGTTTTTTGTTATTATCTTAGATATCATTATAATATCTAATATCTAATACTATTAATTATGATTTTAACCTTATTTTACATGATTTCCAAAGCATCAGTAAATACAGGTGAGTGACACAGGCTCTTGAGAGCCTCTAGTTTTGGAGATTCTTTAGCAGTTATTGAGGGTTATTAGGGATTATGACCCTCTGACTTCAATCTGAATCTTGATTTAAATAACTGATAGATTTTTTTGTCGGGGTGGGGGTTTTGTCTGAACCTAATAAACACCCTGGCTATGGTGTAGTAATTGTTATATCAAATTTAATTAATAATATAACATTGTTTTATTTACAGATACAATAAAATTAGCAATAGACAAAGAGCTTCAAAAATTAAGTGAGTATTTTTTTGGATAAGACTGTGGATGATATTCAAATATTATTTACAAGATCTCAAAATGAAGATATTTTGTCATTTTTTGCAGTTTTGAATTAAATGCAAGAAGTTTGAAGTCCATACAAAATTCAATAATCAAATACTGAGGTCTGACAGAAGATTGTCTTGTGAAAATTATGTAAATGTTTTATAGATTTATACTGTTATTGATTTTCTGATTAAAGGGGCTGAAAAAGTGGCTGATCATACCTTTTTCTTAGTGTATACTTCTTAAATAATACTTTTAAAGAATTTGAGAAAAGTATAATTAGAGCTTATCAGTGTTAGTGTGCATCTTAAGTTACTATATTGTATTTTTTTACTCCTGGTAATCATTGGTAATGTACATTTATGTTTACAAATGTTTTTTTTTTGTGTGTCTGTAATACATTCCCAGTTTATTTTATAAACAATTATTGTGTCAGGTGCACTTGAATGAATAAAACATTTGGACAGATTTACATGGTATTATATACTGTTTTTGTTTACTTTTGTTACATTTAATTAATCAACTTTTGATTTTATATTTGATTTGGAACTTTATAGTGTTGAAATTTACTGTGTAGGAGATTTTTAGATCTGCAGGGAAGTCACTTTCTGTTTGATGATACTTTGAATTTTTTTGTGAATTTGCTATAAAGAGGATATGGCATGACTATTTCCAACTTCCATGTTTTTTTCATTACAATATTCCAGACTTCCCTTACATGAAGAAAATTGGTGTATACACAGACAAATTGATTTTATGGCATGACTGTTTCCAACTTCCATGTTTTTTTCATTACAATATTCCAGATTTCCCTTACATGAAGAAAATTGGTGTATACACAGACACATTGATTTTATGGCATGACTGTTTCAAACTTCCATGTATTTTCATTACAATATTCCAGATTTCCCTTACATGAAGAAAATAGGTGTTTACACAGACAAATTGATTTTACACGAGGCCTCGGAAGCCAGCAAAATTTACGAAGAACAGCGTGATGGTGCTACAAATGATGAAACGGAAGATGTTCAGGAAGAAAAAGCACCATTACCTCCAGCCATGGATTTTGACGAAGATCCAAGAAAAGTTCTAAATGATGAATGGACAAAACTTTTCAAATTTCAGCCATTGACAAAAATTCGTAATTATTTTGGAGAAAAAATAGCCTTTTATTTTGCCTGGTCTGGCTTGTTGACGACATCATTATGGGTTCCTATGCTTTTAGGTCTGGCCATCTTTATATATGGGATAGTTAACAGGTAAATATATTTTAAAATTATCCTTTTCTCTTTTTTATGAAAAAAAAATGTTCCCTTTGGTTGCATTCAGTGAAATGAATTGCTGTATTGCGGAGTATATTTTTTGATTGATGTTTGCTTTTTAAGCCACATCAGTACAGAAGGCTAGAGTGTGTGATGAACAAATCAATATGACTATATAAAAAACAAAATTTATTCTTTAAAAATTCAGACAAAAAGGTCCTTCATCAGTCTAATATTATCATTCAAAACAAAAACACAAATAAATATATAGAATTCAATACAAAAACAAGTAAAATTCAATATAAAAAAGTGTTTGATAAAATATAAAAAAATTGATATCACATAATTTATATTTATAATTCATAATTTATAATAAGTACTTATTTCTTTTCAAAAAGATACAAGTTTGTATTTAAAAGTTACACATATTTTACTTTATTTTACTCATATTTTACTTGTTTTACCTTCATTTTATTTATTTACACATATTTTACTTTATTTTACACAGTGCCAGTAGTTCAACAGATAGTTCAAGGTAAGACATGTAAAAGAGGACATGTATTTATTTTTTAAGGTGTCCTGTTTTTGGTAGCAATACACAGTTAGGAAAAATCTTAAAATTGACACTCATAATTTTTAACCACCCTCTTTCCCTTGCTTTCCAACAAATAAGGCTTACTGTTTGTGTAATGTATGTGCATATGTATTGAAACAGCATATTCCATAGATTTGATTTCAAATAGTTAAAATGGTGAAATATTATCTCTTTTTTGTGTAACTATGGCAACAATCTGCATTTATTTGATACAAAATATTGCATACAGGGGGTTGAAAATGTCACAAAAGTCTCCAAAATTTGGTCCAAAGTAGAATTTCAATCCATTAGAGTGATACCTTTTCTGAAACCATTGACATTTATCTATATATATCTATAAGTCAAATAAAAATCAAATGCATCTCACCTCATTTTTCCATAAAACTGAATTGAAAAGTTCAAGGGTCATAATATATATATTTGTTGGAAAACACTTCAATTATTTCTGGACCTATGGCGGTACGGATGTGAAAATACAGATAGTCAAACAGAATACGGCCTATAAAACATGCCAAAAACAATCTTGATGTTCATAAAAACCCACTTTTTAAATGAAGGCTATATTATTCTTCAGCTATCTAAAAATCAATTTTATTGCACAATAACTTACATATTTAAAAAAATCACTGTGGCCATAATGCAAAACCAAAATCCTAACTGTGTTATAATGTCTACCTTTAACAGGTATATATAGTATTGGTATAGGCGAGATGTAGAATTTCTTATAAATGTAAATTGACTTTTTTATGAGCACAAATTTTAAAATAGAACAATACACAAAAGAAAATATTAGAAAAACAGATCAATTTAACAAAAATAAAATTAAAATATTCGTAAGGGTTCCGTGGAACCCAGTGTCTCGCCTACTTTTGCTGTTAGTCGCAGGCTCAACAAAAATGGGGAAAAAATTAATAAAACATTTTCCTCTAGATACTATCTTTTGGTTGTAAGAAGTTCTGTTCAAGTTTGGTAAAAATCCAAGAAGGTTTATGAATCTTATAAATGTTTTAAAAACTTTAACTGCAGACTGTATGTAATGTTAACTGGAATAAAACTAAGTCCATTTATAAGTCATATACGGAAAAACAGGAAATAAATTTTTACAAAATTTCCTTCTAGATACTAGCTTTTGATCATAAATAAGCTTCTGTCTAAGTTAATGGTACAAATCCAGGATAGTTTAAGAAAGTTATTAAAATTTGAAAAACTTTAACCACAGAGTGAATGTTATGTTAACTGGCATAAAAACTAAGTCCATATATGAGTAAAATACGGATAAACAGGATATTTTTTTTTTACAAAATTTTCTTCTGGATACTATCTTATGATTATAAACAAGCTTCTGTCCAAGTTTGGTACAAATCTAGGATAGTTTAAGAAAGTTATTAAGATTTGAAAAACTTTTAACCACAGAGTGAATATTTGTGGACGCTGCCGACGCCGACGGAATGTAGGATCGCTATGTCTCGCTTTTTCAACAAAAGTCGCAGGCTCGACAAAAAGCAATCAAACTAGTGTTGATATTTGAATCTATTGTTTAACTCTATCTATTTCCAGCACGGCAGGCAACAATAATGGATCAACGTGAGTATTGGCATTATGACAAATTTTGAATTATATAATCATGATAATTTTCTGTTTACATTTTCTTTCTGGAAACTTACAGGTTTTATAAATGAGTGTAACGATTGAAGTCTTCTTCTGAATTCTTACATTAATAAGGAATGACTTGATTGTTCATAAAACTACAGTTACATAATTATAAAGAACATATAGGAACATAAATATAAGGTAAAATAAATACATTTATGTAAAAAGCCCATAAAGATGTTAAAGCAGTGAGATTCATTTATTTTGTGGTGTCAATTTTTGTTGATTGAAGAAAACTTGCATTTTCGTGGATAATTGGTTTTGTAAAAGTCTGTATACAACCTTATAGAAAATATGACATTTGTTGAACATTTAAATTGTTGGTTCATCTGTACTCCATGAAAATTAGTGTTCAACAATAATAATGAACCCACAGTATGTCTTGTTGAATTTTTATCCTCAACAACTTTTAAAACAAGGTAGGAGTACACTTTGAAAACTTCTAACCTCAGATTTTTTTTCTTAAAATTTAAAAAGTTATATGTTTTAATTGATTGTTAGTATATTAACATCCGTTTTAAGTGTATGCCCCTTTCTATGTATTGATGTGGTTATTGAACACTTATGATGGATAGTTTTTTGTAGAAACACTATATTTTTGTTCTTCAGAAATTTACGAGCTGAGTAAGTGAAAATCATTTTGTTTAGATAATAATATAGAAAAGCAAATTGATTTTATCAAATAAAAAAGAAATGCTACTTTTTAATAACTGCATGTTATGATGCTAGTAGCTATATAGTGTTTTATAACTTTTTAATGCTAGGCAACATTCATTTTTGATTTCTGAATGATTACTAACTATATTTCAATATTCCATTTTCATTATTGACTTTGTATCAAGTTTGTATTTATACCCCTGCATCAAAAAGGGGTGTGTGTTATATAGTGAAGCAAATGTCTTTCCATCAGTCCGTTTGTTTGTTAGTCTGAACTTCCCTCCATCTGTCCATTCATCTGTCTGTCATAAGTTTGTTTTCCGGATGATAGTTAAAGTACCATGTCAAAACCATCCAAGTCAAATCTGTATTTTATGATCTATAACATTATGTTCAAATTTCAAAATATCTGGTCAAGTGATACTTTAATTATTAACTGGCATCCTAAAACTTCTAAGGTAAAATTTTTGCAATAGATTTAATTCTAAAATAAATAAACTGACTGTTTGCTTCAAGAATTCTAAAATTTATGTTTTTTCTAAAAATTGATAAGTCAAGCAACTTTCACATTTCTTAAATTACCAAGAATTCATTGTACATTATTCTGAAGTTTTGATTTCTTCACTGAAGCTGATGTAAAACTATGCTTCAAACAGGTGCCCCACTAAAACAATTGTGAAGTACCCACTTCAAAACAATTATTTCCATTAAACATGTCAAAGTTGTAAAAAAATCCTTAAAGCGACATATGATGCCATTTAACCACATCATTTCATTAAACATGATACAATCAACTCATTTATAAATTTTTAATCCATTGTTGCCGTTCCCTATAAAATGCAATCAGCTGATTATTGATTTTCTATCAGAATCGTAACGAGTTCAATGTGAATATCCAGTATTTTCAGATCAGGGGAAAAGTCCGAGAAACCCCAAAAAGATAAACAAGATTGACAAAGTCAAACAGTTATATTTCTTTGGTCAAATTCTTTCGCCAATAAAGAACTTTGATCGCCACAATTTTCATTTTTTCGCAAAATGGGAAAATGGCGACTGCCAGCGGAAACCTTGTTTTATGCCAGTCTACAAGGATCAATAGCCCTTCACCTTTCATCTGATACCTTAATTATTAAAATATATTCTGAATAGTGTTATATTTACACCTATACATAGGAACTATTTGGTTTTAAATCTGTACTACTTTCCAGTATGCTCTTTCTTGACCTGGCCCGATTTGGTGGTGTTACATCTTACAAGGTCTATCCAAATTATTTTTGCAAAGAAATCTGCTCTAGCTGGTGCTAGGGGCCATTTTAAACTTGCAGTGAGGTGAGTTTTTTTTGCTCCTTGTTGAAGGCCTCACCGTGACTTTGAGATGAATAACAGCAATAAAAGCACTGTTCCTTTGCTTTTTGTGTGGTTTTTGCTGTGCATGTACTGATTTTATGTCATGGATGAATTCCCTATACCTTTGTTTTTCTATTACAATAATAGGGGGCATTTTTTTAGTGTTGTGGTCTGTGAGTTGCTATATCTGTCAGTCTGTTGGTCCAGTATCAGGTTAAAGTTTTGTTTTAAAGTAATTGACCAAATCAAGATGAAACTTAATTAGATCATGGAAGTATTATTTTGACAAGAACTCACACAAACCGACTTCAAACGTTTATGGGGTAATGCTGCAAAATCGTTTCGTATCTGTTAATTAACTCCACATGGCAGATGGATGCATGGGTTCAATCAAATTTTTTGGAACCTCTTCATTGATCGTAATTACGGGGGAATATACCGAAGTAACTGGATGTGCGTACTTTATTGTCAAGGAAATGATATTTCACGATATTGACAAATATGTGAATTTCTACAGGTTTTGCTGCTTTAAAAATAAATGAAAGATAAAAAGAAAGAAACGAAAACCCTGCAACTGTGTGTTTTCACTAAAAAACTGAAGAGTTAAAATAGTCAGAAGTCATGAATATTTCAGTTTTAGTTACAATCAATTTTAATCGTAAGATTTTTATAGGCCCGTCAATTTTTTGACGGGACGTATTATGGTATACAAATGTCTGGTGTCCGTCCGTCTGTCTGTCTGTCTGTCCGTCTGTCTGTCCGGCGTAAACATGTCGCACCGTAACTTGAGAATGACTTATCCAAATTTCATGAAACTTAACATAATTGTTTCTTATGATGGTCAAACGATCTGTATATTTTTTGGTGAAAATAAGATTAAAACTTTTTGAGTTACGGGACTTAGTATCTACAACAGGTGTGTGTTTTTTTTCACATGTCGCGCCGTATCTCAAAAACAATTTATGATTATTGCTTAAAACTTTACACACTTCTTAGTTATATTAATCTTAAGATCTGTATACTTTTTGGTGATGATTCAAAATTTTATTTTAGAGATATTGAGTATTTTGTTAAAAAAGGGGGAGGGGTTTTTTACATGTCGCGCCGTATCTCAAAAACAGTTTATGATTATTGCTTTAAACTTTACACACTTCTTAGTTATATTAACCTTAAGATCTGTATACTTTTTGGTGATGATTCAAAATTTTATTTTTGAGTTATTGAGTATTTTGTAAAAAAAGGGGGAGGGGTTTTTCACATGTCGCGCCGTATCTCAAAAACGATTTATGATTATTGCTTAAAATTTTATACACTTCTTAGTTATATTAATCTAAAGATCTGTATACTTTTTGGTTTTGATTCAAAATTTCATTTTAGAGATATTGAGTTTTTTGTAAAAAAAAAGGGGGTTTTCGCATGTCACGCCATATATCAGAAACTATTTATGCTTATTGCATAAAAATTCACACACAAGACTACAGGCGTATTATGCGCTCATGGCGCAGCTGTTTATTATGCATGAGAGGGCCACTGGCTAAATATGCATACATACATGCTAGGCTTGAAAATCATAAATTTCTTATAAAACATAAACTAGAAAGTTTTTTTCTGCAATTATTTTTGAAGTTTACTGCTAACTTTGACAGATATTTTAATTAAAGGTTTACCGAATGTCAAGTGCAAAAATATTTCATGAATTATACCCAAAGATTTTGATTCAAAATTTGGTTCCCACAACAGATTCAAGGAGGGGGTACTAGTGGGCATGGTTTGGAAAAAATATCATATTTTGGCATAATAAAATAGTGCGTAGCAAAGCAAGAAGAAAAGAATCGTCCAAAACTTTTTTCGTCTTGCTTCGCTATAGGCGCTTTTTCTTCCATTTCAGGCTATTACGTCACCCCTTTCCTCAAACTATGGATCTACCCTTCTGGTGAACATGATACAATCAAAAGAACCCCAAAATATTACAGTGCAGTAAACCAATGATCATGACCATTCTTTGAATTAATTCAGATATATTTTAACTATTTAAATTTTAAGGTAACGTCAAACCATTCATAGTTTAAAGTTGCTTTAAACTTGTCATATGATTTTGATATTTACCTAAAATTAGTTGCAGTACATTGTTTTACCACATTAGATATTTGCTGCAATAATTACATAATGAATATAAAATTAACAATTAACAATTAACATTATAACTACCATTCAAGTTTATTTAATTAAACTTATATTTTAAAGGTGTATAATGTTATCCGTCTTTTGTTCTAAAATCCCAAAAAATTAAGGTCCTCACGTGTGGGTATTATTTAGTAAAACATGTACACATTTTTCTAAAATGTGAAGATAGAGAAAAACATTAATTTTTTTGTAACACTCGATAAAAATTGACCACATTTAAATTAAACTTGAGTTATCTTTCACCATCCTGCACGCTAAGTGTGCATTACATGTAATTTTTATTACTGGGGATTTACCGATTTAAAAGTCCCATTTATTTGACTTGGTGTCATATATATGGACATATTCCCTTCAGAAATGCAGCTGCTTTAAGAAGCTTTTATTACTTGTTATTATTTAAAGATTGTTAAAATGAATTAGTAAATTCCATGTATCTTCTAGGGTGACAGAGATCTTGACAGTTATCAAAGAAGCATGTGACAATGCGGCCACACCATACTATGCTTTAATAATCTGTGTCTGGGGTAAGTCCTACAAATGTATCTGGGGTAAGTTCTACAAATGATGTGTCTGGGGTAAGTTCTTCAAATGTGTCAGGGGTAAGTTCTACAAATGTGTCTGGGGTAAGTTCTACAAATGTGTCTGAGGTAAGTTCTACAAATTTGTCTGGGGGTAAGTTCTCTAAATATAGCTTTCTCTTACAATTGGTTACTAATTTTGTGTCCTATTTTATAGGTCAAGTGGCCTGTCTGTGAGTTCATTATTTCAAAGTGTGTGTCTTTCTATCAATATAATAATCTCCCGCTTACAATATTCAAAAACCATTTTACCAATAACTCTGCAATTAGGCACCTTGTACTGTGTACCAGAAAAAAATTAATAATGAAGTATGTTAACAAAATTTGCTTTGGGGCTTTTTTTTTTTATAAACTAGCAAGTTTTTATTACTGTGAATTCATTTATTTTCGTAGGTACAATATCTCGTTGAGATTTGATTGAGGAAAAATTTTATATTCGTGGATATTTGATTTTGTTGGTTTGCAAAAGCCTATATACTGCAGCTGTACTCGTGCTATCTTGCGCAGTTAGATTGAATTGACCGTATATTCATATGTGATATACAGTCACTGACAGTATATCGCCTTGTTTATGACATTGACAATGTGTTTACGTAGAGTTTTATTTATGACGTCCAATAAACATACAGGTTCGTGGAATTTTTACGTCGACCTCTCCAAATTAAAAAAATGATGGTTTTTACCCTAAATATTTCATTTGGAACAGTTGTAGGAGTTGCAGTATATAAAGAATAACCATACATTCGGCTCAAAACAGGATAAAAATGCTCGGCAAAGCCTTGCTTTTTACCTGTTTCTAAGCCTTGTACAAATAAAATTTATATTTCGAGACAATAAATGGTTATTCTATATGTATGCAACCTTGTGCAAAAATTATACTTTGTTGAATTATATTTGTGGTTCAACTATACCCATGAAAAATTGGTATTCTACAAATAATAATGAATCAACAGTACATTCCTCAAATAATGCTGCGTTCACACATAATTCGAATTCTATTCGCATTAACTAATTCAAATTAGTTTAATTCGCATTCGAAACATTTTACGTCCGAACGTAAACTTTAACACGAATTGCAATGCGCGTCAAATTCTCTTTACTGTCCGAACTTCGTTAACTTCTTAATTTAAATTATCAGTTAATTATTTATAATTTGATTCGAATTACAATTAAGAAAGTGTCCACACCACAGTTTAAATCGAATTAAAGCGAATTAACTAATTAGCATCAAAGAAAATGCATTTTTAGCCAATTTCAAATTTGATTCGAATTAGAAAAAGAAGAGTGTGTGAACGTGATTAGTGAATTCGATTCACATTTGATTCGAATTAAATGTATGTGTGAACTAGGCATAAGAAAATTTTGATCAAAATAACAAAGTTCAGAAATAAGTTTACTAAACAGTGAAACCTGAATTTGAACCACTTATAAGCCATAGATTTGTTTAATTAGACTGGTAATGGTTTTGTACAGGTTAAGATACTGGAGATATATCAAATTGTATGTGACATAATTTGTCTTAAATTTAATTGATGAATTATCAAGGTTTTCAGTTTTCCCCAATTTCAGTTAAGATATGTTTCACAAAATTTAGCATATTCATTGAAGAATGAGATATTCTGTAATGTTTGTGATTCAAATTATGAAAACACAAAAGAAAAATGATAAATGTTTGTGCATGACACTTTAGCTTTTGGGTCAAATTTGGGATTACGGTATATTTTTAGGTACATTATTTTTGGAATTGTGGAAAAGGAAAACTGCTACATTAGCTTATGAATGGGATGTTGATGAATTTGAAGCCACAGAACCAGACAGACCAGAATTTTATGGAACAAAAGCAAGAGAAGTAAGAGAGACATAAATCTACCTTTTTATTATACTTTGGGCCACCCTTAAGAAATTCTTTGTTTAATGTTGCCTACCCATGCCTTCTAGGATAGGGATTTTTTTTTACCAACAATATATTAGATAAACAACGTTACACATTTTACAACTGGAAAAAATCTTTGAAAAAAAAATTTGAAACGATTTGTGTTATAAATTTTTTTTGGTAGGCTGTTTTTTAAGTGGGAAGGTAGGCAACATCAATCAATTCAAATTTTATTTTTGGCCTTTTATAAAATATTGATTGGCCGTACAAAAAAATATTTTTTAGCTACTCAGCGGAACATAAGAATTTTTGATAGGTCAGTCAGGTTTCTATTTTTCTTTTTTTTAAACAATATACTGAGAATTCAGAAATTATTGCGTGCATTTATTATTGAGATTTTGTCAATTTTAGACTAAAATGCGATTTTAATTTTTGCGAAATTGAGAAAAATCCTGTTTAATTCTTATAAAAAATTTCAAAATGCGAGTTTAAGTTTTTGCGATTATAACCATCTTGCATTTTTCGCAATAATAAAAACATCTCAATAATTTCTGAATTTACAGTATTCAATAGCTTTATATTTGTTTTGGATGTTTAGTTGTTTCTTTTCCTATAAGACATCATAGAACATAAAGACGTTTCTAAATTTACTTATAAGCCCTTTCAGCTGTTCACAAAAAAGTTTCTTTGAATTAACCCTTCATCAATGACATAAAGATCAGTGTTCCAGCTAGGATTTCAAAAGGGCAGGGTGCCAATTCTGAAAAGGGCACATTTAACGCGTGAAAGATAATTTGAAAAAGGCATGTTTTAATAAAGATGTAAATCAAACATTGTTTTATTCCTTTGATCATAGGTAACATATATATACAATCACAATCACAATGACATTAGCCCAGATAGAACTAGATTAACAGAGGCCAAGTGCTCAGAGCAGTGTTCATGTTCTTTTATCTTATCTAACCGTATAGTTTTGCAACCAATATCACTCCATACACCCACTGAACTGTGCTTTTGACACAGCTGACAAATCATTACATCATCTATATTTTGCAACCAGGGTCTACCGTATTGCCATTTGGAATCAAAAACCGTTTTATGTCCACTATTATGCTTTCTTCTTTTATTGGGGCTTTTGGTAGATTTAAAAATTCTACTCTCTTCATTTTTTCTTTTTAAGTTCTCATCCAGTTTTTTGGGACTTTCATTTTCAGTACTTCCATTACGATTTCTGAAAAAAATATCTTTTATAAAGTATTTTTTTCCGTTATCGTCTTTTCCTAGAAGTAATTCTTTAGAAAAAATAAAAAAAATTCTATACAGTTATTTTTTTCAAGCTATCGTCGTTACACAAGAGTTGTAAAAATTATTATATTTCAGAGGATTCATTTTCAATCAAAAGGAAATAGTAACTGTCAAAATTAAAAATATAACAAACTCAGTCACGTAGTGCTAAAAAAAGTCAGCTAAACTTCTGTTCGTCACTTTATTTTTTTTAATTTCCTCTTTCAATCGTCGTTCACGCTTAGGCATTGTGATTGTAAATAAGACAAGAAAAACAAACTCAGAATGTTATATAGTTTTTATTTAATGAGTTAAAATCACCGCTAATTAATAGATCCTAGTAGTACATACAGATTATGTATACACTGATCAGCTGTTATCGACACACAGGTAAATCTATTTTTAACTTTTCCATGTTGACAAGGACGCATTATGTAATGGCGGATCATAACAAAACGAGCAAAATCAAACATCATCGATCTCCAAAAGGGCAGAGCGCAACGAAAAAGGCACAGGGCGCTTCGAAATCGTTAAAAAGGGCATAGGGCGCAATTGAAAAAAGGGCGGGTGCCGCGCCCTCTGAAAACGGCCTAGCTGGAACACTGAAGATTATATGCTCATATGTCTGTAGTCATAAAAAAAAGGAGATGTGGTATGATTGTAAATGAGACAACTATACACCAGATTTTTACAAGAATGTTTGGTAAGTGGTAAATCAGTCTTTGATAAAAACCTTTCATTCATCTTACCATTAATGTATGAATTTTAGAAGGTAGGTCTACCGGTAATCTGAAAGCTGGTAAGTTAAAATGATTGAAGATGATTGTCACTTGCATCACGTGTTTACTGAGCCTTGACAATTAGATTCTGTGCTTCCTGAGCCTAATGACAATTAGATTCACTATAAAATGTAGTTTTCTGTTGACATTAATTCATCACAGTATATGATATATAAACTTGATTAACCTGTGTACTGATGTTGCCTTGACAACATCCTGTATACTGTATACCTAATTTTGCTGTCAGCTGGTACCCATTGCATGGTAAAGTACAACAGAAGAATCACAGGACAGGAACAGTTAAGTGTACTGTACATTGCTTTGACAGTATACCATATGTTACAACTGGTTCCCAGGTAACATAGGTCTGCTTGAGAAGAGAAGGATACAATTGGTAACAGAAACAACAATATCTTATGGACAGGGAAACACAGAGTTGATATAAATAAGATTATTATACTTCATGTCAAAATGATAGATTTTGATTGGTTAATACGATAATGCTTTCTTGGGGTAACAATCTGCTCTATCACGCTCTCATCTATGTGTTATTTATAGATTAGTCCTAAAGAAAGGGAGAACACATATATCTACAGTGTGGTTATTTATGCATTTTCTTTGATAAAGCATTTAACTAATAGTTTTCTATTTTACAGTCATGTGACAAATTGTATATGGCATTGCAATGACAACAATACTTTATTTAAAGTGGGTCACACAGTTATACTACTAATGAGGCCCTCGTCATGCAAAGCATAATTTAACTGGTGGATACATGTATAAAAATAAGGAGATGTTGTACATATTACTGCCAATGAGACAACTATCCTCTGAAGTTTAATTGAAGTGGATAAAAGCAATTATAGGCAACAGTACAGCCTTCAACAATGGGAAAAACCCATACTGTATATGGCATATTAAGTCAGCAATAAAAGCCCCCAACATGAAAAAATATGGAACAATTCAATTGAGAAAACTAAAAGCCTAGCTAATTTATAACAAAACATGTACTTGGCATTTTAACTTGCATGTATATTTGCTTTCCCTAACAGTTATTTACTTTTTTAAAACTGAAGAAGAAAAGGCTTGTTTCTGAATTTCATTGTAATATCCTTAGGAGAAGGAACATTTAGCATAAAATTGAGAATAGAAATGGGGAATGTACTTACTAACATAACTACTTTTTGTAACTACTCTGAATTTTGTTTGTTCATGTTTTCCAAATCCAACATAAGAGTCGGGATGGGGTTTATAGAATAGAGTATAAATGGGTAAAAAGTGCAGAATAAAGGCCAAAAAATATGAAGAATAAACAAACATCAACCAAAAAAAATAAGAATAGAGAAAAGTGGAGTGTTAAAATATAAAGAATAGAGAATAATGGGCAAAAAATATAAAGAAAAGAGAAAAATTACCTAAACAATTAAAGAATACAGAATTGAAAGACCCCATCCAGACCCTCGAACATAGCAGGAGGATGGTCTCATAATGTTTGTTTAAATTTTACAGTATGCCAAGTACCTTTAAAGTCTGACAATGCCAAATAGCAATACAGTCTTTAGGATGTAGGTGTATAGTTTCAGATTTTCCTTGTATCAATCTGTTCTATTGTCTTTCTATAATTATCTTCAATTTCTCTTGTTTTTAGCTCTTTCTAGAAACTCATTTGCGGAATCATGAATTTTTCTTTAAAATTATAACTGGATGGAGATTATTTCCTTTGTTGTGCAGTAACTGCTTCATGACAGTGAAACTCAATGATGAGTTAATGATTTGCATGTTTTATATGCCCTATCTTTAAAGACGGGACATATTATATGGTATACCGTCCGTCCGTCATCAACACTGCTCACAATAACTCAACACTTTCACCAATTTTCATGAAACTTTGGTGAATTGTTTATATAAATATCTATTGACCTAAGCTCCAATTCAATTTTTATAAAATTTGAATTTTGTATTTCCAAGTTATGGGGTTTTATTCATAAAAAATGGGGGATTTTCAAGTTTTCTGACTATAACTCAAAAATGCTTTGAGCAATTTTTATGAAACTTGTGTGAATTGTTTATGTTTATTGACATAAGTTGTCTTTCAATTTTAAAAAATTTCTGGTTTTACATTATAGAGTATTGTGACTTTATTCATAAAAAAGAGGGGATTTTCCAGTTTTTGGACAATTACTCAAATACGCTTTTAACATTTTTCACTCTCACCTTCAGCTCTCTTTTTTTTTTTTTTTTTTTTTTTTTTATGAATTTCTGAAATGACATTGCGGAGTTTTGGAACTTTATTTGTGAAAACTCGTTTTGTTTTTGATGGGTATTACTGTGTCTGCATGACTTTTTTCTTTTTTTTTGGGGGGTGGGGGACTCTATTTGAGCAGTGTCACAGCATTTCTAGTTGATCATATAAATTCATTTAAAGCATATAAAGACAAGCTTAAAGGGTCATGTGCATGCCATGCTCATATTTAAAGTCATTTATTGTCTTTTGCCTTTCAACATGTACACTACTAGGGGTGTTTAACCACCTTGACTACCCATTAGGGTCTCGCACGGTCAGTAGCCTTTCAACATACTTTTAATAAAACTCTATTACAAAGCTGGAAATGTTTAAGAATTAAAGAAACTCAATGTTTTCTGCTGACTTCATATGATTGCTGTATTGCAGCCAATTAGACTCTATACCAGTGTACTTCCAAACAAGGGAAATAACTCATTATTAATTGAAATTTAAAAGTCTGATTCACTCTTTTGGAAGTGAGTTTTCAAAAAGTCATCAACTACTGAACAGAAATCAACAAAGCTTATATAGAATGTTCTCTGTATAGTATAGTTAGAGTTTTTCCATTTTCACATTGATCTTTATTATCAGACTGTATACCATATGAGAGTGAGTCCTGTCAGTAATATGGTAAGAATAAAAAGAGATTTAGAGATAACATCAATCAAACAGCAACCCAAAACAAGTTTACCAAAATAGATAATTTTTATAGACAAATCTAGAGATGGATTTAGGAGGGGAGTGAGCTACATATATGATTAATGCATAGGTGTTTTACAAGTCCCACTCCCAATGTTGTCTTGTTGTCCCCCCTTCCCCTTTTTTTTCAAAATCCAGTATCCACATCTGAAATTAAAATGCTGCATGAGTATGCAGCTAATTCACCCAATTTGGCCCTAAACTGACCATCAAATAACATGGACAATTATTGTAAGATTATCATAAATAAAAGTTACACATCATGTTGATATGGAGAAATGATAATCTAAAATGTGTGGAATTTTTTTGTATAGGTATAGATTATGGGGTTCTCTTCACATTGATATCTTAAAATATCAGCTGCGAGCCACAATGTGAACCTTTATGGCAAGTGAGTGCTAAGGAACGAGCTAAAAAATTCACATCGTGTCAAGAGGCTGATATTTACGATATCTATACGTAGAAAACATAATAATCTGTTTATAGTTCTATAACTGGTCTTTTTCCTCGCCCTTAGTCACTTATGCTTGACAAAAACAAGCTTGATAATGTCTCCTCACATATTGTAATATCACTGATAACTTCTCCTCAGACATTGTGAAGTCACTGATAATGCCTGATCAAATCTGAGAATTAGGGAGATACTGAGGAGGGCGATATAGGCGAAGGGAAGGATTATAAACCACAATTCTAAACACTTTGTCACAATCAATGTATAGAGGACAGATTGTCACAACAATTGGAACATTATGTGACACATGTAATACCAAGAATATATATTTAAGAATAAACTTTTCATCTCTCGTCCAATTTTCCCATCAATGGTCACATCTATGTAAAGTGTTACAAGATTAAATTTTTTTTTACCTCAAATTGTTTTTTTTTTTTAATTTTTGTCTTTGGTTTTGCTGTCTGATTGATATATGACTAAATGTCTCCTGTTTTTCAAAATGAATCATACATTGACTGCAGTTATTTCAATTTCAACAGCTAAATATTTAAAAGCTGCATTAATAAATTTTAGCTGAGATGAAACTATACTATAAAGCTTTGTATTACATTTGCACAAACAAGAATTAGGCAGCTTCAGTTTTATAAAAAATAAAAGTCTAGGATTTCAATATTTTTAAAATCTAATCAAAAATATATGTTTTTTTATAATGTTTTAAAAAAATTATAGCTTTCAGTATAGTCCACAAAAATTAACAAATTATATAGCATTTTTATAACAGAATTATGTTTGTGTGTTTTTATTATTTTGAAAAATTACATGCTATTCCATTGCTCTTAAACATACTGTTTTTTATCAATTATCAATTGTGTGACATCATACTTAAAGCACTTGAATTAGTACTTGAGGAAGAAAATTTCTCATTGTATTTATTCTAATGACAGTGTTAACATGGTTAAGAACCTTCAAACATGTCAATCAACACAATTTGAGCAAGAGTTAGTTCCCTTTTGTCACCATGTTGGGAGGTCTAAATGCACAAATTCTTTCATAAATCAATCAAGTTCATGGCTTGTTATACTGACTGCTAGACTTTAAAAAAAGTTGTTTTCTGAACAATTTAATTTTTTTAGCCTTGATTGATTCATCACTATGATTTAGTAAGGATCTGTTATCGGATTGTGTGTATGGCATGTTTTGATTTGGTTAGTCAAATCAGAAAATCTACTGTTTATCCTTCAAAAGTTGCGGCTAAGAGAAAAAACTGAAATTATGTCAATCTTTACCTTTCTATACATGCAATCCTTTGAAGTGTGACTACTCTTATGTTACAACTTTTTCACATATTGTTTATGGTTCATTTTTGTCCCCACACAACGCGTTGTGGGGGACATAGAAATACTGGGCAGCCATCCATCTGTCCCTCTGTCTGCCTGTCTCATGTGTACAATTCTTGCCAGATTTTTATAAAACTTATATCATAGCTAGGTTTATATCAGCAATGTCTCTGACAGATTCTAAAATCAGTGCCGATCAACTATTCTTAAAAGAGCCCTTGGAAATAATAATTATATGGAAAATTGTTAATGCTCTTATGTGAACTATTCTTGCCAGATTTATATCAAATTTATATCAAAGGTTTATATCAACAATGTCTTGGACAACTTCGAAAATCAGTGCCTATTAAATGATTTTAAAAGAATTACGGAAATATTAATTATATTGAAAATTACATTGTCAGTTTTTTTGAGTTATCGCCCTTAGATAGATAATATATGTGCAATGCTGGGGGCGTTGGAACTCTGTTAAAAAAAGCAAGGTAGATTATTTGTTAACAGAAACATAACAATCTCAGATTTATATTTCTAAGTGGCAGATTGTGAAAAACAATTATGAATTTATGTACATATAACATATTTAATCCATTCATTTTCACCTCTATATCTCTAAATTTGCACCCTCTCCTCCTTCTTATGGCAGTGACCTTTGTCCTCTGGAAACACAATTATAAACACAATCTCCCACAATCGTAACAATTAGCTATTGAGCTATCTATTTCGTATTGTGATGGTTTGATGCTTCAATTGCATATTAAAGATGATAACACATCAATATATACATGTACAATCCTGTGTACCAGACAGACCAAATGATTGATTCTTTGATGAATTGATTGATTGATGCATTAATGAATTGATTTTTAAAGGAATTGATTGATTGATTGATTGATTAAATGAGTAATAGATTGATCAATTGATTTATTGATTTCTTCCTCTGCTTGTTTGTTCATTAATTAATTCATTCATTCTTTCAAAAAAATATATCTCTTTTGTCTATATATATTGATTAAATATTGAATTTTTTTTTAGGATCCAGTGACCGGGGAGGAAGACTGGTATTATCCAATGAAAGAACAGCTAAAAAAGTTCCTGCTGTCAGGGTTGACATTAATCTTCATGTTATGTGTTGTTTTGGCTAGTGTGCTTGGAGTCATTGTTTACAGAGTGTTCGCTAGTGTTGACTACTGTCCCAACATGTCTGCCCAAGCCTGTGTGATGGTAACAACCGTTGTTTCATCTTTGCTGAATACAATATCAATTTTGATACTGAGCAAGGTAATTACAATATATGACAGTGGAGCATGATTTTCTTTTTGAAATTCCAATGCATCACATGTACATTTAAAAAATTTGTAAAGTTTCAATGACAATTTAAGCATTTTTTGAAGAAATTAGGATGCATAATTAAATTTCACACCTGCACACATACGCACACATGTACTAGTTCAAACAGAGACATGTCTCTAGGTTCAAACAACGTGGTTATGACGATTTTTCATTTTCACTTTTTTAATTTTTTCATCAAATCATATTTGTAAACATATTTCTGATAATTTAAACCTTTTTGACTAAATTAATTAGATGCAAACCGCTGAAATGTAAGAAAATAACTTTAAATAGACCGATCAATGTCCGGTTCAAAATAGTTTACCTGTCACCTGAACAGGTAAATTTCAGCTGTTTGACAACTAATTAGCCTTGATTAAAATGAGAAGGTATTGAAGTAGGGGTTGTTTTGGTAGTACTTAATGATCATGTCACTTTTATGACCTGAAATGTGTGGCTGTTAAAGGCAAAACGTTGGGTCAAAAAGATCGCGAATTATGTTAAAATGACCGTCTCTTAAAGCCTTGAAAACTAAAAAGTAGATGACCGTTTCATGCTTTGCCCAGCCGGACTTTTACCGGACATTATACAAATGTCTGGCATATATGACCGTTTTGGAAGCCTTGGTTCCGCGGAACCCAGTGTCTCGCCTACTTTTGCTGTTATCTATGTTTTCAGTGAGATAGGGGAATGCACATAATAGATTTACAGTTAATGAAATAAAACGTTTGAAATGTATGAAAAAAGTTATGCTTGTAAAAATGAATACAGTATGGAATCAAATCTATAGATTTATAAAAGAGTTGAAACATAAATTGATTGATTGAACAAATGATAAAGAAGATAATTTTTACATTGTTTGATGATTTATCCCTTAATTCAGATGACGACGGAATGTAGGATCGCTATGTCAACAAAAATGGGGAAAAAATTATTAAAACTTTTCCTCTAGATACTATCTTTTGATTGTAAGAAGCTTCTGTCCAAGTTTGGTAAAAATCCAGGATGGTTTATGAATCTAATTAATGTTTTAAAAACTTTAACTGCAGACTGTATGTAATGTTAACTGGAAGCAAAACTAAGTCCATTTATAAGTAATATATGGAAAAAACAGGAAATAAATTTTTACAAAATTTCCTTCTAGATACTATAGCTTTTGATCATAAACAAGCTTCTGTCCAAGTTTGGTAAAATTCCTGGATAGTTTAAGGAAGTTATTAAAATTTTAAAAACTTTAACCACAGAGTGAATGTAATGTTATCTGGCAGAAAAACTAAGTCCATTTATAAGTAAAATACTGAAAAACAGGATTTTTTTTTTACAAAATTTACTTCTGGATACTATCTTATGATCATAAACAAGCTTCTGTCCAAGTTTGGTTCAAATCCAGGATAGTTTAAGAAAGTTATTAAAATTTCAAAAACTTTAACCACAGAGTGAATGTAATGTTAACTGGTAGAAAAACTAAGTCCATTTATAAGTAAAACACGGAAAAACTGGAATTTTTTTTTTACAAAATTTACTTCTGGATACTATCTTATGATCATAAACAAGCCTCTGTCCAAGTTTGGTAGAAATCCAGGATAGTTTAAGAAAGTTATTAGAATTTCAAAAACTTTAACCACAGAGTGAATATTTGTGGATGACGACGCCGACGGAATGTAGGATTGCTATGTCTCGCTTTTTCGACAAAAGTCGAAGGCTTGACAAAAAGTGAAGGAAGATAAAACTCATAAGTCAAAAATAAACTGACAACGTCATGACACAAACCCCAAAACGATGAAAAGACAAACAAGTCCATTAATCAATTGAAAAAATAGGGGTGATATCAGGTTCTCCTGCAATATAAGCAGACTCTGCTCTTAATTTTGACTTAAAAACTAAAATTATAGTTGTTTTTGAAGAATATCTTTCAGTTTTACATGCTTTACCTATGAATACAAGGAGATGAGAGGCAATAGTCCAAAAAAAAATTATTTTTAAGATTAAATACAAAAAAACACAGAAAACCCCTGCTGAAGGTATGTCATGTCTTTTATAACATACTATACTGTATTGGTTTTCCTCATTGTTGAAGGCTAGACATTGACCTGTAGCCGATTACATCTACACCATTTAGCCTCTGGTGGATAGTTGTCTCATACACCTTATCAGTGTTTGTCCGCCATTACTGGACATCACAAAGGTTCCCATAAAATTTTAACATCAATAATAGAAAATATCTGACGCCACAATTGAAAAGTGATTATTGTATGACGTCAATAGTTCAAGAGGTGCAGATTCTCGGGTCAAGCGGCGCAGATTTCCAAATAGCGATAAGGTTTATTGGCAATCATACGAAATCTTATTTTATATACAAACAAGATTTCAAATTTTCATAGAGGGTAATGTTTACACAGTGCGTTAATAGGTCTATGAGCTTTAAACTTTGTATTTTACTTTGTAGCTGTATGACTGGCTGGCGAGAAAGCTAACAGACTGGGGTAAGATTTATTGGGTTTAATATTATTAGAAAATAAATATATATTGAAATCGAAAAACACAGCACCTCAGATTCCAGGCATTGTTTGATCCCTCTTTGAATAAAAATGTAAACAAAATCTAACTCATTCAACAAAAAAAAAAGTTTTATAGGGGTCAAAAGCAAAACTCACAGATTTCCTCAATATTTGCTCATACTTGACCAATTATGCAAGTGATAATTGTTTAAACTGCATGATTTTTGCCAAAAACTTTCTCCAGTTGTTACAGGTGTGTGAAATTGAAAAAACAGCCATATAATATTCTCTATTGGATCAATCCATCAATTGCTTAAATTTGACCTTAAAAACAATTTTATTATATGTCTTTGTAGAAAATCACAGAACACAGACATCTTATGATGACGCCTTGATTGTGAAGCTGTTTGCCTTCCAGTTTGCTAACAACTACGCTTCATGTTTTTACATAGCCTTTGTCAGAGGGGTTCGTATTTCTGAAATTTAACTTTTGTCCTTGAAAATTACGTTGCAAAATCTTAGGTTTAGCAAAATAGATTTATATGCCCCTGCCATTGGCAATTGAGGCATTTATTGTTACCCTTGACTGTCCATCCTTCTGTCCCATATTTGTTTCCACACTCCTTCTTAATTTTTCCTCATCCAAATTTTATGAAACTCATACACAATGCGAAGAAACACAACTCACAAAGTTAAATTTGGGCAGTGATTCACATACTGTTCTAGAGTTATGCCCCTTTATAACTTGGAAAATAGCAAATTTTTTTGTTTCTGTACTCTAACTCCAGCCTTATCATCCAAATTTTACGAAACTCATACGCAATGCTAAGAACCACAACACGCAGACAGAGTTTAAATTTTGGCAGTATGTCATTAACTGTTCAAGAGTAATGCCCCTTTATAACTTGGAAAATTGCAAATTTTCAGTTTCAACACTCTAAATGCAGTTTGTCTCATCCAAACTTCATGAAACTCATACACAATGCTAAGAAAAGGCAACAGGCAGACAGAGTTTTAATTTGGGTTGTGAGTCATTTACTGTAAACAGGGAAATTTTCGCGGCATTTTTATTTTCGCTATTTTTTTCGGTAAGAATTGAAACGCGAAAATAAAACGACCGCGAAAATTTCAAGAAAACTCTATTCATGAGATGAAGACCATACAAGGGATATGTAGAGGACCACCGTATAACACGGATTTTACAGACGACAGATCGATACCTCAAATCATAACTGTATTTCTAAATGAAAAGCAATGTTAGAAATCATGACTTTAACTCAAGTTTATCTTATTAACATCGAAGACATCTCAAGCAAGCGGAAATTACGGATATTGCTATGTATACAACACTCATTACAAATATGTAAATGACACCTGTCAATCAGTTTTAAAAGTATTACCTCGTTGAATCTGCTACACAGATTAATCAGATCAAAAGATCGATAAATTAGCATTAATCTCGACAGCATTTTATTTTAATTCACTCTTAATTAGGTCTTCTTTTCTGTTATTGTGTTTGTGTTTTTACAAGCAAACATGACACAACTTTTAATCTCCTTTAATATTAATGAACCGAACACAAATGATTTCTGATTGATTTTATCACTTGATTTTCAATACATGTAAAGCTGTTCACTTACTAAATCACTTATGAAAATATTTATATAGGCCACAGGGAAATCGCGAATTCAAAACGGCGCGAATTTAGATTGTGTTAATAAATCGCGAAATAAAGACGGCGCAAAAATATCCCGGTTTACAGTACCATTCTAGAGTTATGCCCCTTTTTAACCTGGAAAACTGCAAAGCTTGAGCGGGGGCATTCATGTCCTCTGACACATTGTTCTTTTATTTTACAAACCTTTTTGATGGTAAAGAATGCTGTTGCACTGTTCTTTGTAAAAATTTATCATTTTATCGTTATAGACTTTGAATATCTCAGAAAGTTTAAGGGTAAAAGAAAATACTGCTTGTTGTTGATCAAGCACTTACTCAGTAAGCTTTTAATGAACAGCTTTCAACTACATCAGGGTTTGTACATGTGTCCTTACCCAATCAGAATTTTGACCACACCTCCATTGTTTAAACATTGAAGGTGATTGTCAGATGAACAGTCCATAGACTCATTACTGACAAAATTGATTTGGAAAACAGAAAGTTTTAAAGTACTTATCTTGATATTGTATGTTTGTACTAAGGATGATATCTGTAAAAATAAAGCACTGTGAGTAACATGTACTTTTTTGTTTGCTTAAATGAGAAGATTAGGAAAGAGGCTCAATGAATTGTTTTTGTCAGCCTTGGTATTAGACTTTTTTGTGTTTAATTGTTAAATAGAAGTACAATGATAATTGAATTGATCATGGTTTCATTCTAATATATTTACAGAGATTTGGTGAGGATGGTATCTTTGGTTTAGGACCAAAATACGTAGATAATTGTGAACCCAATGGGAACTGTATGTCAGAACTTTCCTTCCAGATTCTTATTCTAATCATTTGCAAACCATTGCCTAAATTCTTCACTGATGTTGTTTTGCCGTAAGTATTCATAATCTTAATGGTTGACTATCCAGTAGTGTAACATACTAAGTTTATAAGCTTACAAGGTTTTATGACATTTGTTTTGGTGCAAAAGAGAGGTGAAAGATACCAAAGGGATATTCAAACTATCTTTCAATCAGTTTAATTGAGGTCTGGAGCTGGCATGTCAGTAACTGCTAGTAGTCTGTTGTTATTTATGTATTATTGTCATTTTGTTTATTTTCTTTTGTTTCCTATTCTGACATCGGACTCGGACTTTTCTTAAACTGAGTTTTACTGTGCGTACTGTTGTACGTTTGTTTTTTCTACATTGGCTAGAGGTATAGGGGGAGGGTTGAGATCTCAAAAAACATGTTTAACCCCGCTGCATTTTTGCGCCTGTCCCAAGTCAGGAGCCTCTGGCCTTTGTTAGTCTTGTATCATTTTTAATTTTAGTTTCTTGTGTATAATTTGGAGTTTAGTATGACGTCCATTATCACTGAACTAGTATACATATTTGTTTAGGGGCCAGCTGAAGGACGCCTCCGAGTGCGGGAGTTTATCGCTGCATTGAAGACCCATTAGTGGCCTTCGGCTGTTGTCTGGTCTATGGTTGGGTTGTTGTCTCTTTGACACATTCCCCATTTCCATTCTCAATTTTATATTGAAAATAAACTAACAACGTCATGGCAAAAAAAGAAAAAACCAAAAGACAAACAACAGTATACAAAACACAACATAGAAAACTAAAGACTGAGCAACACGAACCCCACCAAAAACCAGGGGTGATCTCAGGTGCTCTGGAAGGTTGATGCAATATGCCAAATTTTATTTCATGAATAAAATGAAATGTGGGATAAAATCAGTGAGACAGCAACCAGTCAACACAATATATAATGAGTGAGTAAAAAGGTTTTACACAACAAGTGGTGATTAACTGATGGATAAATAAATATGAACAAAATAGGAATTGAATATTTTAAACTCAATGAGATTATCACTGATATTTTCAAAATAGTTTACGTTCATTTGAATCAATCTAGCTCTGTGATTTTAGTAGTGACATGTTGGCAAATTTTAAATTTAATACTGGTACTTAAAATATAAATGTATGACTCCAACTTTATAGTACACATGGCACCTGCTTTTTGAATGATATATTCATCAGGTACCCTGAAAGAATAGTGTTGGATGTTTAAAATTGGGGAAAAATGGTATTGTCATCTAAGTTTTTTGAAATATCGAACATTTACATCTGTTTACATTTCTCAGGCAATAACAAAAACTGACATACCAATTGTTCAATCTTATACTTTTGTCTTATCATTTATAACTGAGAGTTTGTGTTTTCATTTAAAATCTCAGGTGGCTTCAGCGTTTATGGAGAAAGCGTCCTCAGTGGTGCTGTAAAAGAAAAGTGGAAGGAGTTCAAGACAAATTGACTTTTGTCCAGAAAGAGGCTCTCAAACCTTCACTTGGTGATTTTACTATGGGAGAATACACAGAGAAAATCATTCAATATGGATTCCTTATGGTTTGTTAACAAACAATACTTAGTTAAGGAGGGAGGGGCCAAACCTTGTTTATAGGAGCTAACTCTTTGCCAAATAATAATTCTGTCACTTTTCTGTCAAAAATAAAAACATTGCAAAAATACCTGAATTTACATCAATTTTAAGAATAATATTATGGTAAATATATACACATCTAAGAAAGCACATTTCATATTTGATTACTTGAAAAAACTACTAAAAAGGAAATTGTTTTTGTCTTGCCTTGACGGAGTCAAAAAGCGAGACATAGGTATGCTGTTTCTGGTGTCAGCAACGGCGGCGGCATCTTCAACAATGTATTAGTTTGTGATTAGGTCTAGTTCATGGTGAACCACTAGTGGTAGGTCAATGATATTTGGTATGCAGTTGTATTAGCATTGGCACATCTCATTACCATGGAGATTATTTGGCCTTGCCCCCTCAGTCAAGGTCTATTGACCTTGAAACTTTGCTTAGTTTACATGTATTAGTTTGTGATTAGGTCAGTTTACGGGGAACCACTAGTGGTAGGTCAATGATATTTGGTATGCAGTTGTATAAGCATTGGCATATCTCATTTCCATGGAGATTATTTGGCCCTGCCCCCTCATTCATGGTGTATTGACTTTGAAACTTTTGCTTAGTTTTCATGTACAAATGTATTAGTTTGTGATTAGGTCAGTTTAAGGGGAAACGTTAGTGGTAGGTCAATGATAATTGGTATGCAGTTGTATAAGCATTAGCACATCTCATTTCCATGGAGAATATTTGGTCCTTACCCCTCATTCATGGTCTATTGACTTTGAAACTTTTGCTTAGTTTACATGTATAAGTTTGTGATTAGGTCACTTTAAGATGAACCACTAATGTTAAGTCAATGATATTCTGTATGCAAATGTATTGGCATTTGCAAGTTTCATTTCCATGGAGATTATATAACCCCACCCCTAATTATGGTTCATTGACTTTGAAACTTTTGCATAGTTTACAAATTTATGTTTGTGTTTAGGTTTGTTTAAAGCTAAGAGAAAGACTTATGAAAAGTCAATGGTATTTGGTTTGCAGTTGTATTAGCATTGGCACATCTCATTTTCATGGAGATTGTTTAGCCCTGTACCTTCAGTCATGGTTCATTGACTTTGAATATTTGCTTAACTTACATGTTAAAGTATTGCTATTTTAATTTCAACATTTGCATTATCAAAATAACAAAAAGGCAAGACATAAATGTGTTAACAGTTTATTTTATGTTCCTCTGTGTTGGGGACATAGAAATACTGGGCAACCATCAGTCTGTCTGTCTGTATGTATGTCTCAAGGGTTTATATCAGCATTGCTCTGTTAAGTTCGAAGATCAGTGCCAAACAATTATTTTTAAATAAGTTAAGGTAATATAAATTGTATGGACAATTGGATTGTAAGCACTCTCAAGGCTACATATTTTGTAGAATTGTTATGAAATTTATAGCACTGGTTTATATCAGCAATGTCTGGGATAAGTTCAAAAATCAGCACTAATCAATTATTTTTACAGGTGGAATATGTCCCTTTAAAATGTAATGTATATCTAACATTGCATTGTAAGTACTCTCACACCTTCATTTCTTGTCAGATTTTTATGAAATTTATACCAGCAAGGCCCTCGAACATTACAGACCAATTTTTTTCAAATTTTTTTTACCTTGTAAATAGAAATTATATAGAAAATAACATTAGTGATTTCATGCCTACATTTCTTCAGCTTTTATCAAAGAGTTTAAAAGAACCAAAAAAAAATGTTGGGAGTTATTGCCCTTGGACTATTAGACAGATAAAATTTGTTCAAGTTAGGAGACATTGGACTGCTGTTCTTTTATTATACTTGATCTACTTGAAATTTATATATGTTTCCTGATTATTTTCTTTTACAAGCTGCCTTTTCTTGTGATGATCTTATTATTTTCTGCCAATATTTATCAATTATGGACTTTTGTCTAGGTCAATACGTTATATATGGACCTGTTTGGATTATATTGACTGAGGATGAAGTCTGAGTGTCAATATAATCTAACAGGTCCATATATAATGTATTGACTGAGTGAAAGTCCTTAATTTATATATTACATATGTAAATAATGTATTAGAAAAATAAACTTCAATGTTCTTTATGATTTTTTTAAAAATTTTATTTTGCAAGATTTTTAACATGCTATTGAAAATATTAATAAATAAGATTAACTTGTTTTATTGTTAACAAAAACACAGCATTTTTTTTCTGTTTAGAACAAATAAGAATTCAAATGGAACTCATTTCAGTTTACTTGCAAATTTTCTTTTCGTACTCTGCGGCGCTTCCATCGTGATTGTTATGTGTGACGTCACATATTTTTAATATTGATTGTGAATATACGTATAAATAGAAACACAGCGTCACTATACTTAAAAATAGAAACAAGGCTTCAGATACATGAAATATTATTTGAAACACATGATCGTAATATCCAATGAAAACAGGAGAATGCTACACCATATGTAATATAACATCTTATCTGCAGATTTCATCTATAATAATTTTTTCTTGCAGTTGTTTGCAGCCTCACTGCCAATAGCACCACTGATTGCCCTTTTCACAAATCTTATTGACATAAGGGTGGATGCCAAGAGAATGCTTTGGTGGTACAGAAGACCATTAGCCAAGATAGCACAAGACATTGGTAAAATATATGTATTACCCCTATCAATCCTCAACCTTACTCCACATTAGATATCTCATTAGAATATCGGTGTAAAAATAAGATGAGGTGTGATTGCCAATGAGACAACTATCCACCAGACTCCAAATGATTTGGATCTAAGTAACTGTAGGACATCATACAACAACTTTATTTCACCAAAAAAATTATTTGGATTAGATGTATCTAGATAAAGTAGTGCTCCTGCATACTGCCAAAAAAGTCCAGGGTTGAAATTACGTGGAAAGTATGTAATTTGAAATGAAAGTTGAGCTGAATCTATACTTTGCTATAACCATGAGGATCTGGATGGAAGTCTTCCCTTTTGTATTCTTAATGTTTGTAAGCCATTTTTCTCTATTCTTAATTATTTTGTTTTAACATATCATTCTCTATACTTTATATTTAGCATTCCATTATTCTCTATTCCGTTTAGCATATTTTTCATTACACTTAATTTTTTTGCACATTATTCTCTATTTTTTGCCCATTATATTCCCTGTTCTGTAAACCCCATCCAGACTCTCGCACAATTATCTACTACACACACATCAACAAATGAAAATACTTCATATAGTGACCAAAAGCTGATATTTTACAATACATATATGCAGAAAGCATGGTAATTTGTAGTTATCAGAAATATGACAAATAAAAATTGAGAATGGAAACATTGAATGTGTTCAAGAGACAACAACCCGACTAAAGAGCAGAAAACATCCCAAGGACATCATTGGGTCTTCAAGATAGCGAGAAAATACCACACCTGGAGGGAATTCAGCTGGCCCCTAAACAATAATATATACTAGTTCAGCGAAAATGGATGTCATACTAAACTTCGAAACATATAAATGAACCAAAATTAAAAAACATACAAGACTAACAAAGGCCAGAGGTTCCTGTCTGGGGAGGGACGCAAAAATGCAGCGGAGTTAAACATGTTTTGTGAGATCTCAACCCTCCCCTTATACCTCTAGCCAATGTGGAGTAAACAAACACACAGCAATATGCACAGTAAAACTCAGTTTAAAAGAAGTCTGAGTCCGATGTTAGAATAGGTAACAGAAGAAACAAAGCAAAATGACAATGATAAGGCTTCCAACGACAATATATTTTGTTTGTAGGTACATGGTATATAATTCTACAGTTTGTAAACATTTGTGGAGTGATATCCAATGGTTTCCTGATTGGGTTTACCTCCTCATGGGGAAGACAATATGATGTTTATACAAGACTGTGGATAGTTGTAGGATTTGAGGTTGGTTCCTTTTTTTATTGTGCAATTTATAACAGTCATATTTTCAAATTTGAATTATAAGTTACTTTATATCATAAACCATACAAGCCTTTTAATCCAATTCTAATCCTACTTTTCAGTTCAATATGAATTTTATCTTACAACTATTAGGTCGCTGAAATCAATATACCTTTGGCAAAACAAGTCTTTTTGGGGGATTTTACATTAATTCTGCCTGACCAATTTTTAGTTTCAATAACTGATAAAGGTAAAGCAGTTTATGATAAAATTCAAATAGAATTTTACCACTTGTAAAAAAAATTGTAAACACATGTATGATTTTCATTGTAAAAGCATAATGAATCGGATTAAATTCAGGATGTGGTTAGAAATTAAACAATCTAGTTAATGTTTTGTATTTTTGTAAAAAAAAACATGTTTTTGTTAAATTCATAATATTTGAGTGTTACATGTTACATGACAAATTAAATCATCTATTTCAATCTATATATAGGTATCTTCCATACTGAAAAATTAGTAAAGTTTGAAAACTACAGATTTGAGAACAATAGACATTTTATATATTTATTTGTTTTATTTGTAACAATAGCTTTGAAAATGAAAGGTAAACATTTTGTTATTATATACAAGATTTATGTATTGTTACTTATGATAATTTATGCAAAAGCATCATTTGAAGCATGTAGAATTGACAGAAATATTTGAAAATTTTCCACTATAAAAGAGTATCACTGTATGTATGCATGTACAAAAATGTAATATGGAGTCATTCACACTTTATTTTTTTTTTACCCTTTTGACTGACTGTTTAAGCATTTTATCATTTTGACTGACTATTTTAGCATTTTATCCTTTTGACTGACTGTTTTAGCATTTATCACACTGACACTGTAAAAAGAATACCAAAATAACAATGAGTATTTTTTTTCATTTATTGCAGATTAATACATTTCCCTCTGTGATTTGCTTGTTCTGAGCTTTCAATACACCTTATCGTTATTTGTCTGCCATTACTGGCCATCGCAGAAGTTCCCATATAAACTTGACGTCATTAGAGAAATGTCTAATTCCATTATGCAAAAGTGATTGTTGTATGACATCAATAGTTCAAGTGTCGCAAAATCTTGGGTCAAGTGTAGAAGATTCTGAAATAACAATAAGGGCTATTGATAAAAGTTCAAAAATAGCGTCACATATTTTGCCTGCCTACTTCTTTTCCATATTAAGGCATGAAAATGATGGCAATACCAGATGACATACACAATTTTATAGGAATGTAATGACTGAATTATTCAGGGTATTTTGTTTCCTCACTGTTAAACACAAACAACACTACATGTTTGTTTTCAGGTTCAATAGATATATTCACATGTTGTTGAGAAGACTGCGGGACCGGCTACATCTCAAATTACCTTTATATCCAAGGTTGATGTCACTTCGGCGACATCACCTTATCTTTGATTAGTAACAAGTAAAACATCAAAGTGAATAACTTGTTTGTTATGTAACAGAGGCAGATAATAAGAAATAATCCCCACACATGATCACTCAATTAATTCAATATGACCGTAAGACTACTTAATAGTTTTGATGTTTTTGATTATTGGGTTGACATATCATCTTTTTCTATAGAATTTATAGACAAATTACATGAAAAGACAGGATCTTCCGCTGAAATTTTTTTCTGATTTTGTCCCTTTAATCTTGAACATGTTGAGATGTTAAACTAGTTTTATGAGTAGTCAACAATAATATAAATAAACCAGAGAATAGCTAACTTAAAAAACTTTCATCATTAAAATTTCAGTTATTTAAGCTGTGGGAAATTAAGACAGTTACTAAGGAAATTAAAAGTTAATTATAATTTTGAATGAATATTTTGCATAAAATGCAGGATAGAGAATAAAAATAATTTCAAGGATTATTTTTATAAGTTTTTTGCACTAAATGAATATTTGAAGTACTTTTGATTTTGATAAAAATTTTCAGGAAATGCATGAAGAGTTATTAATGTTTTAATTTTCAAAATAATCAAATAAAAACAATGCAATGTTTAAAATGTCACGTACACTTATTGTAATGAGAATGGTGTCAGATCAATAATGCAGTTGTTTTGATTATAAAAAAAGTGTTTGTGACCAAGGTCATCGTAATAACAGTAAAGAAGGTCATGGTTAATTTATTGTTATACAAAAATAGAATCTTTCGAATATCACGTATTAATCACACATTGAAGAAAAGCAACACTTAATCACTTTTTTTTCAAATAAAATATGTTGCATTAAAATCTAAACAGTACTTAAAATGATATAGTTTGAAATTTTGACAATGAGGATTCAAACCCCATTGAATATTAAATTCTGATGAAGGAAGTCTTTTGTTTTTCTGATGACTTTAACATATTTTCTTAGAACAAAGAGGGTCTTCAGATTAGCTTAAATAACTTATCAAATTACTGTGAAAATTTGAAAATGGAATAGATTTGACCTGACTGATTTTGGGTGAACTACTGATCTTCAGTAATGTACCTAAAAGTCAAATGTCAAATGCTAAGTTTTTAAAAATTCCTCTCTTTTAAAGAACAAATCTTCAGGAGATGATATACATGAGACAATATTTGTTAGAAAAAAATTCTTTTGGGAGAGGAACAGTGCTTTTATTGCTGCCTTGCATCTTCACAGTTGATAGAAGCTTCAAATTGTATTGATAATTGTTTTGTATTTCTTAATATTGATAACTGCTATATTTCAATAGCAATAATATGTAAACTTTAGTAGTTTCGGAAAATTAGGCAAAAAATAAAATTAGATTTGTTTGAAGTTGCCTACATAGATATAGGAAGATATGTATGAGTGCCAATGAGACAACTCTCCATCAAAGTAACAATTTATAAAAGTAAACCATTATAGGTCAAGGTACGGCCTTCAACACTAAGCATTGGCTCACACCGAACAGCAAGCTATAAAGGGCCCCAAAAATTACTAGTGTAAAATCATTCAAACGGGAAAACCAACGGTCTAATCTATATAAAAACGAGAAATGAACTACATAAACAGACGACAACTACTGTACATCAGATTCCTGACTTAAGGACAGGTGCAAACATTTGCAACGGGATTAAACACCCACTTAAAAAGCAGCCTACCCAAGAAATTTCATGACACAAATTGTTTTAGATTTTTTTTTTAAAGTTATATCATGCTCTTACGTCGTTTTTTTGTCTAAAACATGTGACTTACAGTATTCACGATAAACTTTTAAATCTACAGGCCCCGGAGCTCAATTTTTGGAAATTTTTTGTTAGATTCTAACTTGGCCTGTAAAGATGATTTTTACAAGCCCGAAAGCAATTTTACAAGCCTGGGCTGCCGGGCCTGTTGTTAAGCGTGAAGGCTGGACTTAAGTTGGTGGCCAAAACAAAAATAAAAAACCCCTACCTATCTATAGCTACCCAACCCTACAAGGCATGGGTAGGCAACATTAAACAAAGAATTTCATAAGGGTGGCCTTATACAGACAAAACTGCAGTATTCAAGATGAAAGACATAAAAAATAATATGAAGTTGCAAATTTTTTATGTTCAACAGATTATATTTTTATTTATTTCAGCATATAGTGTTTGCCCTGAAATTCATACTTGCCTACCTCATACCAGATGTGCCTGGTGTTGTTCAGTTAGCATCAAGAAAGGTATTTTTAATTAACTTTATTTATGATCTCAAATTTTGATTATATTTTTCCATGCATTATCATAACATTCTGGAACAATAATCCCCTCAAGAATTTAGAAACCATCACTTTTTATGCCCCGCCATATCAGAGGGGGCATTAAGTGTTATCCTTGTCCAACTGCAAGTATGTCCCTTAATATTGGTTTCCATTCCCTTACTTTAATTTACCTTTACCAAATGTTATGAAACTTATACACAATGCTTATTACCACAAAATACAGGTCAAGTTTAAATTTGAGTGGTGTCACTTTTACCTTTCTATAGTTACACAGGTCAAGTTTGAATTTGAGTGGTGTCACTTTTACCATTCTATAGTTATGGTATGCCTCTTTACAAATGAAAAATTGCTGAGTTTTTTCATTTCTGTTCTCTAACTTAAGTTTGCCCTCAACCAAATGTTATGAAACTTATACACAATGCTTATTACCACAAAACTCAGATCAAGTTGGAATTTGGGTAGCATCAATTTTACCATTCTTGAGTTATGTCCCTTTATAACATCATATTCTGGTACAAAATTATAAGGCGTATTACGCCTGGAAATCTGGCTTTAACCAGGCATAACTGGTAGTTACGTGTCCAAATCCAGGCGTAATGGAGCAGGAAACATAAATTTGTAGCAATTACAGGTATAGAAAAAAGAAGTAAACCTGGCGTTAATTGAAATAAGCAAGGTGTAAATTTTCCTACAGGCGTAAAACTGTTGGAAGGGCATAAATAATGATACCCAGGATTTCAAAGTTTGGCTCTCTGGTATTAGCTTGCAAGAGTGGGTCCGGACATATGACAGCGTGATATATTCAGGGAAAGTTTGCTTTTTTTGTGCTTTTTGTAAGAATTTGAAATTGGATTTATGTAATCAAATTAATGATTTTGATGACATTTTACAATGTAATCTTCGGTTGATAGTGTTTAGTTGAGACATCACAATTATTTTCAGACCTGCTATGTAGTCATATCTTATGTCAGTTTATATTTTGAATATCATTTAAGTACTACAAAGCAAATCCAAAAATTGCAATTTCACGCTTTAAGGTTAAGAATTCTATAAAAAAATGAATCCTGAGGTTGTAATGAAACACATCTGCAATTATCAAACCAAGACTTAAAATTCATTTCTTTTTTGGAACAACAGAATATGCATTGCATGTCGATTGTAATGAGAAAAGACAGAGATAAATTAGAGCAAGAATTATCTGAGTTGATAAGAAATCCACCACATCAACCACCAGACAGTCCATTTAAGGAACTACCAACAGTTTACAGGGAGCCAGAGAATGATGATGAATGGCAGCCTGTTGATGAAGAACAAGTTCATGGGTATTGACATTTTTAAAATTACATTGATTGCTTAGACTTTTATGATACTTTCAATTTTTTGTCATGCGATTTTACATGAACATATCCACTTACGGTTAAGGTTTTTTGGCTCATCTTTTGGTTTTGATAATTTTTTTCTCCGTTGATCAATATCTTTCAACAATGCTTAGGATTAGAAAAAAAATTTTTGCACAGAATTCAGCTCAAGCCGGTGCTAGGGGCCGTCTAAAACTTTTTTTTGCTGTGCAGCATTTTAATGTTTGTTATTTGACAATTGCTAATGTCTTGAATATCATCTACGCAATCATTAATTTCTTACCGTACATTTTTAACCTAATCTTATGATTTCATTGAAGATCATCACCCAAACAGAAGAGAAGACATAGAGTGGATGAAGAAAATACCTATGAGGAAGTAGATCATAGTCCCACACGGAAGTTAAAGAAGAAGAAAAAGAAAAAGAAGCATCATCATCAACAGGAAGATAGAGAGGATGGTAATGTTATTGCTTTCAATAACGCATTTTAAATCCTTTTCTTTTCATTGCAAAATCCCTAATTTTTCATTCGTAAATGTATATTATCCCACATTGCCTATTGGGTTGACCATAATAGTAATTTTTATGCCTACAAAAGAAGAGTGGAATTGTGTTTTCTGGTCTGTAAGTCTTTCTGTTTGTTAATATGTGGTTTAAAGTTTTATGCCATCAAAACTGCATTTATTGTCAAGACATTAGTAAAAAACTCTTGGTTTTTAAATTTGACACACCTCAACTTTAAAACATACATAAATTGAAATCTTACACTAAAAGTTCAAATTTCAGCAAAAAGTTAGTCCAATTAAGTCTATTATCACACCCTGTCCTTTTCAGTTTTTGGAGCTTTAGAGGTTATCATATAGTTTGGGTATGTGTTTATTACTGATGTCCAAATAACTCCTAGATGTTTTATGAGGTTGTTTTGTCTCACTGCCATTTTCCAACATTGTTTTAATACAATAAATGTATACTCATTGTATTTATAGATGACATTGAACCTCCACCCTACAGTGAAGAGCCATCCTACCGTTCAGACCCTCAGTACTACACAACTAGAGATCAAGATAGGTAATTCATATATTTCATGATATAAACTTTGTTTCAATGAATATTTTATAATGCTTTTAATTATATTCTATGCATGTTTACTAATATTTGGTAGGACTATTAATTTAGTAATCAACTAGTTAAGGTGTAGCGGAGAGCAAAATCAAAATATAATACCTAGTTCATTGTAGAGGTGACACTTGGAATATTTTATAGAATATTTAATTCTGTGCATGAGTAAAATGCTAAAAAATCACATTGATTATTTTAATATAGATGCATGTTACAAGTTTTATTAATTAATAGATAAATTCATTTTAAACTCAAGTAGCATATTCTATGTGATGTACTATGCATTTATAAAATGGTTAATATTATTTGAAATATACAGTACATTTCATGGACTCTATTCTATCTGTGTTTCAATTACCTCAGAAGTGATATTTGATCAAAAGTAAATGAGGCCTCTCATGGGGGTGTCCAAGTAATCACGTAATCACAACTTTTTTGCTGATATAATCACATATTCATTAACTATTTTTTTTAAACAAGGTAATCAAATAATCAAAAATACAGTCCTAGATTAACAAATAATAAAAAAATCATGAAATATTTGGTCTGGTAATCAAATAATCACTATAAAATAGGCCATGTAATCACATAATCAAAAACCCCATGAGGAGGCTCGTAAATATTATCTGTGTAGATACATATGTACATTCAGACAGTGTGTAAATAATTCAATTTGTGACAACATAACAAGCTTTTGTTCTGACATCATAATTTTCAACTTCGACAACAGCAACATTCAAATGCCCAGAATCCAAAAAACTTGTTTAAGAATTAATAAAAGCAGTTTTATACTATTCAAGTGAATAAATATTTATGTATTACTCAGAGAATGTGAAAGACACAGGCCATTTTTTACTTTTGCTTGTAGGGATAGTGGGGATATTATATATATTCCCTTTTTTGATATAGAATATGGGATATAGGATATTTATACCACCGCTTTAAAAGAGTGGGGTATAATGTTTTACCTCTGTCTGTCCGTTCATCCATTCATCCGTCTGTCTGTCCGTCCGTCCCAGGAATATTTTTTGTCACATCTTTCTCAGGAACTACACTACAAGGATTTCTCAAATTTGGTTTCAGGGTTTATATAAGTCAGCTATACCGTGTGATGCGTTTTCAGATTCATCACTCAACAACTTCCTGTTTACCGTCAAGTATTTGGGCAGGGGTTTCTTCAGTGAGCAGTAGCTCACAGTTTCATTTGTTCTTTTTGCTTTTATTAGGAATAGGGCACATTTTAAAATTATTTTGTATGATTATTCAATATGGAAATTTAATGATTAAGAATACTTAATATTAGTACTTAAATAGGACTCATTAAAACTTAAATCATAGGATTATTTGTCAGATAATAAGTAATTGAAATCTTGTTATATATTCTACTTATATATGTACGTTTCATTGCAACTTGTTTTTGTAAAACTGTCTTCTTCTCTCAGTATGAGCTTCCTTTGAAAGGAACACTGAGGATAAAATCCAAGTATTGGTTATAATTAAACTGTCAATGAGTATGATCATTGTAGCACTTCTGATACCACTTAAATTTTGTATACTTAATCTCTCTACAGGAAACTTTATATACTAAAACTATCTCTTTACAGAAGAGTGGGTTTCATTGATCATCAAGTGTCCAACATCCTTTTTTCTCTTCAGTAAAGGTCATGATGACCTGATTTTCATTTTGTAAATTTATTTTTCAGGCCAATTTCTTTAATTAATATTAGCTTCAAATTGAGAGAAAATGTTATTGTTAACATTAAATAGTGATTTGTTTTTTTTTTATTTTTGGTGTTTTAACGTCACTTTTAAGCACCGCTTTTGGGCTATTTCGTGGCAGCCATTTTTTATTGGTGGAGGAAGCCGGAGTGCCAGGAGAAAACCACCGACCTTCGATAGGAAAACTGACAATCCCAGTCAATTAAGATTGGAGTCGAGTGCACCCGCACGAGCGGGGTTCGAACTCACAACCTCAATGTTGACTGGCTAGTGATTACAGTAGTAACTACTTAGACCACTCGGCCACCGAGGCCCCTCATTAAATAGTGTAAAACATTTCAAACTACCTGCATCTACTTGTATGCATTTGACATATATCTTGCTTTAATATAAACATTTTCAATTTTTCAAAAAAAATTTAAATGGGGAATTCTCACAGTGGTATAGACAATGACATAGTCATAATTGTGTTAAATATTGATCAATCAATCTAATTCCATTCCCTATCTGTATTTTTGCATGAAACATATATAAAAGAAATATATGTCCGGAATTTTTTGTGTGGTACATTTAGGTCATGGAAAAAAATAAATATTAGTTTCTCAGGCCAATTTTGAAAATGTTTAATGAATAAGAAGGCCTACCTGGCATCACAGTACAATACTTACAAACTGAATTCATTTATCTTTTTTATAGCAATTTTCCTGGATTATGGAAAAGTTGTACTTTGATTTCATGCATACATGATTTTGTGGTTTAACAAATTCTGCTTACAAATCTATACAAAACTTAAATTTAGCTTCACCTATACCCACGAAATACTTGAAAATAGGTACCTCAAAAATAATAATGAGTCCATATATATAACATCTTGACTGATTTTCTGAACCTGTCTAATTTTCATTGAAAAAAAATCATTTCATCCCCGACAATTTCAGTGACAAAGATGTCAATTTGTAACACACTAGGAATGATCAAATTCTGGATTTTACTCAAATTCTTTTCATATTAATCAAAGTCAGTTACATGTTTTTGATTATGAGGCTGTAGCAGAGAATCTAGTTATATATTTGCTCCTATTTGTAACAGGAAAGATTCTTTTGTGGATTAAAAATAGGGTGGGGGGGGGGGGGGAAATAACTTGAAAAAATGGATTTCTTTGAAACCCTGATTATACATTTTAAACATGAAAGATTACTACTAAATGTGCTTAAAAAAGCATTGAAATCCACAAAAATTGTGAGCACACAAAATAGATGTACTTCCACAATATTTGTCTTGCACAAAATACATAATTTGTTGGGCCTTATGTATATTTTGTTTATTTATAATCTTATAAAACAATTACTTGTTGCATTTATGTTTCTCTGGAATGGAAGATCAGTTCTCTTTATAACAGTACTGATGGGGATATAAATCTCTGTTTTGGTATAATTGGTACTGGTTCTACCTTGATTGATATTAGAAAGATAGTAAAAAAAAACAAGACTGCAATTAAACATGTTAGGACATAAGGTCTAAGTAAAAATTCTTTTCAGATGAAAAAAAATTGAATCAAAATGCTTCTTACTACCTCAAAATAATTAGTTTGAATATTCAAAATGTTAGATTATTTCCAATGGCGATTTTGTGTTTTCAGGAAAGAATTTGATGTATAGAAAGGTAATGAACACTGTTTTATGTAACATTTTGGTTGTTGTTCTCACCCTTTTAACTTTGTATATGTTTATTTAGATAGGGTGAAACGTTACATATTTTTTTCTGTTCTTGGAATATATATAAATTATATAAACTTGTAAACAAATTAAAAGAAATATATTGATTAGTTAGTTTTATCCTACCATACTTTATATTCAATTAATATTTTTACTTGTTGAATGACAAATATAGTTTATTTTTATTTATTTACCGCCAGACTTTAGAAAAGGCTGTTCTCTAAACAATTTTAATTTATGTCAGCCTTTTAAAAATCATTACTTTTAATCATGTTTTTGACGCTTTTTATACGCCCGTCAAATTTTTGACAGGACGTATTATGGTATACAAATGTCCGTCGTCCGTCCGTCTGTCTGTCTGTCCGTCTGTCTGTCCGTCCGTCTGTCTGTCTGTCCGTCTGTCTGTCCGGCGTAAACATGTCGCACCGTAACTTGAGAATGACTTATCCAAATTTCATGAAACTTAACATAGTTGTTTCTTATGATGGTCAAACAATCTGTATACTTTTTGGTGATAATAAGATTAAAACTTTTTGAGTTACGGGACTTAGTAACTAAAACAGGTGTGTGTTTTTTTTCACATGTCGCGCCGTATCTCAAAAACAATTTATGATTATTGCTTAAAACTTTACACACTTCTTAGTTATATTAATCTTAAGATCTGTATACTTTTTGGTGATGATTCAAAATTTTATTTTAGAGATATTGAGTATTTTGTTAAAAAAGGGGGAGGGGTTTTTCACATGTCGCGCCGTATCTCAAAAACAGTTTATGACTATTGCTTAAAACTTTACACACTTCTTAGTCATATTAACCTTAAGATCTGTATACTTTTTGGTGATGATTCAAAATTTTATTTTTGAGTTATTGAGTATTTTGTAAAAAAAGGGGGAGGGGTTTTTCACATGTCGCGCCGTATCTCAAAAACGATTTATGATTATTGCTTAAACTTTTACACACTTTTTAGTTATATTGATCTAAAGATCTGTATACTTTTTGGTTTTGATTCAAAATTTAATTTTAGAGATATTGAGTTTTTTGTAAAAAAAAAAAGGGGGTTTTCGCATGTCACGCCGTATGTCAGAAACTATTTATGCTTATTGCATAAAAATTCACACACAAGACAACGGGCGTATCATGTGCTCATGGCGCAGCTGTTTATTTAGTTTTACCTTGCCATGCATAAAAATTAGTTGATTGTTTCCTATAACTGTGCAATCATTCTTTCTAAGATAGTCATCACCCATTTAATTATTAATAGAACTGCCTTTCAGCTGATCACTTTCTCCAAAGCCCCCACCCCCGAATAGAATAAAAGAATAAGAAAAATTATCATTCAGACATAAAAATGTTTTTATATGTTTCTGTGTATTTGAATTTCTGACATTCTGTCGATCATCATTCAAACTTGAACTTTTTGGATTCTTACTATAGTACATTGTAAAACAAACTGGTTTATTCATTATTCTAAAGGCAATTATAATTTCTAGGTAAAGAAACCAAATTTTTACAGCTATTTTCAATAAATTGTAGTCCTTTATGCCTATTGTCCTTTGTCCATAATTGTAATTGTAACAGAATGTAAAATTCAGTGCTTTAACTAACCATACTCTGGACAAGACATAGGTGTTGGTTTTCCTGCAATGGTGTCGTTCTTTTTGGCAGCTTCAGCAACTGTTAAGTTTTCTGCTTAAATCAGTTTGATAGGAACCAATGATATTTCCTATAAAGTTGCATTACTATCAGTACATATCAGTTTGTTGACCATTTTGATGCACTGCCCTCTGTGTCATTGTCCAGCAACACTTTGAATTATTTAGCAATGTTGCAGTGTTCATCAGATTGTCTTTTCTGATTTTTTGGCCGACAGGCGAGACATATCTCTGTGTCAGCAGTTTATTTGCTATATTTATCAATCTAGACAATATTATTTGTAGTTAATGTGGTAGTGCATTTGCATTTTAAAAATAGAATGTGATATATCTTTTTGGCTTTCAAGTAGATTTCTTCAGTGTATTGCATAGTCATCTAGTCTATACTCTACTGGACTGCACTAGTAGTAGTTTCTCCAGTGATATATTAATCCACTTGTCAATGTTTTTATTATAAGATTTTAAATCACATTGCCAGACTCTTCAAGCTTATGGGCCAGTACAGCTAATCTCAAATCTTTAACAGGATTAATACAGAAACAGACAGTTAATAACACTATATGAATACATCTAAATTTATAAAAATTCCATTAAGCTACAGTGACATTTCAGGTAAAGTCATGTCAAATTAAGCAAACCCATTATATCTAGCAAATATAAAGTACCTGGGAAGAATAAATCAGACTTTTTGACCAATCCAATCTAGTGATTGATTGATTGAAATGAAACAGTTTTACTTAAAATATTTCCATTTAAAATCGTTACAAAACACAGAACATGATTTAATTTTTTATGCCCCTGTCGCTAGGTTTTGGGGGCATTAAGGTTTACCCTTGTCCGTCTTTATATACGTTTGTATGTACGCTTCCAAAAATTGGTTTCCATTCTTTAACTTTAGTTTGCCTCAACCAATTGTTATGAACCTTTTATACACAATGCATATTACCACCAAACACACATCAAGTTTGAATATCGGTGGCGTCACTTTCACCTTTCTTGAGTTATGTCCCTTTATAAATGGAAAAAATGGCAAATTTGCTATGTTGGCATTCTAATGACAATACAATTACACATGTCCGCTTTTTCCTTTAAATTTCCTATTTATAGAATAATTCAACTTCCCTGTCTAGGTCATATAGATGATGAGGACTATTGTACTTACCTTCCTGTTTATATAATTATGAAGCCTTGAAAGGTCATTTTGATCTTTTGCTGTGACGTTTTCTCAGCAAAAAAAATTAAAATAGCCTTTGTAGCGTTTAATTCTAATCCTATATGTTTTCACATAACATGAGCATTTGTTGTCCTATTTGACTAGTTTAAAGTTTTCATTATATATGTTAAGATTTCAAATACTGTGAATTCAGATATTATTGCGTGGATTTATTAATGCGGTTTTTTTAAGGCTTATAAAAAAGTGTGATTATTTATTGCCATTTCAGGAAAAGCTTATACAGATATACATGTATCAGATATCAGAATGCGAGTCCTTATGATGATACTCACCCAGTCGCATTATTCACATTACTAATATTTCACAATGATTTCTTAATTTACAGTATACAGATCTATGACATAAAACCACCAAAATACCTTAAGATTACAAAACTAAGAAAATAATTGATGACAGCATTAGCCGTAAATGTGTTAAATTAACCCAACTTTCTTGCAAATTTTTACTAAAAGCAGTATTGCTCAGGTGAAGACTAGCAAGATTAGGTGACATAACCTTAGATTAACCTGAGTTACAACCCAGCAATTTGTAATCTTAAGACATTTTATTATAAGTAGTAGTAATAAATTAGAAAAGAATTAACTGATTGCAAGAAAATGGTTAGCATATGTAGTGTTTTAACTTTAATATAGGTGATCTATTTCAGATTTTTCTGTTAGAAAGAGTTATCATAATCTTTTAAAAATTTATAATACAAGGGATTAATGGACACACACTATTTTTCTGTGTTGTTATAATTCCAAGCATTTGAGTATTTTTCTTAAATATTGTTCTTAAATTAAATCCTAGAAGAAAATAAAATCTATAAAAAAATATGCATTATTTTTGTCGAGCCAGCGACTTTTGTCGCACAAATCTCGACATAGGGATAGTGATCCGGCAGCGGCGTTAGCTAACTTCTTAAAAGCTTAATATTTCAGAAGGTAGAATACCTGAATCCTTCATACTTTGTATATAGATGCCTTATGTTATGAAGTTTCCGTCTGTCATATGTCCATAGACCTTGACCTCATTTTCATGGTTCAGTGACTACTTGAAAAAAAGTTAAGATTTTAGTATTCTTAATTTCTCTCTTATGAGTAATAGGATAACTATATTTGGTATGTGCGTACCTTGCAAGGTCCTCATGCCCGTCAGACAGTTTTCACTTGACTCGACCTCATTTCATGGATCAGTGAACAAGGTAGTTTTGGTGGTCAAGTCCATATCTCAGATACTATAAGCAAAAGGCCTACTATATTTGGTGTATGGAATGATTGTAAGGTGTACATGTCAAACTGGCAGGTGTCATCTGACCTTGACCTCATTTTAATGGTTCAGTGGTTATAGTTAAGTTTTTGTGTTTTGGTCTGTTTTTCTTGTAATGTATGCAATAGGTCTACTATGTTTGGTGTATGAAAATATTTTGGATTATGGAATGATTGTAAGGTGTACATGTCCAACTGGCAGGTGTCATCTGACCTTGACCTCATTTTCATGGTTCAGTGGTCAAAGTTAAGTTTTTTAGTTTTGGTCCTTTTTTCTTATACTATATGCAATAGGTGAACTATATTTGGTGTATGGAAATATTTTAGGATTTACATGTCTGTCTCGCAGGTTTTATTTGACCTTGACCTGATTTTCACAGTTCATTGCTCAGTGTTAAAATTTGGTGTTTTGGTCTTTTTTTGTTCAACTATAAGCCATAGGTCAACTATATTTGGTGTATGGAATGTTTATAAGGTGTTTATGTCTGTCCGCCAGGTATCATATGACCTTAACTCCTTTTACATGGCTCATTGGTCAATGTTAAGTTTTAATGCTGAACTTTGTTTCTTAGAAAATATAAGCAATATGTCTACTATATTTGGTGTATGGAATGATTGTAAGGCGTATCTGTCTGTCTGGTAGGGTTCATATGACCTTGACCTTATTTTCATGGTTCATAGGTCAATGTTAGTTTTTCTTCTTTTTTGATTTGTTTTTAAGATACTATATGGAATTGGTGAAATATATTTGGTTTATGTAATTAATATAAGAATTAAGATTTATACATCTGACTGGCTGGTGACATCTGACCTTGACCTTATTTTCATAGTTCATTGGTCAATGTTTATTATTTAAAGTTTATCCAATTTCTTTTACAAGAAGGGATAAGTCAATTATATCACTCTTAACCACAGTTATCCAGCATATCTTCATATAGCGGATAATAACCTATACAATTAGTAGTATGAAGACACTATGATAGTTGTCTTCAGCAGGCCTGGCAGTAGCTTTAGTGTTCATACAGGCATCAGCAGCAGCGACATTATTTCATTATTTACAGCTTAAAATTTATAATGTATGTCTGATAGCATTTACTTTCAACATAACTTCAATTAGAAATACACGACAGGCGAGACATTTCTGTGTGTCCACTCTTGTTAATTTACTGCTTTATTTTTTACAGACCAATATTTTTTAAAGTGAAAGGACCTCAGGGCCAAGTCTTAACAGAGCTTCCTATATCAGAGAGAACCGGACCTTCTTCCAAACGTTCCACTGTTTCTTCTTCTCATATCACTGTCAAAGGACCGAGAGGAGAATTCATAAAAGAGCTTCCTATGTCTGCTGATAGAAGATATAGATTAAAACATTCAGATGATTCCATGGCTTAAGTTGTACCAATGTCAACAGTTGTTTTCTATGGGTGCTAATTTAAATGCATTTTTATACGATATTATAATACATTACATTATTTTATGTTGAGTTAATTTAAAAAAAATATTTAAAATTTACTGAATGCCTTAAATATCAGCCGCATTACAGAAACACAAATTTTTTAAACATGGAGGTATCTTTAATTTTGAAATTAAATTTTTGATAAATTTTTTATAAACCTCTTTTTTTTCAGAAAGAAAATAAGGGTTTTTTTCCGATACCTGATATCCAATTTAATAGTCTTTGAAAAATCTCTCATGACTTGAATTCTTAAATTATATACCATATCTCTGTATTCATAATATCTTCAATAGTATGTATTTTACTTCAATCATCTCTTACATTTTAAATACCCCGCTGATATAAACAGGTGGTTATTTTACTGTAGGACCGTCCCTTCATGCTTTGTACATAAAGTCTAATTTATATTTTGATTGACTTTTTATGGAATTTTAAAACAATAAAAAAAGACCTTATGGAAGACAGCAAAAAAAGAGGAATTATTTTGTTTCTGTCTTTCTAGAGTTAAGGCAGTTTTATTTTAATTTTAATGAAGATGATGGCCAGTTTTTTTTTTATCAGGGTCAACATAGAATTGTTTTAATTTCTCTTTAATATACCTAAATTTGTTAATTTTGATATATTATATTACTTGTCTTGATTATATGTAGAGTACTTTAGATGAATCAATTACTTTTAGTGATACATTTGTAGCCAGCGGATGCAATTTTAATCAGATTTAAAGAGAAACTTAAACAATGATATGTTTCATGGATGAAGTTGCTTGTAAAGGTTTTATTTTTTTTATATTATTTAGTATTTATATCTTCTTTAAATTATATTTATATTTAAGTTTTTCAGTATCGTGGCACAACAGGGTTTTAATTTGTATGTTCCCTGAATTTTATACAGAAGAAACAAATTGACTAACTTGCTAATGAACGATCAAACAGTCTTAACTTATCTTTTTACAGATTGAAATGGAAATGAAATTTTTTTTCTACATTTTTGTAAAAAAAAAAATTATCTGTATCAATACCTGCATGGTCCAGTAATTAACATGTAAAAAAGTGAAGGTAACAAATTTCGGTCAATTTTGAAAATTGTGCTTGTCTTCTCCTGTTTCATTTTGATTTATTAATAATCTAATATACCGAAAAGCTTAAATGAAAGTAAATAAAACATTGTTGACTGATGTTCTTTATAAGAGTACAAATCAACTTTACAAACAGTCAGCAAAGAACACATATCAACCTTTTATACATACACAAATCAACACCTTCTATTTTGGTATTTTTGGTACATAGATAATGTGATCTATTAAATCTTCCTAAGACATATATATAAAGACTTTTTTAAATTTCATGTACTAATACAGTTTACGAAAAATTAAATTGGATTTTTTTTTTTTGTTATTCCTTTTAATGGCTTGAAATCTCAGGGCTGTGTGGAGTCATTGGACAAAGACAAGTAATATTTCTGATTAGTTGTCTAATGATTTGGTGCTACTTGCTATTGCTTTTTTTTTTACAAAAAATTAGCATTTGAATGTACCCAGTCAGGTTTATTGTGAGGTCCAAATTTTTCTTGGGAAAAGGGTTATTGTATTATATTTTATGAAAAATTTTCATTGATGTCATACACATTCCAAATTTGTTCATGCAGAAACATCCTTACCAATGATATTTCCAAATTTATAATGAGTAAACATGATAATTGACGTTTAAACTTTAAGTGTGAATTAAATCTTTTTCAAATTGTTAATGATTTTATTCATACTTGAAATTTAAACAATGACATTATTGTTTTAGTGCTATATGTAAATTTTAATTACATTTTTAACTTCCCTATTTCTAATCTGTGATACCATTTGTGGAAATTTTATATTTATAGCAATTGATGCCTGATTTTTTTCCCCTGCTTAGATTAGACGTCTACATTTTTAAAATTTTATAATATGTATAAGTGTATGAGTAATTTATGTATATTTTGTATATGTTGTATTGTGAAATAAATTGTATTTACGTAGTTCTAGTCTTAGGAGCTTACTATTGTGTCATTGATTTATTTTTTTTAACATGTATGAACATTCAGACAGTTATTTAAACCATGCCTTGTCAGGTGAAATTTATCAAGTAATAATACATGTATAATTATGTAATTATATTCCAGTTATTTATTATTTGCAAGTTACTAAAGTAAATTGTCATTTACAGTTATTATGAGGGTTATTTTAGAATTGTTTTATATTTATAATTTATGTTTTCATGTACCTGGAGTACATGCATGATTTCAATCAGTTACTGTAATGATGTGACCGTATAAGATTTTCTTTTTTAACCCAGAATTGGATTTCTGTCTCAATGACTATTATACAATTCTTTTTTATGCATATTTGATAGAGGTTTTAATGGGTGGTCCAAAGAAAAAGGTGTAAAGGGGGAAATGGGAGGGGGGTTGAGGTGGAAGCACAAAGAGTTTATACAGTAGAATTATGCAATACCTAAAAATATAAATACTACATGTCCCATTACATAATTAAACACAAGAACAACCGTGGATATAATATTGAAAAGGCAATATGAGAAAAGGCCTAAAAAAAGTAATTTACACTTGTTATAAAATATTAATCAACAATAATTATTAAAGAAAATAGCCTATCATATCATGAAATTGTTATTATTATCCTTGTGACAATTTTCAAGATACATTTTTCACTAGGAATTAATCTGTCTGTCTGTCCATAAAATATGGAAGTTAGATTTTTCTTACATTTTTTGCAGGGTTCAATGGAATTTAATACAGAGATAGATGTGAAATTTCTTAGTTTGTAACAAGTGTTTAGGAAAATGTGTATAAAATTGATTTCTGTCAAACATTTTGGAGTTACATTGTAAAGGAGAATGTGGTGCGAGTTATTTTTATACGCCCGTTTACGGGACGTATTATGGTATACCGTTGACCGTCTGTCCGTCCGTGTGTCCGTCCGTGCGTCGTCAACATGTCGGACATTAACTCAAAAAAGCTTTAACCAATATGCATGAAACTTTGGTGAATTGTTTATATCTTTTGACGTGAGCTCCCTTTTGTTTTTTTATAAATTTCAGATTTACCGTTTCCAAGTTTTGGGGTTTTATTCATTAAAAAAGGGGGGATTTTCCAGTTTTCCGACAATAACTCAAGAATTCTTTCACCAACTTGCAAGAAATTTTGGTGAATTGTTTATATCTGTTGACATGAGCTCCCTTTTGGATTTTTATAAATTTTAGATTTAACGTTTCCGAGTCACAGGGTTTTATTCATAAAAAAAGGAGGATTTTCCAGTTTTCGGACAATAACTAAAAAATGCTTTCAGCAGTTCTCATGAAACTTTGGTGAATTGTTTATATCTGTTGACATAAGCTCCCTTTAGAATTTTATAAATTTTAGATTTAACATTTCTGAATTATGGGGTTTTATTCATTAAAAAAGGGGGGATTTTCCAGTTTTTGGACTATAAATCAAAAATGCTTTCAGCAGTTCTCATGAAACTTTGGTGAATTATTTATAGCTATTGATGTAATCTCCCTATTGATTTTCATAAATTTCAAATATGACATCGAGAAGAAATTGGACTTTATTTGTTTATAGTCTGACAACAGATTTACTAAGTATTGCCTCAACAGCACAGTGTATTGCACAACAGCAAGAAATTTTTAATTGAATATAAATTCAATTCATATAACCAATTTCAAGTTCTTTGACTACAATTATTCAGAAACCTATAATATGTCAAATATTTAATTACAATCCAAATTCAGACCTGTATCAAGCTTGAATTTTGTGTCCATTTTTGCCCAAACTGTTCAGGGTTAGACCTCTGCGGGCGTATCCAGCTGCGCTCAGCGAAGCAGTTTATTTTGTGATCTTACATATGTGAACTATAATTTACAGTTCACTACTTTATGATAACTAACAATCAAAACTTATTACTGTGGATTCATTTATTTTCGTGGGTATCAATTTTCGTCGATAGAGAATAAAAGACGTTTCGTGGTAAACGTAAATTCGTGGATCGCTGATTGAAAAAAAAGATAAATTCAGATACGTAATTCGTGAATTTCTGGTTGAATTAGGATGTCATATAACCTCCTTGGTTTGATCAATAATAAAACAAAAAAAGAAGGAATTCATTGAAAAAGTTTAAATTGTCAAAATCCTCGCTTGGTCATTCTAGGTTAAAGTGTTCATTGAAAACTTCGATTAAAATCGTGGACAGAGACAACTAATTATATGTTTGTTTTACAATTTATAAATTTTTTTCGGTAATTTTATGAGGCATTCAAATCTCTATGATTGATATATGATTGAAAGCTTATTTCCCTAATCACGGTATAATAAATAGTCATATAAGTAAAAGGTGTGAAAATAAATGTTCCTGTCATAAACAATATTACCTACGGGCAATATCCCCATACTTAATACTATTGATGTTTAATCACCAGTAATCCAAACTATGACACGGTAATTAACAACTTACAGTTATTTTCCATGAACAGTTTTAATCAATTTTAAAAAGGAGTTTATCACTAATATTCGATTTTTTTTTATTATTGATTTAATCAAAATACTTTTATCTTCTTTCAATAGAAACACGTGTTATGTTGCAAAGTTTATCGCTAGTCAACACTATACGAGAACTGCATAACACAACCGGAAATAAACATCTGACTCCAAACACATTTTTCGGGATTATTCTTCGTTGAATTCTTAAATTCGTGGTTCGCTGTGACCCACGAAACCCACGAAAATTGGTATACCACGAATAAAAATGAATCCACAGTATAATGTTCCGTCCATATTTTTACATTTACATAGGCATGAACTCTTTAACTAAAATAAAATTTAATACAAAGTTTTTAGTTATGTGATAATAATGTGATATTAGGGAATTTGTTAACACATTTACATGCATAATATATCAATAGTGAAAATATAATGGCAAATTTTTATTGTTTCTCATTTCCCATTTTATGATATTTTACTCCTTTTTAATAATTAAGGAATTCCCTTTTCTTTATTAAGCATTTGTATTTGTAGAAAATCAAATAGTATATTTATATATATAGAGAGAGAGAGAGCAAATAGAATTATTTAGGAAAATTACTATAGGACTTACTGTTAGAGAGTTAAGTATTGGCCATTTAATATGGTGTATTTTAATAATGGTGCATGTGTACACGTGTACCAGTTAGTGCTTACCAAATAAACATATCTAAGGTCTGAATTCATCCAAGCATATCAGGTTATTTGGAAAATTATGTGTTGACAAAATCAACTCCCTGACAAGTAGACAATTAAGTTTATTTTTAGACTTGTTTAAAAAATTTAATTGTAAATTTATAGAAATAGAACTTTCTATTCAATTTTAAAAGCCATTCTTAAGATATAAAAGAAATGATATTTGCATTTGGAATTCATATTTTGAATGTTGTAATTATTTATTTTTGTGGTATTTTCATGTTTTTAATTTAATGTTGAATATGATGTAACAAAACCATGACTTTCTATAGTACATACAGTGAAATCTTTCCCATATGAACCTGTTTGTTAATTTAACTTAAGTATAAATTGAAATAATAAAATGTGTTTAATTTAACATCATCACATGGTACCAACTACATATACAAAAATAAATCTAATAGGAAAATGGAGTAATTGATTTAAACATACTCAATGTATATAAATCCATTACTATTAAAAGAAAAACATTAAAATACAACCACAGTTATTTTTATTTAAGATAGATTTCACTGTATTTTTATGTATTTTTACATTTTTATATTGTTAGTTGTTATCTAATATAGTTTTTAAATTGTTACTGAACATAATGTCAGCTTAGGGTACAATTCTTCTTATAATGAATTAATAAAGCGGATCAAAATAGAATTTTTGATGAATAGTCATTTGTACAAAACTAACACAAGTGGATCTACATAGCTTTTGGGTACATTTTGAGGGATTCTTTATTGTAAGATGGAGATTTAGCCTTGCTGTATGGGTTTTGATTATTTTTGAATGCAGTACTGTGACCTACAGATGTTTTAAAACATCTACATCATTTGGTATCTGGAAGAGAGTTGTCTCATTGGCAATCATACCCCATCTTTTTATTACCTGTGTCACCAAAGGCGAAAGCAGATCTAATAACCCCTCGACTCTGTCCATCCATCTGTCTGTCTGAAAGACTTTGGGTAGAAAACTTTCATCAAACTTTTCTAGTCTTCTATGAAAGGGAATGATTTTAAATTTGTAGGCAGCTACATAATGTTGAGTTGTAGCAGGACAGCAATTTTTACATCTGCTGTGCAGCCACTTCCTGTTTGCCGTTAGTTAGGAATTTTTCAACACTCATTGTACAAGGAAAATGTTTGTCAAAATTTTCTTGGCTTCAGTGAAAGGGAATGATCAGTTATGCTTCAGTATACGTCAATCAATTTCATGTAGCAAGGCAGGTCCAGACCGGTATTGGTCTTATCTTTATATTAGAAAGGAATAAAGTGTTTTTATACACAGGGATCTGTTTTCAGTCACATTGGATCTATCGATTTGTTAATTGATAATTGCCTAATATTGCTTTACAATGGATCTGAAAGAATGATCAAGGTCATCTAAGTTAAAGTTGACTATGCATGAAGGAGATGTAAATAAACCTCTTATAGTTTTGAACAATTTACTGAAAATAAAAGCTAAGAATTTAAAAAGTAATGAACCAAGACCTATGATACACTATTGACTAATAATCAGGTAATATGGACAAGTGTGCTTCGGTGGCCAAGTGGTCAAAGCAGTTCTACTGCTGTACCATTAGCCTGTCCACACATGCAGCGGTTGTTAGTTCAAGCCCTGATCATTGCAGGTATGTTCGACTCCCATCTTAATTGACTAGGATTGCAAGTTTTCCTGCTGAAGGTTAATGATTCTCTTCGGACACTCCATCTTCCTCTACGAATAAAAACTGTCAATCAATCATGGACAAACAGGATTGGCATCAACCCAGTGTTAGTACACAGATGAAAATAAAATATTTTTGTTCTGTTTGGTTGATTGATTGTTGTTCACTTAATGTCCAGTGGCAAATATTTCATGCATATTCAGGCCGATGTCTGATCTTGATTTACATTGCAACATTAGAATGAAATAAAGATAAATATATATATATGTATACCATTTGACATATTAAAATCTTAACTTGAATAAGACGGCCAACAACATGGTCAAAAGAAATGAGACAAGAAAACCCATTAAAAAACCTACATAGACCAGATAAAACAACAAAAGAATGAAAATTACCCAACTTGATGAACTTTAAAAGTGTTTCAGAAAAGCAAGTGCTTCTTGCTTCACTAGACTGAGTGGCACCCTTGTGCTGTCAATGACGACAAAAACAAGGAGTATACATGATTGTGGCTTTGACAAATGGAACACATATGTGGTCATCAATGACTTGTATTATTAAACCGTCAACTCATTCTTGTTAGCATTCTTTAAACTTTGAGATAGTTTCACCTTTTCCTTTTAAGAACCCTTAGTTCAGTAGCTTCCTACCAAGCAGCAAGACCCTTGCAGATCCTATCAAGGAAATCATGACATAGGAACCACAAGTTCTAAAAATATTAGTACCTTCCTCAAGCAGCAAGACTCGATCAAGGAAATCTTAATAGGAACCAAAAGTTCTGAAATATCTGAAAATTCACTTTTAACTTTTTATCAGACAGAGCCTTAAGTTGGGTAGCCAATTAAAACACGTGTTTTCGAGCTATATGGCCAAAATAGACGAATAGCCAGAACACAAATACAGATATGTCACAGTGTACAAGCTTTTGTATTTACTATCCTTGCAGGTCAATTGAAAGTAGGCCACTCATTAAAGGAGAATTATCAAGTTCAATGATACCATGTGTGTATTTACAAAACTTGCAAACAAAGACAGAACAGTGGAGACGATATTTTTATTACTCCTAAGCTTCATATGTAAAATTTAGTATATAGATTGTTTATGTAATAAGTAGTGCCAGCATTAAGATGATTAGAAACAATAATGATGAATACATTAATGTGCAAGACTTATTGGTACCACTGTGATTGATACAGAACTGTCCATTTTGTATATCTCCAACTTGTGTTTTACGTCTTTTAAGATCATATGCAAATTTCTTTTCAATGACAGCTTTCTGGTCATTTAACATATTCCGATCTGTGTAACATCCAGACTTTGTGTTTTTCTTCACCGCAAAACAATCTCTTAAATAAAACGTCACTGTGTCTACTGAAAAAAAAAATTAGGTTTGAATCACAGGTTTAGACTACCACTTTATCATGTCGATACGCTAAAACTATACCTTTTATTGTGTAGAATATCTCAATTTACACACAAAAGCTTGCACTGAAAATAGTTCTGTTGTCAGTTGTATTTGCTCATGGCAATTTTAATCTTGTTACAATCCATACATTAAGAAAAACTTGTTTTACTGACATAGAATCAGTTGTTACATGTACATTGTAGTATACTGACGGACTTTAAAACGCAACACACCTTTTGGTTATTTTTTTTTTACCAAATCATGATTGATCCTCATATAGCTACTATTCATGCATACCATACTTCCTTCTGTTTAGAAAAATTCAACACCTGACTTACAAGAGGTAATTGAACATACCGGATTACTGAATTCGCACGAATTTCTTAAAGCGAAATGTGAAACCCATAAGTGATTTTTTTAAGGTTTTTTTCTTCCTAAAACAATTCTTTCAATCCATACCCACACTGGAATCATTAAAATAATATTGCATCTCCATATTGCCGAGACTGAGCAATGAAAATTTGAATCAGGCCATAAGAATATTGCAGGCAGGAATACGTGATCGTGCTGTTGCCAGACAATTTCACGTCAGAAACTCATCTTACTGTCCTTTCAACAAAGGTGTAGGTAGACGGGATTTGTTAATGACCATCCATGACCAGATCAATATGTAGTGACAACGCCACGTCAATAAAATTTGATTACGGGACGTTATTTGCGAGTCATGTTTACGGCGCCGCAACGTCAACTGATAATCAAGTCGCCAATGATGTCATGGCAGACAGATTCGAGCCATAAATGTTTCCCCATATACTGAAATGCCAACGAATCGACTGCAGAAACACATTTAAGCCCTAAAGTTTAAACCGCATAATGGGTGGGACAGAGGCAAAATCAGAAGGTTCAAAACAGAACTCAAAACATGCCCAACAGAATTGGTTGACCTTTCTGACAATCATTTTGGCGTTGGTTACGGGCAGTCATTGCTTTCGACGGTGACACACCCATTGATAAGGGAAAAACCAGGGTTTCAGTGCATACCACATGATTTCAACATTAAAAATGACGTAATCAATTCAACTTTCGGACTTTTTTAGACAATGAAATTATGAATGAAATTTTTGTTTTTACATTTATTTTATAAAAATTGCATATTGGAAAATAGGAATTAAAAGAATAATCTAGTGTTGCGTTTTTAAAGTTCGTTAGTTTAGTTAAACATGGCACACGGTATTCAAAATCATACAGCCTTCAAGATATCTCATACATTACATAATATATTTTCTAATTTTCATTAAGTTCATAAGATATCTTAATAAATATTTAATAAGATATTTCACACTCATTTTTAAATGATATCGTATGAACTTTTCTGTATAAGATATCCAATAACTTTTCATTTATCTTATTTCATTTTGATGATATCTCATATATTCTATGCGTTATCTTATAAAGAAATGTAATAAGAGATCTTTTTTTTTTCATTTTAAGATATCTTTAAAAGAAAATAATGTATCTTATCAGCTCTAGATCTGCATGCGGTAACAAATTAATATAGGATCCCTTGCGTTGCTAACCGTCGAGACAGAATTGGAGATCAAGTCCAAGATTGAGCTAAACTTCAAGTTATTGTTCGTAGTTAGAGTTTGAGTTGCACTTTGAGTTACATCACAAGTTCAACTTCAATAATTCAGACTTGCCACTATCCCGATTTATGGGGGATTTCCCCCATGAGAGGGGTTGGACTGACTATTTGAATTCTCTATATTATAAGAACTTTTAATATCTCAAAATTGTCATTCAAATGAGTCTAATGGCATTTAAGCACACATATACTCCTTCAAAATCGTAGAATAGCTTATTAATTTTACCTAAGACATGTATAGAACATGCAGTAGGTCATATTGTTCTTAAAATCCACCATGAAGGTTATGAAAATTTGGCAGGTATGCAATATAGAATCACAATTCGAGTTGAATCGAGTTAGAATTTAAATTATTCAATTTATAATATGTTTAACAATAAAAAGTTACGGCTAACAATATAAAGTTACGGCTCTCTGCGGAGGGGGATATTCAAAATTGCTAAGGGTTATTTCCACGAGGGCTTTAGCCCGAGGGGAATCACCCTAAGCAGGGTTGACAATTTTGGATATCTCCCGACTCAGAAAGCCGTAATTGTATATTATACCAAACACAATTATATTTGCCTCAACTGCGGTGAATAATGGGGTTATTCTCCCGACGGAACAATTTGGCCTCACCGGCAGTGTATATAGGGTTATTTACCAGACGGTACAATTTGTCGAATTTATTTACCGGCCTTGCCGATTTGGACAAAAATATCCGAATTAATTAACACCAGTCACCACGTGATCTTTTATTAGCCAATAGTTTTATTCAATTATACTGTGAGGTATAATGATAGATCTTACTCTATCTATAAGAAGGTTAATTTACCTAAAATAGACCTATAGCAATTTCATGAGTTAAAATAAATTTGACAAATGTCTGATATATTGACGGCTAAGTTCATTCAGAGACATATGTCTCTGGTACATCTGATTCAGTAGTTTCGAATACTTATGGTACAATCAGTACCCTTATGACATATGTATCCTAAATTTTAAGTTGCGTACATAACATACCATGACCTCCGAAAGATAACACGGAAAGTTTAACACTTCCACGGAGAGTGCCACATCTGTTTATTCGATGGTCAGTTGGATCGTTTGGACATGGACCAAACATTACATTTGTTGCATTTGTTGCCGACGTTGCGTTGTTACACTCTGAGTTGATACACTTTTTCTCATAATCTGGTAGATAAAATTGGATTTGTGGTGGTATACTACATTCTGCACACTTCACACATTCTGTACCTGAAAATAAGATTTTTTTACTTTTGTATGATCAAAGTCAAACAATTGTTACAGTACGGTAAATTAGGAAGTGGTCTTTTTTAATAACAGTAAACTAATTTTTACAGAGTATTTATATATGTATAATAAAAAGAAAAAACGGAGCGATAAAAAATTAATAGAAAAGGAGAAAAGGCAAAACAATGACACTGCAGTTTCTTAGCTAGCCCTAAATTGAAGGGCGCTTATATCCTTTAATTATGAGATTTCTTTCATTCTTTACAAGATGTCTCTTATGCTTAGTAAGATTTCTTTAAATTATATGAGATATCTTTCATTATTTATAAGATGTCCCTTATGCTTTGTAAGATATCTTTAAATTATATGATGTATCTTTCATTCTTTATAAGATGTCTCTTATGCATGATTTGTAAGATATCTCTTTAAATTATATGAAATATCTTTCATTCTTTATAAGATTTCTTTTATGCTTTGTAAGATATCTTTTTTAATTATATGAGATATCTTTCATACTTTCTAAGATGTCTCTTATGCTTTGTAAGATATCGTTTATTAAATTATATGAAGCATCTTTCATTCTTTCCTTGACGTCTCTCATGCTTTTTAAGATATCTTTTATTAAATTATATGAGGTATCTTTCATTTTTTCCTTGATGTCTATTATGCTTTGTAAGATATCCTTTATTAAATTATATGAGGTATCTTTCATGCTTTCTAAGATTTCTCTTATGCTTTGTAAGATATCTTTAGATTATATGAGATATCTTTCATTCTTTATAAGATGTCCTTATGATTTGTAAGATATACTTAAATAATATGGAATATCTTTCATTCTTTCTAAGATGTCTCTTATGCTTTGTAAGATCTCTTTTTAAATTATATGAGATATCTTTCATTCTTAATAAGATGTCTCTAATGCTTTGTAAGGCATCTTTAAATTATTAGAGATATCTTTCATTCTTTGTAAGAAGTCTCATATGCCTTGTAAAAATATCTTTTATTAAATTATATGAGGTATCTTTCATTCTTTCCTTGATGTCTATTATTGTTTGTAAGAATTCTGTTATTAAATCATATAAGGTATCTTTCATTCTTTATAAGATGTCTCTTATGCTTTATAAGATATCTTTAAATTATAAGAGATATCTTTCATTCTTTCCTTGATGTCTCATATGTTTTGTAAGATATCTTTTATTAAATTATATGAGGTATCTTTCATTCTTTCCTTGGTGTCTCTTATGCTTTGCAAGATATTTCTAAATTATATGAGATATCTTTCATTCTTTATAAGATGTCTCTTATGCTTTGTAATATTATTGTATAGTTACACCACTTTCTCAGGTTGTGAGGGGGGGGGGGGGGCATTTTACATTTTTACCCCCATCACATTCTGTAGGGAGCTTATTATTCAGTGGTTGTCGTTTGTTGCTGTATATCATATTTGTTTTTTGTTTATTGTTTTGTACACAAATCAAGCCGTAAGTTTTCTCGTTTGAACTGTTTTACATTTGCCATTTTGGGGCTTGGTATAGCTTGCTATGCGGTATGGGTTTTGCTCATTGTTCAAGGCCGTACGATGACCTATATTTGTTAACTTCTACGTCATTTGGTCTCAGATGGAGAGTTGTCTTATTGGCAATCATACCACATCTTCTTATTTTTATAAAACAATGACATCGCAGTTTCTTAGCTAGTTCAAAATAGAGGGGTGCAGCTCCTTGGGCCATTTTTCTGTGTGATATCCTCTGTTATACCATTACAAGAAGAACAGACAAAACGATGTCTCTGCAGTTTCTTTGCTTTATTTTTTTTTAATGCTTTATGAAATATCTTATATGATTTGTGATAAATATGGAGAAATACAAAATGGGCAACCAGAGGCGATAATTCGAAGAAAATCAGACAATATCATAGACAAAACGAAAAACTACGACAAGACAAACTTCAGTCCACAAAAGATAAAATAATACAGTCAAGATAGTACAACCCTATCAAAAACAGGGGATGAATGAACCCAAGTGCTCCGGAAGATTATATGTTTAGTAGTTATGGTCAGTTATTGTTCCGCTACTGTCGACCGTCGTGTTGACAATGGCCTTTGGCTTCAAGTGGAACATATCCATAGTACACCAAGGCATGGAACGATTTTTCACAATGAAAAATTGTCGTAATGTGGAATTATTCAAGAAATCATTTCCTTGAAAATTCTATGCAAGTTCAATATTTTTTCTTTTATGGTTAGAATATGAAAACTTTATTCAATTGTTGCCATTTAGATGTATGAATGAATGATTTTTATAAATATATGTTGTATTTTGATGTATGGATGTAAACTGTATACATGTATTTTGTTTAAAGGCCTCATATAAAATTAGATTAGTTTTAATTGAGTTACCCTCCTTAGATGAAGAATCTATTATTATCATTATTCATATGGTTATCTGTGACACAGATATCCAATATCCACGATAACGGCAAACCAAATAATAATTATGGCGTAAAAACTATGTGAATTAAGTTTTTTTATCCTACGTTGAACTTTTGATGTCGTCCCTTATTAGACTGACTGAGAAAAAGGAGCCTAACAAGGAAACCATTGATATAGTTCATAAATTTTCTTTTTTTTAAATGTGTGATTTGTTATTGTTTTTTATTATATTTATACTGTAATTTTCTATAAATAAGCTGAAGTCCGACTCCGGTTGTGGGATTTATCTCGCGAAGTTGATGACCATTGGTGGCCTTAGGCTGTTTTCTGTTCTTTGGTCGTATTGTTGTCTCTTTGTCACATTCCCCGCGGCTTGAATATAAAAAAGAAGATGTGGTATATATGATTGCCAATGAGACAACTCTCAGCAAGAGACCAAATGACACATAAATTAACAACTATAGGTCACCGTACGGCCTTCAACAATGAGCAAAGCTCATACCGCACAGTCAGCTATAAAAGGCCCCGAAATGACAATGTAAAACGATTCAAACGAGAAAACTAAAGGCCTAATTTATGTACAAAAAATGAACGAAAAACAAATATGTAACACATAAACAAACGACAACCACTGAATTACAGGCTCCTGACTTGGGACAGGCACATACATACAGAATGTGGCCACTGATGCATTATGATGATAGTTTTTATTAGTTTGTCAGTTCCTCTTCCATAGGAGTTTGAATGTCCAATTAGTAGCTTCTGTCTCGGTATTACACATGTGCTCCTAGAACGTAGGAAATAACTCATAGAAGAAGAAGACTACTTGAAATGTTTATGGTGATACAAAGCTTGGGTTCGTGTTTCTCAAACTGTTTTTATGCACTGATGCATTATGATAATAGTTTTTATAAGTTTGTCAGTTCCTCTTCCATAAGAGTTTGAATGTCCAATTAGTAGCTTCTGTCTCGGTATTACACAGGTGCTCCTAGAACGGAGGAAATAACTCAGAGAAGAAGAAGACAGCCTAGATAACTGATGATTAAAACATTTGTAAGTGGTGCTAGTTTGTACAGGGACTTTCTATACTAACAGGGACTTTCTTTACTAATATACTAGTATAGAAAGTCCCTGGTTTGTAGTATTTCTTTTTTTTTTTCGAAAGGTGCGAGTCAAGTTCTGTCTCTGTGTAATACGAGTGCTCCAAGAACGGAGGAAATAACTCAGAGTAGAAGAAGACAATCTAGAACTCTCTGATGATTTAAAACATTTCTTCCGCAGTGCGAGTTTGTAGTATTTTTTTTTTCGAGTGATGCGAGTTCTGTCTCTGTGTGACACTGGTGCTCCGAGAAAGGAGGAATTTACTAAGAGAAGAAGAAAACAATCTAATGATTAAACACATTTATTCGAGTATGTTATATTTCTTTTTTTTTTAGTGGTGCGAGTTTGATAAAGTGATGCAAGTTGTAATAATTAGTGAGAGTGTTTGAGTGGTGCGAGTTGCCGTTGGCCGAGTTGTCGGGTAGTACGTCGAGTGAGCATTAGCGAAAGCGTATAAGACACGGATCGATAACGGTCTCCGAATTTAGATATTTTCTCAAAAATTGGCGTTTTCTGTGGAAAAAAAGATTGTTCCAAAGACAAATTTAGGAAGTACAAAACACTACATTTATACGTCATATCACAAATATTTCCGACTTTGTATGGTTTCAGAGGAGTTTAGTAGTATAGATGTATGTGTAGTGCTCTGTTATTGACATTTTATGTTATTCTTATAATCATTACGATTTGGAAAAATACACGATAACACATAATAAAAACAACAACTAAACAAAGCGAAGACATAGCTATGGCGTTCAAGATAAAGTCTTAGATATTTTGTAACAGGAAGCATGCACACATCATTACTCTTGAATTATAAGCTTTTTCTTCTTATTATCGGTGTTTTACGTGCACGCGGTGAGTTGTGGGATTTTACTGACTTTTTGTTAAAATAAGGAATACATTTTGTCATGGGGGTCAATACAATATTATAAAGTTACAGAATGTCTTGCAACCCTGAGGGTTAAATAAGGTATAGAAATATGATCAGCCCTGGACAGTAAAACCCTGGCTTACGTGGGTTGTTGCTTGGTTGTGTGGGACAGTGTTTGAATACACTGCCACATCAGGTAGAAAAAGGGGGGTTTAACTCGATGCCTCGTGTAGGGATATTGATGTTCAGCGGCGACATACAACATTATCTATGGTATCCACATTTTCAGCGGGGACATGGTATCCACATGTTAGGCATGTAGTCTGCTACAAACAATGAAAGGCGCCATACTACATTTTGTAGTTACATACATGTAGCATTTAACTAATTAATATAAAGACGTAAGAATTTGCAATATGTGTTTACAAATTATCCCCGAACAGTGAATCAACAGAAATTAAACATATGGAAAGTGGATACAAAATTTAATATCAAACTGACCGAAAAAATGCCTTCAAGTTTTGGAAACTTGATTAATTATTTCAAATTGAATTAAAGCCAAAAGACGAAAGATATTGAGGGCAATGTAGATTTAAGTACTTCAATGCATATTGAGAACTACTTATCAAAATTAAGACAACCTTGATATATGATTAAAGAAAATGTTTATTTAAGGATGGTTTCACGTCTCAGTACTGTTCCGCGTCTTTTCCCTGTTTAATGAAAACACTTGAATGAAAGATAAATGACTAACCGATTGCTTTGTGTAAAATCGTTATCCAAATTATTGAAGAGAACATAAACTGATACATCATTTCAAACAATGTCTACAGGAAAAATATTCAATAATGATACATTTATATTTTTCAGCGTCACATTACGTAAAACGAACAAAATGTCTATATCCGCAAGTGTTTTGGACAGGAATTCAAGTTTTCCGTTTATAATTTCTTGTTGACGCTATTAATAGTTTTTACATGTATTTAAGAGAACATCGGTAACAATCACAACGCAATTATAGAAATATAAAAAACGCTTTTAACTTCATTTAATATAATGAATAATTTATCTTTATATTTGCAATTTTAAGTTCAGTTATATTCGTGATCATTCGTATACTTTGTGTGAGTTTATGGCACATCGTATATCTGCCAGCTTCCGTGATCGTGGTGACACTGAGGGATTAAATCGCCATTCTTGAGGAGAAAAATATTAAATTGAATGCTTTAGGGTGTGTGATCTATAGGGGTCATTTAGGTCAAATTTAGTTTTAATACGTTAAAAATTTTCAACGTAAAATAGTTACTTCACATGATGTCCATTCTGTTCCCAAGTAAACTGCTGTGTTAAAATGTGTTTTCTCCGATCATTTAAACCTCTTGTCACACATATTATATATGATATGGTATGTCTCTATTCAGAACAAAAATGTATTAAGGGAGGGGTGTCCCTTAAAATGATGAAAAAAAAAATACAGTGTTCAGTATAAATCCCTTTTCTTAAAAAGGGACAGGGGCTCTATTTATCCAAATTAACCTGTAATAAGTTGAAAATATTAGTCAACCAAAATGAAACCTTTATATCATACATATATACATGTACCTACTAAACACTACATACGTACACTGCAATGCTAAACGCTTTGTTGAAAAAAGCCATACCCAAGAATCAATGCAAGGGCCAGTAATTATCACATTATTAGAAAGTCATAGGAACTAATCATTATACCTTTTAAACAACCCACGAAGGATTTCGAACGACGGAGCAGAAGAAGGAGAAGTCATGAAAATGGCAGCATCATATATACGTAAGATCGCGAAACATGGACAAAGGACAATTAATGTATGATAAGGGTCATTTTTATACGTGTGCATGCAAAACAAATTTCTTGGTAGAGGTGTCTAAATACAGCACAAACAACATTTTCCAAAAGACCAAATGATTGAAAAAGTATATCTTAACAAAACGCATTTGACTAGCAGGTCGAACAACTGATGTTCTTAAACCCTGCTGACTGCCATTGGCGATTGCCAAATAAACGGATCACAAGATGTAACAAAATAGATCTTATTATTAATTTATTACCAAACAGAAACAATAAACTTTCGGAAAAGATGGTATACCGCAAACATGAGGTGCAAAAATTTGTACACCATATCCGGATTTCGACAATTAATGTCTCTTCAGTGATGTTAGGAATCGAAACGGTATTTGGAAGGCCATATAATTTACCTCAATTTAGGATAGACACTTGAATTTTGAAAGAGTCAAAATAGGATGAACGGATCATATAAACCCGAAGGCAAATATAATACAAGCCCAAACGAAAAAATATAAACAAGTATACATTGAAAACAACGTTCAAACCTACGATTGCGTTGGATAAAAACCGCAATTTGTATACGTGTGCATGCAAAACAAATTTCTTGGTAGAGGGTTCTAAATACAGCACAAACAACATTTTCCAAAAGACCAAATGAGAGTAAAAGTATATTTTAACAAAACGTATTTGACTAGCAGGTCGAACAACTGATGTTCTTAAACCCTGCTGACTGCCATTGGCGATTGCCAAATAAACGGATCACAAGATGTAACAAAATATATCTTTTTATTAATTTATTACCAAACAGAAAACATTAAACTTTCGGAAAAGATGGTATACTGCAAACATGAGGTGCAAAAATTTGTACACCATATCCGGATTTCGACAACTAATGTCTCTTCAGTGATGTTAGGAATCGAAACGGTATTTGGAAGGCCATATAATTTACCTCAATAATCAGTCACATTGGATCAATCGATTTTTTAATTGATAAATGCTTTACATTGCTTTACAATGGATCTGAAAGATAATCAAGGTCATCTAAGTTAAAGTTGGTGATGCATGAAAGTTTTGAACATTTTACAGAAAATAAAAGCTTAGAATTTAAAAAGTAATGAACCAAGACCTATGATGCACTATTGACTAATAATCAGGTAATATGGACAAGTGTGCTTTGGTGTCCAACTGTGGTCAAAGCAGTTCTACTGCTGTACCATTAGCCTGTCAACACATGCAGCGGTTGTGAGTTCAAGCCCTGATCATTGCAGGTATGTTCGACTTCCATCTTAATTGACTAGGATTGCCAGTTTTCCTGCCGAAGGTTAATGATTCTCTGCGGACACTCCAGCTTCCTCCACTAATAAAAACTGTCAATCAATCAGGGACACACAGGATTGGTATCAACCCAGCGGTAGTACAATGAAGAAAATAAAACTAATTTTGTTCTGTTTTGTTGATTGTTTGTTGTTCTCTTAATGTCCAGTGGCAAATATTTAATGCATATTCAGACCGATTGCTGTTTTTTATTGGCATCTCTAGATTAGAATGAATTAAAAAAAAAACCATTTGGGGTATATTAAAATCTTTAATTGAAGAAAGTGAGGCAGCAACATGGTCAATAACGAAATGGAAATGAGACAAAAAAAAACGATTTAAAAACATACATAGTCAGCAATAGAATGAACAATATGTAACTCAACCATCAACTTTGAACTTTCGATGTGTTTCAGAAGTGCAAGTGGTTCTTGCTTTATAAAGTGGCACCCTTGTGTTGGCCATGACTAGTCCTAGACTGATATGTCAAAAACAAAGAAAAAGTAAAATAACAAAAAAAATCCAAGGAAAATTCAAAACGGAAGGTCCTTATCAAATGGCAAAATTAAAAACTCAAACACATCAGACGAATGGAAAACAACTGTCATATTCCTGACTTGGTACAGGCATTTCCTTGTGTAGAAAATGGTGGATTAAACCTGGTTTTATAGCTAGCTAGCTAAAAGACTCAAAGGAATATACAAGATTTTAGCTTTGTCAATTAAATGGATCACATCACTTATATTCTGAAACAATCAACCAAGTCTTGTTAACACTTTGAGATGATTTTACTTTTCCTTTAAAGAATCTTAGTTCAGTGGCTACATATCTTCATCTTCAAAAGGGAAGCATATTTATGTCAAGTTAATAAAAAGTAAAATCACAAAAATACTGAACTCCGAGGAAAATTCAAAAAGGAAAGTCTCTAATCGAATGGCAAAATCAAAAGCTCAAACACATCAAACGATTGGATAACAACTGTCATATCTTGACTTGGTACAGGCATTTTCTTATGTAGAAAATGGTGGATTGAACCTGGTTTTAAAGCTAGCTAAACCTCTCACTTGTATGACAGTCGCATCAAATTCCATTATATTGACAACGATGTGTGAACAAAACAAACTAAAACAATAGGTTGAAAATGTCACAAATAGGGGTAAATAGTCTAATTCGGTAGGTCACATTCGTGAAAAGAGAACGCGATTGTAGTTACGACATAAGGAACATATCCGATATCATCTGTTAAACGGATATTCCATAACGGTCAACCAATTAGTGATGGCGTCCGTAAAATTTACGAAGTGATGATTCCAACTTCACCATTTGGAACTCTTAGTTTAAAAATGAAAATTCACAATTGGGAAACTGAAATCATCTCCTTTGTCGTAAAGTTTTGTTTTCAACCGACCATCATAGTCAATTTCTAGATATAAGTCATAATCAAATGGCAAAATCAAAAGCTCAAACACATCAAACGAATGGATAACAACTGTCATATTCCTGACTTGGTACAGGCATTTTCTTATGTAGATAACGGTGGATTGAACCTGGTTTTATAGCTAGCTAAACCTCTTACTTGTATGACAGTCGCATCAAATTCCATTATATTGACAACGATGCGTGAACAAAACAAACAGACACAATAGGTAAAAATGTCAAAAATAGGGGTACAGCAGTCAACATTGTGTTATCATCTTAATCACTATAAAAACAAACAAATGTAACGAAGAAGCACAAAAAGGCATACATCAAATTTAACAACCTCATTTTGCTTTTTTATTATACGATTTTGTTTATCTATGTAAAATCCACCCATAAAGAATGGAAGGGTTTAAGTACTGGCGTAAAAACGCGCGTTTGAAATTCGCACAGGTAGACATAGAATAATTTTGTCGTTCAAAATATGACGGGATACATAAGTACAGAGTCACGTAAAATGGATAACACAAAAAACAGACTTAACAGTAAAAGCAATATTAATAAATAAAATAATTTTGTCGTTCAAAGTATGACGGGATACATAAATTTCAGTATCGAAAAAGCTTAACACAATTTAGAATCAGTGCTCATCAGTCAGCTATTAAGAAAGGTCGATATAAACAAAAAATCGATACAGATAAAAGATTTTGTGGGCAGTGTAAAATGTGCAGGTTGAAGACGAGTTTTATTTTTTAATGGAATGCACTGCATACGAAAAGGAAAGGAATCTTATTTTTAATGAAGCATGAATTCAATGTAAAAACTTCCCTTACATTTCAAAGTATGAACAGTTTATTTGGTTGATGTCCTGTGAGTCTGAAAATGTTAATATGTCAATTTCAAGATTTATTAGTAATTGTTTTGAAATAAGAGAAAATTTGCATTCCAGAAACTAAATATACATGTAGTAATGATGTAGTTTATTTTTTATGTATTAGAGAGGGTTAATATTCTATTTTATTTATTTTCAAACACAATCTGGTATGGAGTTCAGTTATTTAATAATTTATTTTTAATGTAATATATCTTAAAAATAGTGTACAATTAATACCAAATATATATGTATATGCTCTGAAACGGACCCTTTATTTGGATTCAATAAATATTCTAATTAAACGAAATTTTTTTTTATTGGACAGCACAGCTCTATTACAGTTATCATGAACCACAAGCTTTAAAATATCAGTACCGTCCTTAAAGCAGCAAGACTCTATCAAGGAAATCATGAACCACAAGTTTTGAAATATCATAAGCTTCCTATGAAGCAGCAAGGCTCTATCAAGGAAATCGTGATACTTGGAACCACAAGTTCTAAAATATTTGTGGCTTCCTATTGAGCAGAAAGGCTCTATTGAGGAAATTACGAACCACAAGTTCTGAATATCTGAAAATAAAGTTTACTGTCATCAGATTGAGACAAAAGCTTGGACAACAAGTATATTAGAGTATACTCTAAATATCAGCATAACAATGTTAAATCTGCAAATTTGCGGAAGCAATTTTTTGTTCCTCCCTCGCCGGGATTCGAACTCATGCTATTTGGATATCGTGACCACACCGCCTGCACTGTGTCCAGCGCTCTAGACCACACGGCCACCTAGACTGAACTAAAAATTCAGCTTTCGGTGGCCTAGTGTTACCTTTCCTCGTCAGTAGAATCTAGAATTGTAACACAGTACATGATATGTTAGACATGAAGATGTAATAGACTGTAGATTAGCTAAATTATCCGTCGTAAAGGATCGTAAGATGTAGTCACTGAAATAAATATTTTATAAGTACGTCTAAACAAGTGACAACTCTACGACAGATCCATCCATTGGATCACCAGTGAAGGTGATTCAGCCGTGTATCACCTTCACTTATGATCCAATCAATGGATATGTCGTTGAGTTGTCTCTTGTTTAGACGTACTTATATATATATATATATATATATATATATATATATAATATATATATATATATATATATATATATATATATATATATAATATATATATATATATATATATATATATTTGGAGCTATATGACCAAAATGGGCAAAAATCAATGACTAGAACACAAATGCAGATAGATATACAATGCTTTATGTATTTAATACCTTCCAATTCAAATTCAAATTAGGCAACTCATTGCACTTGAACTATTGAGTACAATGTGTGTATTAACTAAATTGCACAAAAAAAAGAGAACTGGAGAAAAAAAATTATTACTCATAAGCTGCATGTGTTATGAAATTGGCTGATAAGGTGTGACAGCATTAAAATGATTAGCAACCATACTGATGAATACATTAATGTGCACGACTTATTGGTACCACTGTGAGTGATACAGAACTGTCCATTTTGTATATCTCCAACTCGTACACCATATTTTTTAAGAACATCTTCAAATTTCTTTTCAAAGATAGCTTTCTGGTCATTTAAGATATTCTGGTCTGTGTAACATCCAGACTCTGAGTTTTTATTCACCGCAAAACAATCTCTTAAATAAAACGTCACTGTAGCTTCTGAAAGTAAAAAAAAAAATAAAAAATTTGGGTTTCAATCACAGGTTTAGACTTCCACTTTACCATGTTGATACGCTGAAATTTTACCTTTTATTTGGTAGAATAAATAACTCAATGCATGCTCAAAAGCTTGCACTGAAAATAGCTCGGTTTTCAGTTGTGTTTGCTCATGGCAATTTTAATCTTTATACAATCCTTACCTTCTATATATAAAATAAAGTTTGTGCTGAACCATTTGGATCTAAAATTTATAATGGTTGCAAGGGTCAAAAATGTACTCGGATTACCCGAAATTGCAAACGTATTAGGAATTTCTTTCATATTCATTTTAAATATTGTAAAAATTATCCATAGATAGCCTTAAACCCATTTTGAGTTTTTGTTGCCAATCCGCTAGAGTGGAATTTACCTAAGCTGTATTTGGCAAAACCTTTCCTAATTTTTGGTCCTCAATGCTCTACAGCTTTGTACTTTATTTGACCATTTGACCTTTTTGGTATGAGTGTCACTGATAGAGTCGTATAAGCTTGGTGCCTTTGGTGATTTTTTTTTACAATGCAATCATTTTGGAAATCGATACAAATACAAACAGAAAATGTAGCTTCTCCAAATCTCGAACATTATAAACAAATATTGAATAAATGACACTATCATGGTATGCCATTAACAGCTGCTCTGCACTGGACAAGCAAATAAAAAAACAAAATCTGTTCTTCATTAATTCTCTTTTTAACAAATAAATCATTATATTAATAATCCCTGACAATATTGACAAACTTGCATATTTTTAGTATTTAAAAATAATAACGGCTCATTAGAGTAAGAATCAGTTGTGGTTGCATTCTATGACGAACCATTCAGATTGGAACTGATCAATTAAGGAAAACTATCAGATACACAGTAGAATAAATTGGATATAACCTTAATATTGTTGATTTTCATCAACCTAGAACAAAAGTGAAATGAATGAAAATAAGAAAATATATATGTAACCTGATAATTTTTATGAGCTTTCTCAAAGTTCAACATTACTTTTTGGAAGGAAAGGGTTTCTGTGGGAGAAAATATAAAAGAGCCACATCAGTATAAATCCCGGATAAAGCACATGGGCCTTTGGATATAGTATTATTCCCAGCGTTTTCATTGGATAGAGAGCATTTAATGTTCCTAAATAACAATCCTTAGCTGCTCTGTTATAAGATGGGATGGCTGCTGACTATAGGGAAGTGTTTCGGCAGAAAAACAAGGAGTTAATTTTACATCATTTTATATCTGTAAATGGCAGTATAGAAATTTCTTAAACAAGTTCAAAATGTCGGCAAGTTGTTGTCTCTTTCAGAAAAGTAAAAAATGATGGTCACTTCCTCATAGGTCAAGTTGTTTAAAAAAAAACTAATTTCTATCCTGCACAATGCCAATTTTGAGCTTTTGCTTCTTATCTAAAAATGCAAGATGACCGTCACGGTGGAACAGTTTAACATAGAACCCTATGCGGAAGACAAAGAAATAGCTCAAAAAGATCTGGTGGGGTCACAACGAATACATAAAATCAATGATGATAACGCTGTCAAACATACTAACACAAATTTAACAATTGATATCCACACTGATCTGTGCCCACACTTGTAATGTTAAGACAAACTCGTTTTTACTGATTTACTCAGATATGTTACATTGGAGAAGTTTAATATCTCACACAGTATTTATACTCATAAAGCGTTCATGATATCTCATATTTTTTGTAATTTTCGTAGACTTTATTAGGTATCTAAGATATTTTATAAGATATCTCATAAAAAACGGAGTATCTTATAAACTTTCCTGTATACGATATTTCATAAAATATACTGATGAGATACATGTATCTTATAAACTTTTCTTATATTTTATTTCATTTTTATGATATCTCGTATACTGTATGTGTTATCATATAAAGAAAGGTTAATAAAAGATCTTTTTTTTCATTATGAGATGACTGTAAAAGAAAATAATATACAATTATTGACTATTGATGATTTATCAACCCAAGAGATATGATATTCACCGAGGCCAAACTATTTATAGGTACACGTTAGCTGTTCCAAATCTCATGATTTTTCTCGCGGTGAATATTATACATTTATTTCCCATGCCTGAGGGAGATATGAAGATTTGTTCACCCAAGAATATTCAAATTTCACGAGGGCTCTGCCCGAGGGAAATATGATTTTTCGAGGGTGAGCAAATCTTCATATCTCCCGAGGCAAAGGGAAATGAATGTTTTATTCCACTGCCTATGCTTTGTTTACTATCAATACGTACATTAATTATTATTTTGCATACATTTTTTTTTCTTGTCCGCTTGTTTTTATAAGTTAAACTAAACATGACATACACATTGATAAACAGTACGGATCAAAAGTTCATTATTAGTCTTTTTGTTTTATCGTCTGGAATAAATTTGAACATGATAATGATTTTTGCTATCACCATTTTAAGAAGAATAAGAAGTTCAAAACGTTATGTTCATTAACCGCGCGTAACGATGTAATCCCGACATTTCAGAGGGGAATATGATCCTCAGAAGGGAATATGAAGATTTGTTCAATGACACGTGGGATAATCTCAACCAATCAAATATTGATTAAACTATCAATATGTATAAACAGTGTTTTATCAAAGAAGATTCAATATGTTTTTAGCCAATGAATAAAGAGAATTTTTATAGTCATTTAATAATGTGTATATCATAACAGAGACTTATTATATGTCTCTGATCATAAGCTTAAAATAAGATCTTCATGCGGTAAAAAATTAATATAGGATCTTTTGTGTTGCTAACCGTTGAGATATAATTAGAGATCAAGTCAAAGATTGAGTTAAACTTCTTGTTTTTGTTCTTAGTTAGAGTTTGAGTTGCACTTTGAGTTCCACCTCAAGTTCAAATTCAATCATAAGATAATCTAAATTCGAGTTGAATCGAGTTACAATATACATTATTCAATTTTGAATTCGTTTAACAATGCATTTTACTCTATTTATAAGTAGAGTAACGTTCGGGGAACAAATGACGAAATTTGTAGTCATTAATACATTCTAACAACTACTGCACGCTACTACTGATACTAATATTGGTATTTATCGGCAATTTGTACATTTTCCCTTTGATCTTACTGCCTAATATTTTTTTAAGATCATGGACAGGACTTGCATTTGATACTCGTAAATATTAGTCAATTACATCATCTATCAGTGCAACAACGCCACGTGTTAAAGTCCATCCGCGTCAATTTATCAATGACATGCACGCGAAAGTATTTTGACCAACTATTTCATTTTACTTCATATTCTCAACATAATTCTCAAAAAAACATACATTTTAGACAAATTGCCGATAAAAAAAAATAATGGCATTTTATTTTTTGATACTGACTTTATCAGCAAGAATATCAAGCGAGCCCGCTATCAAAAACAAAAATGCCATTATTCTATATAACTTGGTAGGAAGTAGCTGAAAATAGGTTTATACTCTATATTTATTTACATTTTCCATTATTACTTGAAAACAATTTCTTTCCTTATCAAGATACTGGTTTCACGCCACCCATTCAGCCTTTAAAGTAGTCCTACTCTGATAAAAGCTTAGTGTTCTGATCAAGCCAGAATGTCCAGTTTTAAGGTAGAGATGAGCAGCTGAGACATCTAGTACCCACCTTTTGCTATATTTGGGATCATTAAAAATACACACTTTATTTTTTTGGTTATCACAAAATAGACCTATAGCAGTATTATTTTATTTCATGGAGAGTTAAAATAGATTTGACAAATGTCTGATGTATTTAGGACTGGTAAATCCTATGCAGTAGTTTCAGATACTTATGATACAATAAGCAACCTTATGAAATACTTAAACTAAATTTTCAGTTGCTTAGATAATGAACCTGCCAGACATTTATTTACCCATAGGAGACACTGACAACTTAACACTTCCACGGAGAGTACCACATCTGTTTATCCGGTTGTCAGTTGGATCGTTTGGACATGGGCCAAATATTACATTTGTTGCATTAGTTTCCGACGTTGCGTTGGCACATTGTGGGTTTTTCAATTTTTCCACAATATCAGGTATAACAAAGATTACTCCTGGCGGGCTTATACTACCATTTACACACTGCAAACATCCTGTACCTGAAAATAAGATTTTTTTACTTTTGTTTATTCAAAGTCCGAAAATTGTACGGTTAATTGCCCTTTCAAAGTTACATCATCTGTTATACCAGTATATGTCACTGACAAATAGAAAAATGCAAAACGTCAATTATTGGTACACAAAATAACAAAAACAAAAATAAATATTTAGCACAAACGACTCCTATGTTCGGGAAGGGTAAAATGTTAACTGAGTACTACAATAGTGGAACCATTGTAATGCCCAAGACTAGGAAAGATCAGTTATACGCCATAAACGAGGAAAAAGTGACAGAATTTTGCCAACGATAATTGGAACATATCTGTGTGAAAAAAATAGACATATATAGACGTAGGTGCCGAAATTCCCAAAGCGCTTCGGACGCATAAAATTTATAACGTGTTTTTTTTTTTTTTTTTTTTTTTTACAGCACTGGGTTGATACCTCTGTTGGTGGACTATCAGTCCCCGAGAGTATCATCATCCCAGTAGTCGGTTCTTCGGTACTGACATGATTTATAACAAACCGTTCTGAAAAGGCATCCGTTAATAATTTTTGAAATTATAGAAACTAAGGTTTCAACTGCCTCAGGCAAAGTTGACCTTAAATGGATTTGGCTATTTTTTTAGGTCCTTTTTGGTAATATAGCCCTTCAACTGCTTCGGTCCTTATACATCCTTGGCTTTCATATAATTTGCTTCGAGCGTTCCTGGTGAAATTTAATCCAGAAAAGCGCTTCGGACGCATGAAATATACAACGTGTTGTTTTCATTTTTTAATACCGAAGTAACAAGTTATAAATAAAGCAGATTTGGTATGATTGTAAATAAGACAACTACATGTATCAATAAGAGAACAAAATGACGTAGGTGTAAGCAACTATAGGTCATCGTACGGCCAACTGATTTATTTATGTACAAAACAACAAGCGAAAAAACCAGCAACCAACGACAACTACTGAATGACAGACAGATACAAAATGTGAAGGGTAAATATAAACATAAGAATGTGGTATGATTGCCAATGAGAAAACTCTCCACAAGAGACCAAATAACACAGAAATTAACAGCTATAGGCCACCGTAAGGCCTTCAACAATGAGCAAAACCCATACCGCATAGTCAGCTATAAAAGGCCTCGAAATGACAAATGTAAAACAATTCAAACGAGAAAACTAACGGCTTAATTTATGTACAAAATAATAAACGAAAAACAAATATGATACACAGTAACAAACGACAACCACTGCATTAAAGGCTCCTGACTTGGGACAGGCACATACAGAATGTGGCTGGGTTAAACTAGTTTGACGGCGCCAACCCTCCTCCTAACCTGGGATAGTGGCGTAACAGTACAACATAAGAACAAACTATAAAAATCAGCTGAAAAAACAGAGTGGACGGGGCAGGGTACTTATTCATCCCCACAACAAAAAGATACTAAGTACAGATCTGTAATTTGCAGCTATCTATATTTATTCGTGGTGCTAAACTGTGGTAACGTACATTGTGGGTGTTGTTGCTGATCTGTTCTATGATTGGACGAAAATGTCATTGTCGATGTTCGAACATACGTTTGTTTAATATTTTGTGGTGTACTTTAAATATATTGAAAACAAAACTTTACGACGAAAGAGATTATTTCAGCTTCCCAATTGTGAACTTTCCATTTCTATGTAGCAACATTCCAGCAGTGCCTGCATACAGAGTACATATCTCCCAATTGATACGAATTCCGGGCTTGTATTTCCTATCATGATTTCCTTGTTTGATGATTGCTGCTCACAAGGAAGCTATTAAACCAAGAGTTCAAAATGGTGAAGTTGAAATCATCCCTTCGTACATTTTACGAACGCAATCACGAGTTGTTTGACCGTTATGGAATAACCGTTTGACACATGATATCGGATATGTTCCTTATGTCGTAACTACAATACCCTTTCCTTTCACGAATGTAAACTATTTGTCTGTTTGTCTTTTTATTTTTGGTCATGGCGTTGTCATGATAGTTTGTTTTCGATCTATGAGTTTGACTGTTCCTCTGGTATCTTTCGTCCCTCTTTTAAATATAGATATATGATATAAAAACTATCTTATAACAATGGCCAAACTAATGTATTCTTGATTAATAGCTTTTTACTACAATAGAAAATATTTACGAGTTGAATTTCAATACAAACTATATTAAAATGCATCCATCCTTGCTGTATTTTTAGCGGGGTTTTAAAGAACGCAAACATTAAAACCACTCAAAAAGATATACACATACTACATCAAAATAGACTAATTTACGAACAAAAAATCTCACATCTTCAAGAAGGAAACATTCAGAAAAACATAATGAAAGACAAGTTTAGGACATTTAAATATGATATAAAAGACAGACAAAATTAACTGAATGATATAGTCCCAAATTATATACGTTAATAATAACTTATAAATAAAATTTATTGAATATGTCATAAACTTAAAACCATATCTTATAAATTAAATCTAAAGATGTCTTATAAATTGTATACGATGTCTTTAAGAAGATATGTCTTATTTTTTATGAAATATCTTGTAAATTATGTAAGATATATTTTGTCCTTTATAAGATGTCTTTATTGCTTTATGAGATATCTTATATATAATCTATAATAATAAATGAGATGGATACAAAAATGGGCAACCAAAGACGATAATTTGAAGAAAAAAAATCCGACAAGTGACCATAGCCAAAAGAAGAACTACGACAAGACTAACACCAGTCCACAAAATACTAGACAGAAAAGAAACAAATTGGGCAATATGGCAAAATGAAACCCTACCAAAACCGGAGGTGAATGAACTCAATTGCCCTGGTAGGGTATATGTTTAGTAGTTACTCTTCCAGCGTCCGTCGTGTTGATCATGGCCTGTGTCTTCAAGTCGAACATATACAAAGTTTTCTGTGACAAATATCCTATATCTATGAAAACTGCAAACCAAATAATGATGGCGTACGTAGAACTTTCGAAAAGATGATTTGGAAGATTTGGAACGCTTGGTAAAATTCATAAAATAAAGATATCTTATAAAATAAAGGAGTTACCTTCGCTGAATAAATACGAGGACGGCGTGCCATATTCAATGTCTTTTATCGAACAGTTATTAGAACTTATAGAAAAATAAGACCATCAATAGTTAGGTCTTTCAACTTTTCTGTGGAAAGACCTATTGTATTTGTTCTGATTATTATTTTTTTCTTCCGCCAAATTTTGTTATCGCGTAAAATTTTTGTTTCGCAATATGTCGCTAAGATATTTCTTATATAGTAGCATACAGTTTATGCGCTTTTTATTTTCACCTATTCTAAGCCGAACAATTTTCTTTGTAAGAATTATCTCCCTATTCACTGTTCATCATGTGTGTGCATCTTCTTCGTAACAAAAAAAGATATCGACAAAATTCTTTTTCTAAATTGTTCGTTACATCATCAGAAATTTTTGGCTCATTAAGATCGAAGCGATTCGATGAAATTTTAAAGGAGTTATCTACCTTTACCAAATAAATTTGTCGGTAGGTTTTTTAACTCATAAACCGTTAACCGTATAACCCTGGAATCTTTTTATTTGAGGTCCCTAGGCCCTAACTTAGAAAATGAGGTCAAGGTAAAAGGTCAAGGTCAAGTTCTCAATTTTGACTTTTCCTTGTTTTTGCATTTTCTCAAACATTTTTAAAGATATATATATGAAACAACAAGTGCAAAATGTTTGCTTTATTGTAATGAAGATATGTTACATTTGGTCTGAAACAATCTAATAGCATCTTATAGGAGTTAGTGCCCCTGAAATGTCCAATTATAAGGTTAATTGATTATTACTTCAACTTGGTTCATTAAAAAGTCATATGATCATTTACAAAAGGTTGGATGACATATGACCTTGAAAAATGACAACGAAAGTGACCTTGAGAAAACCGGAAGTAGCCATTTTTGCACTTTCTTCATGGAAAAGTACTCGGAATCCATATATTTTGTAATTTAAATACATTAACTTATCACTGAAGACTAGAAATGACTTTCGATAAACCGGAAGTGTCCAATTATCCCCTGGTTTACAAGCAAAAGTATATAGTAACTATATATTTTTGGAATCAGTGTGAAAGAAACTATTATATGAGACCGGAAGTGACATTTGCTTCACCGGAAGTAGCTAATTATCTCCCTTATTTCACTCAGAAGTATATAGAAACCACTTATTTATCGCATCAGTACGAAGAAACTGATGATAAGATGCCAATTTTAACTTTGAGTAAACACGAACTAGCGCTTCTTTTCAATAAATTTAAAAAATTGCTGTGGAAAGACCTTCAATTGTTCTCTGAACAATTGGTTTTTAATTTTCATAAATTTTCCTTTTTAAAAACGTGTGATTTGTTACAATAAACAAATGTTTATTATAATATTTACACTATAATTTTCTATGAATAAGCTGAAGCCCGCCTCCGGGTGCGGGATTTTTCTCGCTGCGTTGATGACCCATTGGTGGCCTTGTGCTGTTTTCTGCTCTTAGGTCGGGTTGTTGTCTCGTTGACACATTCCCCGTTTCCATTTTCTATTTTATATAGGTGTTTCTTTTTAGTAAAATTTAATGGTTAAATGGCAAATTGATATTTGTCTGCATGTAATAATGTTTGGTATACGTCTAGTAGTTGATATGTGTGGTGTATGGCTACATTTATCATATATGTATGTGTAGTGCTTTGTTGTTTACATTTTATGTTATTCTAAAAATCATTAAGGTTGGAAGAAGGAACATGAGTAACACATAAATAAAATAAACAACCAAACAAACAACCAAACAAACAACCAAAAAAAGCGTCGTTCAATATTTTTCAAGATAGATGTCTTCAATATTTTGTCAGAGGAAGCATGCACACATCGTTACTCTTAAAATAGAAGCTTTTACTTCCTGTTGTCGGTTTAAGCATAAAGAATACATTTTGTCATAGAGATCAGCACGAAATCACAAAGTTACAGAATGTCTTACGACCCCAAGGGTTGACTAAGGTATAGAAATATGGTCACCCCTAGACTTCCTCGGTCCGGCAGTAAAACCCTTGATTACACGGGGCGTCGCTTGGTTGTGTGGGATTTATAAATACACTGCCACGTCCGATCGGAATGGGGGCGTTAAACTCGGTGCCTCGTATAAGAATATTGATGTTCAGCGGAGATATACTACATTATCTATGATATCCACATGTTCAGCGGCTACATACTATATTATCTATCCACATGTTAAGTACTATTTAATCTGCTATACAATCATTCAGAGGCGACATACTACATTTTGTATTTATATACATGTAGCATTTACTAAAGACTTTATTCCCGAAGTATGGAAAGTGGATAAAAACTTTAAGATCAAAATGACTGAAAATATGCCTATTGGAAAACTTGATAATTTAAAATTATTTTGAAGTGAATTAAAATCAAAAGACTAAAGCTATTAAGGGTAATGCTTTTTCGTTGAGTACTTCAACGCATATTGAGTACTATTTATCGAGACAACCTTGAAATATAATTATAGAAAATGTGTATTTAAGGATGGTTACACGTCTCAGTACTTTTCAGTGTCTTTTTCCTGTTTAAAGAAAAGACGTAAATGAAAGATATTTAAATGACTTACCGATTGCTTTGTGTAAAATTGTTATCCCAATTATTGAAAATAAAATAAATTTATGCATCACTTTAAACAACGTCTACAGGCAAAATATTAAATATTCTATAATGATCTATCTATAATATTTTGTTTTCTGCATAACATTACGTAAAACGAACAAAGCGACTATATCCGTAAGTGTGTTGGACAGATACTCAGTTTTATTTTCTATATTTTTAAAAGGAAGTGCAAAGTTATATACTTGTTAAAATTTATATATTTAATTGTTGACGCCTCTCAGTGAGAATTTTTACATGTATTTGTGAGGACATCGGTAACGTATATACTTTTGCGAGTTAATGGAACATCGTATACCTGCCAGCTTCCGTGATCAATGGCAACACTGGCGGATTAAATCGCCATAAATGAGGAGAAAAATATTAAATTGAACGCTTTAGGGTGTTTAGCATGTTTAAATCATTTGCCGTGCTATGTTCAATACAAATGATCTATAGGGGTCATTTAGATCAAATGTCGTATTGATATGTTAAAAGGTTTCAACGTAGAACAGTAACTTCGCATGTAGTACATTATATTCTCAAGTAAAACTGCTGTGTTAAATATGTTTTCCGAAAACATTTAAAACCTTGCCGAGAAGAGCATAATTAAAATATATTTTCGTGACTTTTAACCGCTTTTGATTATTAAACAGAATGTTGTTTTTTTTTTTTTTTTTATTATTTTTAATCATGTACTGATATTATCTCTGGTTAATTGTGGGTCTGGTTTCCTGATTTTTCTGAGTAATATTTTGTGGTTCGTGTTTTATATTTTTTATTTATCTAAAATGTGTCATTCTTCGCTTAAGATTTTTCTGTTTGAACCGTTGGGCCTGTCAGTTTTTCTTGCAGACATTTCAGGTTTATACCGAAAAAAAAAAGCTTTACGATAAGATATGCAATTATATTTTGTTTAAACATTTAGCTTCTAGGATTATCGATTAAGTTTAATAAATGTTTTATGTCATACAATACTATCGAAAGGGTTCTACAAACTTCTACGATTTGTATACTTTGAATAAAAATATCAGAGAACAATGGGAAAAAAAAAAACAAAAAACAGACAGTTATGGGGTAACTGTGTAAGATTTAAAATTATATGTTAAAGAATTCTCAGTATTTCCTGAACATTTATTGAAAGTGAGAAAACTTGTTATAACAAGAGTGAGATCATAAGTGATAACATATATACATTAAGCATGACAAAATAAACATGTGGTCAGCTACAAATAAATATGACATCAAATGATATACACTGCACAGACACAATATGGATTATGCAACACGAATAAAACAAAAATCCGTGGCGATCTGATCAGGTGTTTTTCTTGCTCTACTAATGACTCCGATGTGATACGATCTGAACGAGTGCTGTTCTTGCTCTACTGATGACTCCGATGTGTTACGATCTGAAGAGGTGCTGTTTTTGCTCTACTAATGATTCCAATGTGTTACGATCTGAACGTGTGCTGTTCTTGCTCTACTGATGACTCCGATGTGTTACGATCTGAACGAGTGCTGTTCTTGCTCTACTGATGACTCCGATGTGTTACTATATGAACAGGTGCTGTTTTTGCTCTACTAATGATTCCGATGTGTTACGATCTGAACGAGTGCTGTTCTTGCTCTACCAATGACTCCGATGTGTTACGATCTGAACAGGTGCTGTTCTTGATTTACTAATGACTCCGATGTGTTACGATCTGAACAGGTGCTGTTCTTGATCTACTAATAATTCCGATGTGTTACGATCTGAACGAGTGCTGTTCTTGCTCTACCAATGACTCCGATGTGTTACGATCTGAACAGGTGCTGTTCTTCCTCTACTAATGACTCCAATTTGTCACGACCTGAACAGGTGCTGTTCTTGTTCTACTAATGACTCTGATGTGTAACGAACTGATTAAGAACATGTGCTGTTCTTGCTCTACTTATGACCCCGATGTTTTATTCCAGATGTAAAATATTACTGAACTCAAATGACATCACAATGACTTGCATGGAAAACATGTGTGTATCCCTTTTTCATGGTAGTAGTTTCCACATAGTATTCGTTCTTCATCCGAAACAAATTTCCGTGACCTATCCTTTTTTTTTACCAAAATTAATTGGCAAATTAATATGTCTAATTCAAGACAAGGCCTGCTTTTGTCTCATGGAACTGATAAAAGAAATATCGCAAATAAATAATATGTAATAGTATAATGTAAGTCAATGTACGAAAAAACTATGCACAAATTTAAAAGTTATGGTCCCAATTGCATCACGGACTTTGACAAATTTTATTGTACTGGAAAATATATATGATTATGGCATGTTTCATTACTTTTTTTATTCATTGAAAAATTTATAAGACACAAGAAAATGAAGAGTGAAAACAGCTTTCAAATATTTAACGAAAAATAATTAGTTTTTTTTATGATCAGTGCAAAGTTACTGTTTTAAATTCAGTGCATGCAAGTCGTTTACATCATGCATACGGTATCATAACTAACAATGTCAAAGTGAAAACCCTTTATCAGCAAAGTCTGAAAATTCGCTTATAACCTTTTCAACTCGACCAATATCCCCGGCAAAGGCATCCATAATACACAATTGTCCAGTCTGATTAAGATCAAACCTCTCAGCGCTCCCGTTATATAGATAAACGATAGCAAGTGAGAGGTTTGATTTTAATCAGACTGACAATTGTCCACTAGTGTTGCTGTTTATTCCTATTTCAAACCAACTAAAGACATTTGCTAGGATTAGATTTTATTTACATAAAATAATTTTCCGGTATTTCAAGCTAACGTTAAGTATCAATCAATCAATCAATCAATCAATCAATCAATCAATCAATCAATCAATCAATCAATCAATCAACTAACCAATCAATCAATCAATCAATCAATGTGTCTGGTTCTAGATTGAAATCATGAATATAACTAAATCTTGAATATGATGAAATCTTGATTATCACGATATCTTGAATATAATGAAATATCTGTCACTGGACTTGATATCTTGCGATTTTATTAAAATATTCATAAAAATTAATGTTAGTTTTGTCTGAAAAGACTTGGATCCTGTTCTCGTATCGTACTTGATTGTTTTGTTTTCTTGAGTGGCTACATTAGCTAGATTCAAATAGTACTGAGCACTGTTTGACTTTATTTACACAACTTTGGCTTTCTTGTTTTTTTTATTTTTTTATCAAGTTTCCGGACATCCTGTTAAAAGCTAGACTATACACGGGTTTTAGATAACATTATGCGCACCAATTTTACTCTAGATAGGTGTAGATTAAATAGTAAAAAAAGCTTTGTCAGCCGAACGTTATGTACATATACCAAGTCCGGTTTTTTTTTACCCTGTGCTGTTCGTTGTTGTAATCTTGTTTGTGCGTCTGATTTATAGAGGAGGTGGAAATTGGTATAATTGGTATGGTCTATTATTTTTGCCGATCATCTTGTGATTTTCGATCGAAATTTTATTTAAATAACATCGCCTTCCTCAAAAAACAATACACCAGGACAATTGTATATTTAGCATTATATAATTAAACAATGACGATCACTTGAGTTATGATGAGGAACGATTTGGCATTATTCATTGAAATGATAAATAAAAGGAAAGTATTATGTTTTGTCAACGTAGATGATGTAAAAAAATAATTTCCCATTGGATTTTAACGTAAGGCACAACGATAAAGTCGGGTTGTCGTTTGTTGCTGTATATAATTGTTTATCATACTTCATGTCAAAATGCCAGATTTTGATTGGTTAATTCGAGGGAGACAATTTACTATATCCCATGGAAAATACTCTATTAACCTTCACGGAGACGCTTGCTCAAGTGTGCGCTTTAATAAATACGGATGATTGTTATCTACAAGACGACATAGTTTATTACCTTGAAGTTGAAATTTAATAGACAGTAATAACAGAACATTCAGTATAATAAATTAAATAACTCACATCTGAGAGGGTGATAGAGCAGATTGTTACCCCTCGAAAAGACATTGTCAACCTTGGCTTTGCCTCAGTTGACAATGTTTTCTCGGGGTAACAATCTGCTCTATCACCCTCTCAGCTATATGTTATTTATATATTGTTTATTTTTTATTTTGTACATACACCAAGCTGTTGGTTTTCTCGTTTGAATTGTTGTACATTTTGTTATGTCAGAGCCTTTAATAGCTAAGATTACGGTTTGGGTTTTGCTCATTGTTGAAGGCCGTACGGAGACATAATGTTGCTAACATCTAAGTCATTTGGTCTCTGGTGGATAATTGTCACATCGACAATCATACCACATCTCCTTATTTTATATAATGTATCTTTTTGTTTGTTCGGTCCGTCTTCATTTAGTACCCAGACCTCCTTTTGGATTATGACGGATGTAAGTTTCAAAAGTTTATCATAGCATTAATTACATTTTTTCATCTTTAATGATTTCAGACATTACTTCATTTTTTGTCCAAATCGTATTCTAATAGTAACCAATGGACTTTGAAATATGTCAAAAAAAAAAAAAAAATAGGTAGACACTGCCTGGATTTTTGTGAAAGATTAAGATATTTTAAGTATCTTATGGCATTCTTTACACTATTCTTCGATCATACAGATATTTTTGGTTTTCCATATAAAAAAAATACGCTCATAATTAGGGCTTATCTTCACAAGTCGGGGAGAGGGCACACAAAAGTAGCGATCTTAAAGTAATCGAAGTTATTGATGCTAGGCCAAAGCCCAATTTCAACCAAATAATAGTTTTTTGAAGCCGTTTACTGCTTTATAACTTGGTTTAAAGTTTTAAAATATCTGATCTATAAAAGGATTTACAGCTTATTAGCAAGTTTGGTTGTACCTGTAGAAAACTTATTTCAAACGGGATAGCACATCCTCATTTTTACGGAGATGTTGTTTACCGAGCCCGGAAATTTAGAAGCGATCCGGGTAAACTTATCGATCCTTTGAATAAACTTATTTTAAAAGGTTACCAATTCAATACTGTAATTAGATCTTTGAATATTGTTTTTATTGGTATTAATACTGATTTTAATTTGCTATCAGTAAATTAAAATCAAACTAAATATTATTTTTATATACATATGCACTTTCATGGCTATACAATCTGTCGATACCTGTATTTTGGCATTGCACAAGATCATGTTTTTCTCTGGCTGTTTATGACGTCTTTACATTAAATCCATTGGTTGTTGGGTGTGTTTTGATTGATATTTTAGTCTTAGATGCATGAATTTTTTATAAGTTGTTATTGGCTTTGAACTAGCTGTCAGTAACTGCGAGTACTCTCAGATCTGTAATTAGTGTCTTTTTGTTGTGGGAATGTATAAGTACCAATCCACGTCCTCTCCGTGTTTTTGTTAGATGTATTTCTATTTGTATCCATCTGGTGAGTTAAGCCATTTCAACTGATTTTTGATAGGTTGTTCTTATGTTGTACTGTTACACCACTGTCCCAGGTAAGGGGGAGGGTTGGCGCCTTCAAACTAGTTTAACCCCGCCACATTCTGTATGTGCCTATCCCAAGTTATGAGCCTGTAATTCAGTGGTTGTTGTTTGTTGCTGTGTAACACATTTGTTTTCCGTTAATTATTTTGTTATAAATTAGGCCGTTAGTTTTCTCGTTTCAATTGTTTTACATTTGTCAATTTGGGGCCTTTTATAGCTGACTATGCTGTATGGGCTTTGCTCATTGTTGAAGGCCGTACGGTTGCCTATAGTTGTTAATTTCTGTGTCATTTGGTCTCTTGTGGAGAGTTGTCTCATTGGCAATCATAGTTATACCACATTTTCTTTTTATAATTAATCAAGTAATTGGTATATATATCCAGAATGTAGTCTTTAAGAATCGAAAAGTTCAAACTACAAAAAGATATGGGGGCACAGACGAACAGAAAAATGCACGAACGAACGGCGAGGACACTAAATTGTAGCTTCGTCAGACATAGTAATCATTGTCCATCTTTAAGGATGTACTCAGGTCAGGTTTAGAAATTTTTGTCAGATGTTCGGACTCCTTGGGTTTTTTCCTGCCCCATATCACCCACCTTTCTCTTCATAGAAGACTTCAATAGCGCATAAAAATGTCATTACTAAAATTTAAGCAGATTCTAGATTTTTTTTCTTATGATTTGAGACCCAAATAATGCCAATGCTGAATATAAGGTAAAAGTCAGAGTCAGCCTTTTCCCGCCATATTGTAAAAATCAAGGAGTTCCATAACCTATCAATATTTATAGCTTATTTTGTTTCTTATCTAATGCTCTTCTGATATATAGTATCAATTTTAAATTCTATATTTTGTTTAATTTCACCTAACTACATTCTCAAGCCTAATTGTTATTATTTATAACTGTAATATTCAAACCAAATTTTTATATTATCGGGTCGACTTATTGTTGGTTTTCTTATTTGAAGGAATTGTTCCGTTTCCTCCCTTCTTCTAATGGTATGAACACATTTACATTTACATTTTACAGACGCCATTTTGAGCTGGTTGATTGTTGTGGAATACCTTTGTCACAGGTGACCGATGTTCAATTCCGATCGTCTGAGTCACACCCCCTTTCCCTTTTTTTTCGATTGTGACGTCACATAATTAGACTTAACACCGAATTTGTACAGCGCTTACCATGAGCAACACGACTGATGCAGGGGATTACCCCGTTTTTTGTTGGGTTTGTGTTGCTGTTTTGCAGATTGTTGTTTATCTTTTTGTTGTTTTTGTTTTTTTGCTATGGTTTTGTCCATGATGTCGGTCTCTCTGCGACTTATGAGTTCTGATTGTCCCTTCGGTATCTTCCGCCTCTTATCTCTCGTTGAACTCGATATCTGCGTGCTTTCAGTGATGTAAAACTTTTCATTGTAAAATACTTCACAACGAGCAAACATATATATGAATAATAAATTGGTCTACACTTTTTACCTAATGTATCACACATAATTATAGGTACATGTTTAAATTGAGGAAGTGTGATTTTTATATGCATGTGTTATTTCATAAGCAACTTTTTATCGGCATATTATAATATAAATTAATTACCAATGAAGTTGATAAAAAATACTAAGGTTCCTTTGTATTCTTCTTATGCTACTTACTAGTATGTAATTTTTACATCAGAAAATACTTGAATAAATATATTTCTTTTCGTTAACAAATTTTTTTTATAATGATAACGATTTGCAATCGTGCATATTTTACGGGTTATTTGTGAAGAGGGAAAGTTTACTGTCTTTGTGAAAACACTGTGTCTTCAATTCTAGAGAAGTTAAGAGCAATTCTCTGTAACCACCAAAGAAATTCTAATAGGGTCTGGCACACATGGTCTCAGATTTTGATGAAACTTTTAAATAATAGCCAGTACCATACCTAAAGGCAATAACAGGCAACAAATTGTTCCGGAATATTCCGGTTGCCATGGAAACCACATAGGTTGATTTTAGCAATAAAAGGTCATATTTTAACTCTTGAAAAAGTGAAAAAACGACATTTTGCACTGTTTAGTACTTGATTTATGTGTAACATATCCTTTTTTTCTGAATAATATAATATAACTGACCTTTAAGCTGTTTGAAATTCACATATGTTTTACTTTAACCATTATCAGTTATTTTGCTACCAGCTAGTAAAGATATGCTAAAATGGCAAATTTGGATTTCAGTGAAAAATGCGTTAATACAGGGTATTCAATGGAATTTTTTTCTTGAAGGCAGCATCTCCTAGTAAAATGTTAGGTATATTTAGAAAGAACCAATATAGGTCTTCCAGAATATAAAATAAAATCAATGGGCAAATAATTGCAAAAAATATTTTTAATGAATGAAAAACACAAGATTTTCAAATTCTGTAAATTGTATTTTTCTACAAGTCAATAATGATCCAAGTAATTTCCATATTTAAACAATACAAAGATGGCATTAAATTTCTTACAATTTAACAAAATTGATCAGTTAAATTTTTCAGTCCAGAAAAAATAGTTTTGTTTAATGAAATTTAATAAAAATGGTTGCTATGGTAACCGAATTTCGAAAATTTTACAATTTTTTTTTCTTTCTAAAATTAAGTATGTATCTTTACATTTTTAAAGATTTAATTTTGTAATTGAATACAGAGGGAAGAAAGAACTGATTGTGCATATTAGTTTTTAACTGATACAGATCAACAAAGTTTGCTATTTATAAAGCAATGTGGGTAAAATGCTGGTCCGACTTAAACATTTAAAATAAGAATAAAACACCTTCTAAGTACATGCAAGTTTCATTATATTAAACTCATATTGGTGCAATCATGTGTAGGTAATTTAGGAGATAACTGTATTGTATTTTAACCTTTTCGGACATAAAACGTAGTTATTACTGTCGCAAATTGAGTTTACCTAGCGACCTGTAGCAGAGCTAGGTAAACGGATAATTGCAACAGTAAAATCTAGATTTACGTCCACAAACCTTAAAATACAATACAGTTATATCCATTCTAATGCAATAGTCAATAAAGATATTGTTTCTGTTTTTTATTTGGACATATAGTTGCTTAAAATAAAAATTCCACAAAATGTTGTTGACTTCTTTGGCACATAAACTTCATAGCAACATCATGACGTCATATGAATACTTCAAGTGTAAAACTGTAACATATAGTATGTTTTGGGGCTTTGTTTATGCTTCAAATTTGGATATAAGCTATTAAAAAGTAGTTTAAGGTAGGCGTTTTTTTTTCTATTTCGCCTGTTTATTGGGAAAATATAATGTCGTTGAATCCAATATGGCTGCTTCTTGCATCCTTTCAAGATAAATAAAATAAATCTGTCATGAATTCTTTCTGTTTGATGCTAAAGAAAATCTTTTTCTTTTTCACTTTCAATGCCCATCACATTTCTTTGGCACTCAAGTCTGTAGTACATGCATTTTCTAGTAAGACTGCTTGCATATCAGGACAATGATGTACATTATTTGACAGCTTTTGGGCATATAGAACTTTTGCCTGATCTTTTAATGGGCCTTTCTCTAGCTTATATTCACAGCTGCCTTGAAGGAGGTGTTGATCAAGACTAATCTGGTTCTTGAACTCTTTAATGCAGCCATCCATAGAACAAATGAATGTCTGCTTCTGTTGTTTTGAAGCCTGTTCTGTTCCTAAAAAGAGGATAAATAAAATAAAAATTGTTTCCCAAAAAAATAGAAAAATTCAAATTTACTACATTAACCAAGTTCAGTTCCAATTGGCCCATTTGTATCAGAAGATTTTTGAAAAAGTTTATGCCAGACGGACTCAAAATGGTCCAGGTGACCTAAAAAGGACAACGATACAACATGTATAAATTTCTCTTTCAACAATGGACAGCCTGATTATCTATAATAAGATTCTGTCGATACCCATAATCCTGTAACCCACAAGCAGGGAATTTAAATGATGTATAACAATGTTTATTTGAGTTTTGTGTTGGTTTTCTCGGTTGTTGTGACAAAATATAATAATGATCATTGTCTTACAAGTGTGCTTAAGTTTTGTACATGACAGTTAGTAAATGAAATAATTATAAAATTACCTTCAGTAATGAGGTCATTAAAAGACATCTCTGTCCAGTCATTGAGTACTTTTAACTGCACAGAATTCTTTGTTGATTTTAAAGTCACAAGCTTTCCTGAAATGAAAATTGTAATTAAAGAACCTGTATTCATTTTATTGTTTGTTAAATTGATCAATATGGAAGTTTAAAAAAAATAACCAACTTCAAGATCATAAACTCTATAGATTTTTTATGTCGTTATGATATAAAATTACGTGAATTTTTATAGCATCCATTCTAGTCTAGGAGTTTGTGGTCTTTTTATCAATAGGCTCAATGCAACCTTTTTATTAAGATGATTTAATTTTTTATGTTTTAAGATGAAGTGCTGAGCTTATTGAATTAAGTATTGGTATTGCTTTTAATTGTCTTTATACACTTAAAACCTCTGAACCAGGATTTCGGAGGAGGGTTGAGTACTTATAGACTTCTTTTATCCACCTGTGTACAAGCCAGACCCTGTATTTTCAGTGGTTGTGTTATGTTTAAAACTATATGTTATTTGTAATCTGTTTTTTTCTTTATGTTGAATATAAAAGTAATACCTTCATCAATATTGTATGTTTGCCACATCCTCAAATGACTGCTCTCAAATCTAAAGTTGTAAAAACTTGTAATATTGGTTATTGTTTCTTTATTCTTGGTTACATCTAAATCAAGGATTGTGTCAACAACCTTCACCCTGTAACGCTTCCCTGGTACTTTATCAAGTGCCTACAAAAGATTGGATACTAAATGAATTCTGATAGACACAATATGAAACAAGATGTGCTGTGAGTCATTGCTCACTAGTGATATCCCTGCTTTTTGATAGGTAGCCATCAAACTTTCACATTGATTTGTGATAGCCTTTTTGATTTATTTTGTGAAAACTGTTTGTGACGGACAGACGGAAAGCTGATTACTATAGGGCTCCTATGTCTGAATAAAAGGATAAGATATCAAATAAAGTTAGTGAAATATCTTATATCTAATTCATGAGATATCTTATAAAATAAATAAGATATCTTATAAACTAAACAAGAGGAGGCTCCGGGGTTCCCCACTGGTGCTAAAATATAATATTTCCATAAAGCACTTGTGACCTTGACCTTTGAATGACTAGAAACATCAAAATCAATAGGGATCTTCCTTACCTAATAACATTCAACTGTGTAAGTTTGAAGAAATAATATGAAGGTGTTCAAAAGTAACAGTCCAGAAACCGATTGTCAGCTGAAAATTCAACATCATTAAGTATCTGTGACCTCAACCTTTGACCTATAAACATCAAAATCAATACGGATCTTTCTTACCTAATAAACATTCAACTGTGTAAGTTTGAAAAAATTATATGAAGGTGTTCAAAAGTTACGGTCCAGAAACTGATTATGGACGGACGGACGGACGGACACCGGTATTTCTATGTCCCCTCCGGTGGGAGACAATAAGAGATCTAACAAAATTGTTTTATAAGATATCTTATAAATTATATCAGATGTCCTATAACATTCATTCTAATGCAACATTCGTTGTAACGTACGTACGTCAAGTTTCATTGGATAAAGTCGTAATTTTCAGGGTATATATCAATCTGAAGATTTGGAGCCATCAATCTCTGATTTGATGGTCGCAAATATCCATTTACTGGCTCCGCTAACGTGTCGCTAGTAAACTCAATTTGCGACCATCAAATCCATGATTGATGGCTCCAAAACTGCAAATTCAATACAGTAAGCTCCTAATTGGATATCTTGAAAATCTTATATCTTCTAAGGTTTATGAGATATCTTTATAAACTTCTTTATAAGATATCTCATGAAAGATATAAAATATATTATCATATACTTAGACTAAATAACATATGATTTTTACCATATGATAATAGCATTACATTTACGTATATTCCATATTTTTTCGAATTGGTGCTTAGCGGTCTGAAATGAAAAGTTTATCACATGCTTCGACTTTTATCACATGCCTTTCCGTAACGTTATATCATGGCATTCTGGTAATACTCGGCAAATTCTGGAAAATACACCTCAATGGTACGTTTTCAGTGAAAAACATTACAAAGTAGGGTACAAAACAATTATTTGTATACTGGAAAGTATATTGTGTAAAATGGAAAAAAAACAAACAATAAACAAATGATAAAATAAATGCATTTTTAACATAATTTAGAAAGTTACTTTAAAAATGTTGACTTTTCCAAACAGTGTTTATTATGTATATTGTTGAATTATTTTTTTATCGTCCGTATTAAAATATAAAATACTGGTTTTTTTTCCTCATTTTTGAGGCATATGATAGAAAGATTTCATATCGATTGTACAACATTTGGGGTCTGACATCCGTGATTATCTTACCTCCTATACATTTCTAGGAATATGATTGGTTTAAAGCGTCCGCGGCGAGACTGTGTATATTTCATATTAGGTTAGTAAGGAGGCATGGCTTATTTCATACACGGTTATTAGTGGAGTTACGTCCCTTTATATTCCATATAAGGTTAGAAGGTAGGCGGGCCTTGTTTCATACACAGTTAGTAGTGGAGTTACGTCCCCTTTATATTCCATATAAGGTTAGAAAGGAGGCGGGGCTTATTTCATACACAGTTAGTAGTAGTGTTGCGTCCCTTTATAAAAACAAAACAGTACTGAGAAAAACATCTTAAAGATTTCAACAGACGAAGAAATTGATTATTAAGATTGAAATGAATTCATAAAACACATTTAAAGCTAACAAGTTGTTATTGTTGGCAGCTGTTTCTGTAGGATCAATGAGAGAAGTTTCTTAATGCTAAAAGTATTGAAGACTTCAGTGCTCATTTTGATAGGTCACTAGTCTAAATTTCACACATTAAGATAGTCGGTAAGATAAATTCGTTACATAGTGTGCTAGTGACGTAATACGGTATATATGGGGTCAGTAAATTCCATATGGGGATTCGAGCTTTGCTCTCACCCCATATGGAATTAACTGACCCCATATATACCGTATTAGGTCACTAGCACACTATATAACTTATAATATTTCACTCTTTGAACTGCTATTTAAGAACCACGTAAAAAGATCAATATATTAATCTGTTATTTTTCTCCATTGTTGAAGCATATGATAAAAAGATCATAGCATGTCATTTTTCATATCACATGTATTATCAGCCCTCGGCCAATATCAGCCCTCAAGCCATGCGGCTCTTGGGCTGATATTAAACCAAGGGCTGATAATACATGCGATATGAAAAATGCCATGTAATAATCTGATATTATACAAGATATCTTAAATACTTTTACAAGATATCTTATAAAGTCAAGTTTATGAGACTTCTTATAAAGTGTATGCAATGATACTATTTTATATACAGTTATACCTACCCTCTTTCTTTAAGGTGGTAGTATTTCAGCTTCTGCAATCTTGTTCTTTGTATTTGTCTCAATAGTGTTCTCCTAAATTAAAAGAAAAGAAAAACTTTTTAAGAATATTTTAAACAAGGTACTAATTGAAATTGGAACAATAATGAATTCTGGAATACACATGATAATATTGAAGCAAAAACCAACCTATCTTAGAGGGTTTAGTAGTATATGAATGGGTTAGGGTTCAGTTGAGGTATGTTTTATACACAAATGATTTAGAAATTTACCCTTAATTTACCCTCAATTATGCATACATGAATGCATAGTTTAACCCCTATTGGCCCTAAGTGTACATGTAAATTAGATCAATTAAAATCTTGGTTTTTATTTTAATAGATTTTTTACTAATGCTTAATGATGAAACTAGTTTACCAAATAAAATGTGCAAAAGCTTAGTGAATATGAAGTTGGAACTTTAAAGTTTAATGTTATTTCTGAATTGAAAGATCTTCTTATTCTTGTCATATTAAAACTGAGTACATATGCAGTTTGACATGTAGTTACAATATGGATCCCATACATACATGACATAATAAACTCACTATTGACTATTGAGTATACATGTGTACAGGGAATCATATTTATACATGTATATGAAAAGACATACCTCCTCAACATGCTCAATACTGTTATTTCCAAATAGTTTTTCTCTACACAGTCTACAAATTGCTGTAATATAAAAGAAAATAGATACACAATTGATCTCATTCTGTGTATCACTATCAAAACTATTTAGGCCAAACAAAAAAATATGTGTGTTTACTGTCACTTGCTGAAAAAAAAAGGTAGGTAGGTAGGGATTTTTTTTTTTTTTTTACATTGAGTCTATGGGAGCAACATTGTGACTTTAACAGTACTTAATCAAAAATAGTCAAAAACACTTTAGGGTAGGGGACACAAATTAGGGTAAGTAGGGGTACAGTAAACCCACATACTTTTTTTTTGGGTCATATACTGAAATTAGGGTAGGTAGGTGTACAGTAAACCCACATACTTTTTTGTTGGGTCATATACATGTACATGTATGTACATAAAAACATGAATTTTAAAACATACATGTATCTCAAGTAAACATGAGTAAAAGAAGGCTGTCCGGGCCCTTATCGGAATATAAGCCTTCTGGCGCATACATGTAGTTGTGACAACATTAGGGCTATGTTGCGGCTTCATTGCACCAACATGTTGTGGCAATGATGCTGCATTAGTGTATTTCATATGCAAATTAGTTTTCTGGCACTGGTGCCAGAAAATGCTGTGGCTTCGTTGCCGCAACATGTTGTGGCTTCAATGCAGATATTGTTTTTTATTTTGTATGCAAATTAGTTTTCTGGCACTATTGCGCCACTAATGCCTTTAAATTCTGGCTTCCTTTAATTATTGACTAAAAAGGTAAAGTAACGTCTGACCAGGTAAGTTTAGTGCTAAGTATACCAGAGAAAAAGTTTTAACTCCTTTATTTAACGTTATGATTTTTTTGTGTGCTCAGGGTTATTATTATAACTTTTTTCTTTTAAAGAAAGTAAAGTTCTGTCCTCAGAAGTTATTCCTATATGTAATGTACTTACTTTTCCCACATTGAGGAAAAGGAAAGTTAAAATGTGTAACTCATGAACTGTCAACATGCAACATCTATACCTTCAATAACACCAACATAATTTCCATGATCCCAACAGGAGCCCCTTCACTTCAGTCAAAGGTGTTGTGTTTTGTCTGATTAGCAATCTAAATTCGTGATTATACTACATTTTTTTCCAAACAAATAGCACTTTCAAGCCGTCTTTTGAGGGTTACAAAGACATAATTGACCAAACTTCTTTCAGCATGCTCTGTAAAATTTTAGCAAGGGTTAAATTGAGAAAGGGAAGAGAAACCATGACTTATGTTTCAGAAGGTACCAATTCGCCCCATTAGATGATAGTTCGTCCCTGTTAATTAGGATTTTTTGAAAATGCTCTCCAGGTCTATCAGGAAGAAGACAATTTCCTTGATTTAATTAAATGAGAGATTGAACTTTTATATAATGCATTTAATTAATCATGTTAATCTAAGTTTACATACAAGTCTTCTCAATAACAGAACACCCAATTCTTCACTAAAATCATAAGCTCAAGCAACATATGGTCCACTTCTAACACACCACCATGACCACAGTAAAAAGCTCAAACACTGGTGACATCATCAATGACATTATCAATTTTCTGGCTCTAATCTGGCATCATTTTAGTAGATTAAGAATGAGAAAATTATATGTGTGCTTTATGGCAACATTGTGGCGCTTTTTGTCATGAAAGGAAATAGCGCTGCACTGTTGCCAGAATGATGCTAGCGGCATCATTCAGCACTTATCCGGCATCAATTTTCTGGCAACCTGATCAGCAGCCGCAACATTGCAGCATTGTTGCTGCAACATTTTTTATTTCATAAGGACCGGTATGAAATGATGTGATTATCATGTACAAAACCTTACAAATCTGGTAAAGGAAAGGAAACGTGAAACAGCATTCATGTTATAATTTTTGTCTCTCAAAAACAAGATTCAAAGAACTTCACATAATTTTATGTTTTATAGTTTAAAAAGGGGGTATTAAAGAAGTTCATATGGCTGTCACATGCTAAAAACAATAAGCTTAAGGTTCATAGCCAAATGGTAGATAATATTAACCCTAAGGTTTTTTTTGTTTGTTTTTTTTTGGGGGGGGTACCTGACAGCTGCATTTGATTTCTTTTTTATAAGAGGTTTATCACTGTATCTTTTTTAAAGAAAAATGGTATTAGGTAAATAGTATCTACTTACATGTTCCAATAGCAATGAAAATGCCTGTCTTTGTAACAATTCTTTGAAACATCTCGGGTGTAACATGTCGATCCACTGCTTTTGTAGTATTATGATATTTCAAAATGACATTTACTGAAGGCACACCACAATCTTTCCTTCTATATCTCTTGTTAGTTGTTTCGATGATAATATTTCTATGAATATCACAGATCCTCAGTTGTGACGTACAATGTAATGTCAGATTTAAGTAAAGAAATTTCTGACAAAAATTTTTACATGTCTCTTTTTCCAATGGAAGCATTTTCAAAAATACCTGTCGTCACTGCAGTTGTCACAATTGTCTACGAAATCTTTTATGCTACACATTTTATAACAATTATTCGAAGATTATATAAATAAATACATTAAAAAAGTTAGTTACGGTAAGCAAAATAAACTATAAAATACACTGTCTTAATTAGTACAGACACAGTTCCATTGTTCTGACAATAATTTCAAAATATGAGCAAATCACACCAACTTAACCATATATATAAGTGTAGGCTAACATCACTGTGAAAAATTTATCCATTTCCCATTATGCTTGAATATAAAACATGAAGAAATTCGCAAAATAACATTGTTGTCTGCATTTGTTTACATTTTCCCTCCTGTTTTTAATTTGTTTCTCTACAAGAGAACTCCGTAAAGGGAGGTAATTTGATTAGGTAAATACAGGACAACTCAACTTTTCAGGGTCAATTAATTTCAACACAGTCAAGTTTGCCCACTGATTTTTTTTCTTTTCTTGTATAACCTTAATCCATTCTCTCTATTCATATAATCAACAATATAAGAAATGGCTGCATTTTTTTACAACACCTGATCAAAATAGGCTCTAAAACCCCCCTTTTATTGCACTTTTTACCCTATTTTAGCTATATAGATTTTTTTTTAAGAAAGTTTACTGTTGAACACAATTTTTATTTGTTTTTTTTAAACTGAAAAAAGTTTTAAATGTCTGAATATCTATATTATTTTCTTTTTATTAGACATAATTGATCATAATTTGTAAACACTGCATTTTCCCTCTTTCTTGCCACTTTAAGTCCTGTTACCAAGGAAACGGTAAACATATGGGGCTAAGTGTAATAATATTTTTTGTAAAGCTCATGTGGCTCTATTGAACTAATAAAGTTTAAAACAAATATTTTTTAGTGCGTGCCGAAATATTTTGGTGATTACAGAGAATTGCTCTTAAATCGAATCGCGTCTTCAAAATTTGGATCACAATTAACACGTCTGCATTGCATAATAAATTGGAAATCCATAGCCATACACAAAATTTACCACAAAAAAATGTAACACGAATATATATATATATATAATATATATTTAAAAAAATGACAGCTTGCTCTGGAAGTTTTATACAATTGAAAAATATAATGAGTATCTATCTGAGGGAAAGACAACGTTAGGAGCCAGACTTGTATAAAGTCTATGCATAATGCCATTAACAATAAGTAGCAGCTGCTGTATAATTCAGGAATGGGTCCGACCCCTGTTCCTCTCAATCTACATCTGATAAACACAATGTTCAGATAGACATAAAATTATAAAAAAACCCAATGTTTTTTACTTCTTTTTTTATTTACAAATATCTACTATATGAGAAGTTCAGTTAGTTTCAGCTTTAATATAAGCAACAGCAATACTACAGGCGTATAACATAATGTACTACTTCCATTTATACATAATTTTCCATTATGTATATCTCCAATTTGTATTTGGAATAGTCCAATTCCTTTTCCGAACTTTTTTCCAAGAACGACTTTCTGGTCATTTAACATATTCTTTTCTGTATAACATCCCTCTTTTATGTTTGTATCCACTGCAAAACATCCTCTAGCTGTGACGGTCACTTTGATGTCTATAAATGATGGATAAGAAATTATCAGTGCACGTGTGGTGTTGAATGCATGCATCTACAATACTTAATTAAGAGACCTGTTTGTGTGAGTCGGTTATCCGTCTTGCAGATCAAAAACATTGACACAAATTCAAAGGATACTACACGAACGAAAAAATCTCATGGACAGAAAACTAAATTTTTCATTGGTTTATTGATTTTGACTTTTTTAACACATTTAAATAATCCCTTCGAAATGAAAATTGTATGAATAAAGTTAAGAGATATAATGCGATACCACGAAGAGAATACAATCAGAAATGTTTCATTCCTTAAAACTAAAGTTTTGTAGTTAAATCTATTAAGAAAAGCTCTTTGCGTAAATAATCAAGTTATACTTCACTAATTAAACAGGATGGTCTTGAGTTATATATTCTAAGTGCCGACGTTGTGTATCATTTTATGTACTTTGGCAGTTTGTCCTTTTATTTGTCTCTGTATTATTGTGTTCCGTTTAGTCTATTTTCTTAATGTCCTTTTTGGTCATATATCTCATCAACCGTTTCGATTCTAATACATTTTTTGCTTTCAAATATTCGACTTTGGGCGTTCCTTATAAAAGTAAACTCAGAAAAGAGCTTTGGACGCATAAAATTTATAACGTGTTTTTTTCATTTTTTAGTCGTATGACTCTTTATGTGGCTCGGTTTTTGTGTATCCTGCTTTTAGGTTTTTCGGTGTGGCCGTTCCTGTTGCGTGTTTGTTCAGATTGGCGCTTTGGATGCATAAAATGTTTATAGTGCTATATTTTTATTTTGTGAACCCTCGTTTTTATATTTCACTGAATGTGTACTTTATCCGAAAAGTGTGTATGTACAATTTTAGCTGCTGGGTCCCAACTATTGTCACGTTAACCAAATGTGTGCTTCAGCTTTACAACTAGGTTTAACCTACCATCTTCGAAAATGTATGTACCAAGTCAGGATCATGATAGCTGTTTTACAGTCGTTCCGTTTGTTGAAATAGTCAAGACGTTTTGTTTTATCAGTTAGTAGGGTTATCCCTTTTTTGAATTTACCATAGAGTTGATATTTTTGCTCTTACATTTGCTACACGTAACGTATGTGTTGGTGTTTTTTTCAGTTGAGGTTATTTTGTCTCATTATTATAATTATATTCAATTAAAGTTTCAAACCGCAGATATACACTATTATTCCAGTACCTAAATTAGCTGTTAAGTGTGTCAAGTTGACAGTTCCGGTTAAAGTACTACACATATTTATCCTGTTGTTAGGGGTGTCATCTTCACATGGACCAATTGTTATACTTCCTGATTTAGTGACAGACGTTGCATTTGCACACCCTGGCGTGTTTATGTCTTTCTTCAAAGTTTTTATATATGACTTAAATGTTTGTGGAACGCTTGTGGTATCAAACGTACCATCTATGCACTTCAAGCATTCTGTAGCTGAAAATAGATTTTTGACGTAGAGAAAAAAGTAAAACAACAAAAATACCGAACTCCAAGGAAAATTCAAAACGGAAAGTCCCTTAACAATTGGCAAAATCAAAAGCATAGAAACATCAAACGATTACAATTTCTTTAATCATTCAGTGTCAATTGTTTAATTTAAAATTACGAGTACAATAAATCATGCAAACTTTCAATGCATACTGAACAAAATGATGTACATTCTTAAGATTTGAATTAATGTTTTTTTGACGAAATAATATATACTAATACATCGTTTATACCATTGATGTTTTATGGAATAATAAATGAATAGACAAGCCACTTAATTAATAGACCGAAAACATATGTATATGACTGAAAACCCAGTGAAAGTCTTGCTTTATGTCGTACTAATAGCAGGTTTGTGAATGTTTCTTGTGAGGTTTATCACTAAGCATTTTATAGGACTGATTGATTGATTGATTGATTGGTGTTTAACGCCACTTTCAACACTATTGTGCTATTTCGTGGCGGTCAGTTTTTATTGGTGGAGGAAGCCGGAGTGCCCGGAGAGAGCCACCGACCTTTGGTAGTTATAGGACTGATAAATACTTTTTACATTGAAGAAAGATTTAAAAAACTCAACTTTTTAGATTAAGCACTACTGAAATTTATAAATAGTTTAATACAGTATGTGGTAACATTACATATTTGGTTCTGGATACAGCATTTTTAAGAGATTTTTCATTTTGATCGTTCATATATGATAACCTTAGCTGTTTTTCGCAAAACCTTTCTGAATTTCAGGTCCTAAATGCTCTTTCACTTCGTACTTTATTTTGTTTTTAAACGTTTTTGATTCAAGCGTCACTTATAAGTCTTTTGCAGACGAAACGTGCGTCTAGCGTACAAAATAATAAGCTTGGTATCATTGATAAGTGTAATGATGATTTCATACCAGATATAAATTCAAAAAAAGTATATGTTCAATCATACAAAAGAGAACTTATTGAACTAAATGGCTTATACATTCATGTATCAAGTTGGCTCAAATAATACAAGTATATAAAAAAAATTAAAAATCATGTATGGTTCGGGTCAATTAGATATCTAAACACAATAAAATCAGAAATAAAATAAGTATAATATTTTCCAATTTAATTCCATTCGGCCAAATACACACAATCGACGGACACCGAATTAGATTACTATTGGTGTTGGAAAGTGGTAACTTTTGAAATTCGACACAATCCTGTTCATCAATGCAGGTTATTGAAAGCCAATGTATCCCATTTATTCACACGCCTGATAACAGGAGGATAATAAAGATTGTCTCTATTTAAAAGTAAGAAGATGTATGATTGACAATGAAGTAATTTTCCACTAGAGATCAAATTAATGACGTAGAAGTTAGCAAGTATACTCCTTTTACTATTGTATACATTTTTTAATCAATGACTCCCCGAATATAAAGGTATGATATCCATCCCAGTGCGCATAATAATACCCAACACCAGGTTAGATGGAAACCGAAAGTTCGTGAAATGAAAAAGATATTTCATCAGACTCTCAAAACCAAGAAGGGTCAAATCAAAACATCAAAAATTAAATTTTGAATACAAACACATTATTCAAACATATATTAAACAGTCACTATGCCTATTTTAATTCGCATGCTAGTACTGAATTACTCAGTGACTACTGTGAGATGGGCGTCATTGAAAACACACATAGTTACTGCTAAATATATAAATATATATTTGAATAATGTATTTGTTTTAAAACAAAAAGTTCACCAGCACTGCTATCGGCTCAGTTAACATGGATAACTATTTTGAGAGAGCATGATAGGTGTATCTGGAATAGCCTTCATTATTGTTCATGACAAGCAAATTCAGAGGCTGTTGACTTGATTTGTACAATCCCAAAGAGTTATATTCTGCAATTGAAGGCACCGGTAAAGTAGAATAAATTAATATACACTTCTTTGATATTTCAAAATCATTTTTAAAAGTCGAAGGCAAAATATCAATTTGCATTATAATTTGAAGCTTTTGGCGTAGATTCAGATTCCGATTGAGTCGGTTGAAGAATTCATTATTGGTATTTTTTTTTATTTTAATTTTAAAACATGTGTTCTATTTACTATTCTTTTTCACGTCAGACTTACCGCCTGCTGTCTTTAAAGTCAATATCCAAAATACTGTTGCACAAATAAATATAGACATTGTTTTATACAACTCCATGCTCCAAACTAAATATATTATACACTCATGTTTATTTCCGAACAAGAACCCAATATCCGTAACTGTCTGGGAACAGAAATACCACTTTTAATTGAATTGTTTTATTCAAGAAGGAAGTATACAGTTGGTATTTTGAATGTTATAAAATATATCATTCTAATTTCAATTTGTCTAGTATTTGCAATCACTTTATCATGAAATCAGTAGTAATTTAGCACAATAATATAAGCATTACTTTATTTATTTGAATAGGGTGTATTAATTTCTTCTGTCAGGTTTAAATAAAGGCAACAGATGTATACCGCTGTTCAATAGTCATAAATCGATAATGCGAAAACAAATCCGGGCTACAAACTATAACTGAGGGAAACACATCAACAATAAGAGGAAAACAACCGATTAACAGAAACACTGAACTGCAACAAAAACAAACGCCAATATACATAGAAACGGACTATTTGATAACAACTGTCATATTCCGGACTTGGTACCGGACATTTAAAGAAAAAATGGTGGGTTGAACCTTGTTTTATGGCTAGCAAAACCTCCCACTTATATGGCAATATTAAAGATACTGCTAAAATGACAACAATACGTGACAGGAATACAGAACAAAAAAAAAAAATGCAAGAACACTCAGGACAGAGCAATACATAAATAAATAATAAAATAGATATAGGAAGATGTGGTATTAGTGCCAATTAAACAACTCTCCATCCAAGTTACAATTTATAAAAGTAAACCATTATAGGTCAAGGTACGGCTTCAACACGGAGCATTGGCTCACACCGAACAGCAAGCTATAAAGGGCCCCAAAAAATTACTAGTGTAAAACCATTCAAACGGAAAAACCAACGGTCTAATCTATATAAAAACGAGAAACGAGAAACACGTATGAACTACATAAACAGACGACAACTACTGTAATCAGATTCCTGACTTAGGACAGGTGTAAACATTTGCAGCGGGATTAAAGGTTTTAATGGTACCAAACCTTCTCCCTTTTCTGAAACAATAGTATAACATCACAACATAGAAAAACATACTATAAAATATCAATTGGAAGTCTTAACTCAATCAAAAAACGTAAATTAACACACAATGAACGAAAAAATTTGACCTGTGACACCTGAATGCAAATACACAGTTAATAAAAAATTACAAGGGATAAATAATTAAAGTCAAAAATAAATAAATAGGTTTAAACAAAGTTAAAGTATGATATCACTGTGAAATGTCAAACAATTTTTAGAAAATCATCACTTTTGAAGAAACCTGCGTCATATTATACACAGGTAAATGAAAATAATTGTGTTGTTGAGTATACTTCTTCTTCTGTGTGTATAAAATCTTCCGTTTAGGAATACCAAGAAATTTCTTTAATATCAATAAAACTAATCTAACACTTGTTACTTATGGGGTGAATATCAACAATAAAACTATACAATTAGTGCTAGATAAAACTTCCTGTACAGGTCCAAGAACAGCATCTAAGGAAAAATGAAATAATTTTGATGTTCATAGTACGAGGAAGTGAAAATTTGTAGTAATACCAAATAATAAAAGCTGGTATATAGACAAGATCCATGTTAACATTAAATAACAAAAAAGCATTACAAATAGTATCAACAGGTCAAATTAAAAAGAAAGTACGATCTGAGAGTTAGTTAAAAGCCAAAACAATTAATAATAAAAAATCATGCACCAGAGACTAGAATCAACTAAAATACATCCCAGGGATTTAGTATGTTAACGTCATGAACAGTCAAAGAAGATATAAAATAGTATATTAACCCTTATAACATGGGATACTTTTGTGGACATTTTACACGGTAACCTTTTTTGAAATAATAATCCCTGAAAAACTACGACTAAAATTATAAAACGGGTACTGCTGTTACAAATTAGGCAAATCTGTCATTGAAATAAGAAATTTGTATGACTTTTTGTGCAATTTATATATTCATTATTCAATATATTCACTTATGGCACCATATCGTAAAATGTAATCAATATCCGCCAGGATTACTTGCGGTGCAATATCAAATATTTTGTTACTAAGTAAACCTGATGCTTTTTACTAGAAGCGTCGGATATATTGTTTTGTTGGTTGTTGAAAGTACGTTGCCTATTACACATGTTACAAAATTATGTACTCAATGTCTAGGATAATCTCAACAACCACAAATAATACAGTCGTAAACATATCACAACGAATAGAAGGAAATTGATAGCACTGATGAAATGGTCCGCACCGACAATTAAATTTGTCTAATAGGAATAATGCCTAACAGTAAATTCAAAATCGCATTCGGAGCACCCCTAAAGAGCTACGAGGGAGATGTGTCGGTTACGTATTTAAAAGCACAATTCCCACCACAACACAAAGGGAGTGCTAGGACACCGGGAAGTCTGTTATTATGGTGGAGGAAGGCCAAGTACTCGGTGAAAACCACCAGGATACTCGGCGGAAACAGATAAACCGAGAGATATCTGATGTACTGAAATTTCAAGCGCCCCGTGTCAGAATCGAATCCGGGACCTTCAGCACTGTAGCCATCGGTCTTAACCACGAGACCGCGAACCACTATCAATTGGCATGGAAATATGTGTCGTGGCTATCTTATTTGCACAAAAGTCTAAAAATATTTATTCCTGATACGGATAAGTTTAAAATACAGTTTGGATGAGTTTTAACTTCTCTCAAAATCTGCCATGAACTGTCAAGAGAAATGTTCTTAAACAGTTTTTTAAACAGTTCTCCTTGACACCTTTTTGGAAGAAGCTGTTCTCTATGTAAGAATTGTTTTAAACAGTTCTATCCTAGAATAGATTTTCACGGTTCTGATCGAGAACAGTTATGTAGAGTTCTTCGCTATACAGATCCTGACATTTCTACCCTAGAACAGTTTTGGACTGCTCTATCCCTTGAATAGGTCTGAACAGCTGTATTGTTTATGCTTATTTGTTTATTTTTCTGATATGTTTTTATTTTATTTGTTTATTTGTTGGGAAAATTTTATCTGTATAATTTTCAACAAAATATTCGAAGATATCGTTTTCACTTAATTTAGTTTTGTTCATTTTCTGAACTTGTTATTATTTTCGATATCAGTTTTTTTTCTATGGTTTCTTAATTAGTTTTATGCAATGTTATTATTTGCGTATACCAAAATTTCGTAAATAATACCAAATCAAAAACATAATATTACATTGATTGTGTAATGTTATAGTGTTTAATCAGGAAAACTCAAGCATTCCAACTTACAGCGAACATAATATAGTTATCACGTAATCAAATTATTCCACATAATATAAAGAGAAAGCGAAGACACTAAGAGGACAATCGAATATCATTAGTCCAACAGAAACAAAGAGCATCACCTTTACAATTGAAAACGTCGAAAAAACAAACTGCAACAACAACAAATTACACAGACAAATGCTGTTTGAGTTAAACGAACCCTTCAAAAACCGAAGGTTAACTCAGGTGCTCCGGAATGCTAAGCTATTCCTATTCCACACCATGCACCCTTCACGTTGCTCATTCAAGTACACATATGGTGGTCAGTCGTATTTTTCTAAGTTATAATCGAGGAAAAGATGATATGATTGTGGTTACGATGGTCCAACAAATCATGATGGCGTCCGTAACACTTTCCAAAGAACAACCTCAACTTTAACGCTTGGAGCCCTTCAATCAACAGCTCTGTTATAAGCAGTTCGTCTCGTACAATGAAACAATGATATAAAACGCAACTCTCGAATATTGTATCATACGAAACATACTATACATGTAGGCGCTGTTGGAATGCTGCTACATAGAAATACAAAATTCCAAAATGGAAAATAGAAAATATATATAAACATAAATTATTGAATTTTGTAATCAGTCAGAAAAAATCAAATACCGACACATACAAAAGAATGAACACGTCAAACACGATATGATTTACACAGTTTTATTATATAACCATCACCTTACTGGCTTAGTTAACAATTTTAGTACCATTGAAGTTCACATAACACACCGAAGATGAAAGTCACAAAAACTAATGTTGAACAATATTTAAACTTTAACACTGCTGACCTATTTTTGCCATCTTCGGTAGCTAAAATCGATTTGTTTGTAGCCTTTTCAATACGATCGGCAGTAGATAACGGATTTATACAAAACTGACCATTAGTGACATTGACTATTTGAAGTTCCAGATGTCTTATTTCTTTTTCTTTTATAAAGAAGTTTTCTAGGTTTGCTTTCTGCTCATTTAACATAATCGGATCTGCGTAACATCCAGTCTTTGTGCTTTTGTCAACATCAAAACATCCTTTTGCTGTAATCTCCGTAAGTATATCTGTAATTAACAGTACTTGATAAGTTCGTTATGATTAAAACATGTATGAAATCCAATATGTATTCAAAAACGAAAAGTCCCTATCAAATGGCAAAATCAAAAGCTCAGAGACATCAAACGAATGGAAAACAACTTTCATATTCCTGACTTGGAACAGGCATTTCTTTATGTAGAATTGGTTGATTAAACCTGGTTTTATAGCTAGCTAAACCTCTCAATTTATGTTTGCCTATTGTGGCGCCTCAAATTTGGTATGTTATCACTCCATACGGATGATCACATATGCATTTACCTTCATTATGAGCGCTCACCGGCAACAATTGGGACAGTCAATGATGAATAATGACGAATAGGTAAAATTCGAGTAATATGTCAGCACTAAACGTGAGATGAAATTTAAAAGCATTGATATACGAAACCAAAGTAAAATCGCCAAAAGAGGTGAACAATCACAATATTGCAGGTAATAAATTGAAGGCAATGTAACAACCTTTATGATTAAGTGATTGATACTCTAGAGAAAATATAGTCTTCGAGGAGTAGTGTAACATTATATGACATTTTTGCCAAAGCTAAGGTTGGTACAACTCTGGGGCAAACTTTTACCGTGCACAGTTTCGGACCGTTGTTTAAACACTACTTATTATTGTGAGGTGTAATATTATTGATTTTCCAAATTTTTGCCTGTGTTCCTTTTTCAAGCACACCTGATGAAAATAATTCAAGAAATCATGTGTGCAACAAATGGATATATGCTTTTATTTGAAATTGAGAGAGAGCTGATTCAAGTACAATTCTTAATATCAAACCTCCGTTAGATAAACCCTTTCCTGGATTATTTTTAAGCATGCCTTGGTCATCTTTCTTTGTTGTATATTGAGATTTATGTTATGACTGTATAAACTGATAGATAAAGAGAGGCGAAAGATACAAAAGGATATTCAAACTAGAAAATAGAATTGATATTTTCAGTAATAATAATTGAATCATCGCTATTCATGTGGTCATAAATCAGTAAATCGCTTTCATTCAGATGCGTTTATAACAAATGACAGTATAAAATCTTACCTTCTAATAAAGAAATCTTAATAATATATGAGAAACTCTCCAACCAAGTCACAATGTATAAAAAGGTATCAATTACCGGTATATGTCAAAGTACAGCCATCAACACGGAGTCTTGGCTCACACCGAACAGCAAGCTATAAAGGGCACCGAAATGTCTAGACTAGTGTAAAACAATTCAAACAAGAAAATCAACGGTCTAATCTATATAAAAAAACGAGAAACGATAAACACTTATGAACCACACCAACAAACGACAACCACTAAACAACAGGCTCCTGACTTAGGAAAGGTGTATACAAATGCAGCGGGTTTAAACGTTTCAACAGGCGCCAGCTTTCACCCTAACCGGAGACAGTAGTGTAACATTACAACATAAAAAGCACACGATAAAATGTCAATTAGTCTGTTTCTGAATTATGATTTCTCTGTTGGTCAGGTTAGGTTGGTATGTTTCATCTTCAATGTACTTGGTTAACAGTTCTGTACACAAGGACACACGAAAAACATGAACAAATAGCTACTGAATACTTACTGCGGTGAAAGGATGGTAGATGCAAAATAATGGTCCCGTTGAATTCCCCACATCTGTGTACTCTCTGGTAACCTAGATCTGTTTGGCAGAGAAGGAATGTTGAACTAGTTTGATTGGTTTCATTTAAACATGTTTTTACCATATTTATTTCTTCAACAATTGATTGGAAACCTCTGCTGTCACCATAGAGATTAGCCATTATAACATCTATGCATTGCAAGCAATCAATTCCTGAAAAAAATACTTTCATATCTGATAAGAATACTACATTTGACGAGTTTTAAAACAAGTCATATTTGTAATACTTAAAAAAGATAGGCGAAAGATACCAAAGGGACATTCAAACTCATAAGTCTCAAGCAGCATACTACGAATCAAGGAAGATCGATAACATTCATTTAATCTAAAAAACCTTATTGACGTAAGTGTCTTAAAACGTGATGCAAGCGCAATATTTTAGACAGCTGTCATATGAATGTAAAATAATGTTAAATCAAAAACACAATTTTTCATCTTTTTCGATTTAAATGATTATGCACATCAATCAGTCAGAATACGACCACTATATGGAGACAAACGTATCTATTATATTTTCACAAACTTAATCGGCATGATTCAAGATATGCAAAAACATTCAAAACTCACTATAGGTATAAAACCACTAATTCATAGCCCCATTAATGGCTACTTTATCTTAAGTTCAAATAAAGTGGCAGTCATTTCATGTCAAAACTATACCTTATCCTGACTTGTGCTGAAAAATTCAACATACCTTTAATTGCATATTAGAGCGTACTGATTTCCGGAAGTTTGATAGTACAAAAAACAGGTACTTCTGATCTGAACAGCAGGGTAAATGTGCACTCCTATTATAATTTTATATACTTTATTTTTTTTTAAAAGAAACTTTTAACTAGGATTCTACAGTTACCCCCAAGTCCCCAAGCTTTCATTTGATACCAAAATTACCCAAATATTTCACCTATTGACAACGATACAGCTATGCGTAGGAACTATTTTTGTTGAAAATATGTACTACTTTCTTGTATGTTCTTTCCGACCAGTCCCGAATTAGTGGTTCTATACCTATACAAAGATGTACTATTAACATAATTTTGACAACACATTTACTACGCTGCTGCTTCAGATATTATCAGTTGTTAGCTGTCATTGTCAGAACATCGTGATCTTAATATATGTAAGTAGCTTACCTTCTGTTGATTGTAAAACTGGAGACATGCTTATCAACAATACAATTAGTCCAGACATCATTTATATTGCAAAAAACTTTAGCAGGAAAATTTATTTTGAATATCATATACTCAATAACAATTTCATGTGACTGATCTGGAATCATCTGATATTGATATTAAAAGAGAGAAGGAAGTACTTAGAAAATAATGAATCAGAGAAATATTGTTTATTTTATTTCACATTTGATCTATTTTTTAAATCAAGTATTTATTGATAGTTACAATTAGACAACTAACCATCAGATAAAGTCTAATCGACATGTTTTCTTCGGGGGTCTCGTGGTATCGTGTTTGCCGCGAGTGCGGGAGGAAAAGGGAACGTTTAATGCGGGGTCAAACGTGAGGCTTGATATTTGGTATCTGCTGCTTCTACGCTAAGCAAGTATCATTTACACTTTATAAAGACTGATCGGCCTCTCACAGACTGTTACCTTGTGAACTTGCAAATGCAAAATACGACGAAGCGTGTCCGACTAATACAAAAGAGAGGCCATACTCATTTTGTATTTACATGGCAACTGGAGACGTTAAACAGCACTCCATCCATCCAAATGTAGTGAATATTAGCAACTTAAAACACCCGTATGACCTTCACCAATGAGCAGAACCTTAAACCATAAGGTCAAGTATAAAAAACCCCGACATGAAAAAATACGAAACAATTAAAACCTGAAAATTTACGGCCTTATTTATAACATAACAATAAACATTAAAAAAAGAAAAATATGACAGACATAAACCAACGACAGCCACTGAATTACAATTGATTGGTACAAGCTAAACAAACATCAAATCTTTAAAAAATAAGTCACAGAGTACTGATATAACAGCACTCTCAGTTAGTGTATGAGTAGAAAGTTGATGAACCAGGGGTATGTCAAAGAACGTCTCGTCCTTTTTCTAAAACAAGTTCATAGGAAGGTACCAAGACCTTGTTGATAAATATTCCGTATCAACTTCACAAATAATACACGATAGTCTTGAAGTATAGATTCTGGGTACTGACGTTGTTTATCATCTTAATAACGTGTTATAGTATTCCTTTATTTGTCTTTATCAATATTACTTTTACTGTTTAGTCTGTTTTTGGTGATATCCATTTGATGTTGCTCTTTACTTACACATCCCATCATTGTGTTATTGTGCTATGGTAAATTTTTGTATTTTTGTCTTTCATTTTTGCTTTTGTGCTTTGTCTATATGCTTTGTTGTGTTTCATTGTTACATATTTGTTTGTTCTTATAGTGATTAAGATTATAACACAATGCTGACTGCTTTATCCCTATGTTTGACAATTTTAACTATTATGTCTGTTTGTTTTGTTCACACATCGTTTTCAAAATAATGGAATTTCATGCGACTGTCATACAAGTGAGTGGTTAAGCTAGCTGTAAAACCAGGTTTAATCCACCATTTTCTACATAAGAAAATGCCTGTACCAAGTCAGGAATATGACAGTTGTTATCCGTTTGATGTGTTTGAGCTTTTGATTTTGCCATTTGATTACGGACTTTCCGTTTAGAATTTTCCTCGGAGTTCGGTATTTTTGTTATTTTCCTTTTACTGTTTGTATGCTTCTAATAAATAAAGCATATTTTTCCAGACCTTAGTATGATAACCAGTTTAACAGTTTACAAATACATTTTTCGTTGACAACAAATTTTAATTGATCTATGTACATCCCATACAAACAATCATCTAATAACAAAAACTGACCCCCAAAAAAGAATACTTTCTCAACATACCTAACAATGTATCAAATCGAATTATACAATCAAGACTACCAGGGATATGATAAGAAACATCTGATACGGTGCTTTCGGTCCGGGATTTGCTTTTTGTCCGATAATTTTGCTTTTTGTCCGACACTTGTGCTCTTTGTCCGTTGCTTTCGGTCCGTTTTGCTTTTTGTCCGATAATTTTGCTTTTCGTCCGACACTTTTGCTTTTTGTCCGTTGCTTTTGGTCCGTTTTGCTTTTTGTCCGATTATATTTATTTTAGTCCGATACTTTAGCTTTTTGTCCGTTGCTTTCGGTCCGTTTTGCTTTTTATCCGACACTTTTGCTTTTTGTCCGACACTTTTGCTCTTTGTCCGTTTCTTTTTGTCCGATTTGCTGTTTGTCCGATGATTCTGCTTTATATCCATTTTAAAATTTGCATATGTTTGTAGGTTCCATTTGAACTTCAAAACTCAATGACATATTTGAAATAAATGCAAACCTTATTTTTCTTTATAAATGAGTGGTACATAGAGTATCTTTTTTTTAACTATTTACCGCTGGTAAAGCCAAGCATACTTTAATTAACTATACGATTCGGTTGAAAATAAGAATTCGTAAATATTTAGACGATCGTGATAATGAGTATTATTAATAATAGGCCAAATAAAGTACGAAGTTGAAGAGCATTGAGGACCAAAAATTCCTAAACGTTTTGCCAAATACAGCTAAGGTAATCTTTTCCTGAGGTAGAAATGCCTTAGTATTTCAAAAATTCAAAGTTTTGTAAACAGTTAATGTATAATTATGACCATATCAATGATAATTCATGTCAACACAGAAGTGCTGACTGCTGGGCTGGTGATACCCTCGGGGAATAAAAACTCCACCGGCAATTGATAAGCAATTTTTAATGTTAAGTTTTAGTATTTTCTATTAAGTTACATTACTATCAGTACATATCAGTTTGACGACTATAAAACGGTGACTTTGAATTTATTCTCAATTTTCGATGTTAGGTTTTCTGCTTAAGTGAGATTGATAGGAACTAGTTACAATAAACAAGGATATTTTCTATAAAGATACATATCAGTTTGTCGACCAATTTCAGGCCTTGTCCACTAGATCTTGTTCCCGCGGCTGAATTGATAAGCAATGTTGCTGTCCATCACCTTGTCTTTATTCTGAATTTTATAGTAGTATGTCAGTCAACAGTTTATTCTAAAATCGTATTGAGAAAAGATCTGAATGATTCAAATTTTGTATATACTATTGCCTTATGTTTGAATGTCATTATTTTTCAGTGGGCTTGATTTTATTTTCGTGGTTTCATGGTTTCGTTCGTGTATAGGCTAATTTTATGGCGCACATGTCCGACCGTTAGGTTTCAACGGACAGTGGTTCATTAGTCAATGTTATGTTTTCATGATTTTGTTTTTGTCTGATACTTTTTCAGCAATGGGTCACCTACAATTAGCGTATGCAATGCTTGTTATTTCTACTCGAATATTGAACGGAATAAGTATTGAGGGTCGTATCGGATACTAAATACAATGGGTGGACAATGTTGGTTGTATTCGATGACTGTAATATGCAGATGTCAGATATGCAATGTTAACTGACATTGCCCTTACTTCCGTCATTTTTCGATCAATTTTCATTAGGGTTGGTACTATAAGACATATACTAGATGTAATTGAAATATCTGACAAAATTTGTCTATCCGATTTGAGCTCATAGTTCATTAGTCAATTTTAAGATTTGTTGTTTCAATTTTTGCATCTCAGATAACAAAAACATTTATAAAAGAAACCATACAGACTTAATTTATTTCAAACGGGATAGCACATCCTTTTTCTAAAACAAGTTCATAGGAAGGTACCAAGACCTTGTTGATAAATATTCCGTATCAACTTCACAAATAATACACGATAGTCTTGAAGTATAGATTCTGGGTACTGACGTTGTTTATCATCTTAATAACGTGTTATAGTATTCCTTTATTTGTCTTTATCAATATTACTTTTACTGTTTAGTCTGTTTTTGGTGATATCCATTTGATGTTGCTCTTTACTTATACATCCCATCATTGTGTTATTGTGCTATGGTAAATTTTTGTATTTTTGTCTTTCATTTTTGCTTTTGTGCTTTGTCTATATGCCTTGTTGTGTTTCATTGTTACATATTTGTTTGTTCTTATAGTGATTAAGATTATAACACAATGCTGACTGCTTTATCCCTATGTTTGACAATTTTAACTATTATGTCTGTTTGTTTTGTTCACACATCGTTTTCAAAATAATGGAATTTCATGCGACTGTCATACAAGTGAGTGGTTAAGCTAGCTGTAAAACCAGGTTTAATCCACCATTTTCTACATAAGAAAATGCCTGTACCAAGTCAGGAATATGACAGTTGTTATCCGTTTGATGTGTTTGAGCTTTTGATTTTGCCTTTTGATTACGGACTTTCCGTTTAGAATTTTCCTCGGAGTTCGGTATTTTTGTTATTTTCCTTTTACTGTTTGTATGCTTCTAATAAATAAAGCATATTTTTCCAGACCTTAGTATGATAACCAGTTTAACAGTTTACAAATACATTTTTCGTTGACAACAAATTTTAATTGATCTATGTACATCCCATACAAACAATCATCTAATAACAAAAACTGACCCCCAAAAAAGAATACTTTCTCAACATACCTTACAATGTATCAAATCGAATTATACAATCAAGACTACCAGGGATATGATAAGAAACATCTGATACGGTGCTTTCGGTCCGGGATTTGCTTTTTGTCCGATAATTTTGCTTTTTGTCCGACACTTGTGCTCTTTGTCCGTTGCTTTCGGTCCGTTTTGCTTTTTGTCCGATAATTTTGCTTTTTGTCCGATAATTTTGCTTTTCGTCCGACACTTTTGCTTTTTGTCCGTTGCTTTTGGTCCGTTTTCCTTTTTGTCCGATTATATTTATTTTAGTCCGATACTTTAGCTTTTTGTCCGTTGCTTTCGGTCCGGTTTGCTTTTTATCCGACACTTTTGCTTTTTGTTCGACACTTTTGCTTTTTGTCCGTTTCTTTTTGTCCGATTTGCTGTTTGTCCGATGATTCTGCTTTATATCCATTTTAAAATTTGCATATGTTTGTAGGTTCCATTTGAACTTCAAAACTCAATGACATATTTGAAATAAATGCAAACCTTATTTCTCTTTATAAATGAGTGGTACATAGAGTATCTTTTTTTTTAACTATTTACCGCTGGTAAAGCCAAGCATACTTTAATTAACTATACGATTCGGTTGAAAATAAGAATTCGTAAATATTTAGACGATCGTGATAATGAGTATTATTAATATATCTTTATATCTGAAAAAAAAATTGCTTGAG